CGTATACCAACTACGTCCATGGTTAGGTGAACTATGGGATAAATAGAACATCCTATGATTTTTTTGTGATATCATTTTCATCCACTCATTGATATTAATATCTGCACTCATTCGCTACGCTCACTCGTCCAGATATTTATATCAACTCGTGGATAAAAATTAGAGGTGTGAACTTTTAATCAATCATCGATTAATTGATCGACACAAGTGTAATCGATTAAGATTCTTAATACTCAATTAACTGATTCTCAAAAATATAATCTTCAATATCCTGCCGTGAGAAGGCTTACATGATGTCACTGACTGATTGAGACATAATTTGTCAGGTTGACATGTCAAGCTTAAAACTCAAACTGCCAAACAAGCTAATTACCCTAAGCCTGACGCTTACCTTTGTTGTTTTTGTGTTTTACTGATACATCTTATTGATATATATTACATTCAATAGAGGTATGCAATCAAACCAAACTAATGAATTATCGCCTATTATTAAAGAATTAGAAAATTGTAGGGAAATTATGCCAGATCTCCATCCATCTTATCTGCCGTTTGTGAGGGATAAAGACAAAGGGGGCGCGGCTATCGCGATGCATCATTTATGTTAGAATGATTAATCAATGATTAATCGATTAAAATATTTTGTTGATCGATTAAGTGATTTACCAACAGTGCACACCTCTAATAAAAATGATATCTCTCAAAATCATAGGATATCCTATACATATATATTGAAAATAGTGACAGCCCTCTTGGCTTGGGACCATGATAAGGATGGCCCTTTTGGTTATGAAGATAGTATGGGGGTTGCAGACAATATTGTGAAGATAGGTATGGGATATTATTATGTGGAATGGTGAACTGGTGAATGTAAGAGTATTTGTATCTTTACTTTCTGGACATCCTGTGATTGTACATTTTCCATCATTAATTTTATTCATTTTTCAAATAACAAGAAAATGCAACAAACTCCTAATTGTCAATATCTCCAAATTGTTAACTTGGGCTAGTCTAAATCTGGACCCTGTAACATCAGTTGTTGCTCCTTATTTTATCATAGTAACTAATGCCTTGGTCACATAGGCTCCGATTTTTATTACGGCGCCCGGCCGATGAGTATTTTGTTCAAAATCGGCCGGCGAGCCCGGGCATTTAATGGGCGCCGATGAGTGGCGATCATCGCCCGATTTTTAGACATCGTACGGGCACCGGCAGAGTTTTATCGCGGAGATAAAATTTGCCGATGTCTTGGCGATTTTTTCTCAACCAAACTCATTGGTACCTACCCGGCCGTGTCCCGTCCAGTCATCGTACGATTATCTTACGGCGCCCGGTGGCATCGCACGGTCATCTTGGGATTTTGCGTGCTGATTTGTTTGATAAATCTTAATAATGATTACTTATAGTGATATAAAGGTTTTAAAAATAATGAGATAAGGAATTATAATTACTACACACTGTCAGAGATTTTTTATAAAACAAATGGAACGATTAGACTTACTGTAAAACAATGAAACACATTTGAATGGCTGGGTGGGTGGGTTGATCTAGTCGTTCTTATATTGACATTAATCGTGTATGTCTGCCATACACATTGAATAGAGTGATACATTTTTATGCGTATATTCACTCATGCATATATCATTACAAATCATTTATTTTAAAAATCTTCTGAATGTTTTTGTGAGTACAGTATTTTCAAGGGTCACAATTTTAATACGAAAGTTCACTGTCTCAATCACAGTTAATATGCCAAAGGCTAAGGATAGAGGGGATAAGGCCAATGGGCCATATATGAGGAAGGCCTTGGAAAGCAAGTGGAAAAAGACAATAACAATGCTAGTGAGCTGGTGGATGATGAAGATTTAGATGTGTCTAGGGAAGAGGGTACTCCACTTGAAATAGAAGAAAAAATTGCCAAGTTCTTTGAAGATAGGCCATATTTTTATGACCAAACAAATTCTCTTTACGAGGACAGACAAAAGAAAGATGAAGAAATATGGAATTTTGCTAATAGCATCGGATGGACAGTTAGACATATATGAAAGATCTAAAAATGAATTAAGGTCAGGGTGCACTTTGATGAAAAGACCACGTGCAGTATGGCAAGTGATTTTAGACGGTCATATCTTTCACCATGAGTACTTTCTGGGCATAAATACAGTGGTTTCTGGAAATCATTATTATCCTGGAAGGGCCTGTCTATCGAAGTATTTCGTTTTCAAATCTTGCATTCACGCCATGTGGAACAGTCATTCTGGGTCATACAAGAATTTAGTATAAATCTAGAGGCCGTAGATCAACCGATGTCCTGGCGGGTGCCGTACGGCCATCGGCAGATAGCCTTGCGATACCTGTGCGATGTCTTTCAGATTCAATTGATTGCGGGCGCCGTACGATGCCTGTACTAATGTGACCATACTCACGTTTAGATCAAGACATCGGTGAAAAGTCACCGGCGCCGGTCAATTTAGGAATCGGCTGATGAGTGCCGGCGCCCGGCGGCTATGTGACCTAGGCATAAGTAACTGATCCATTGTACATCAAAGACCACAGTAATTCCTATTCTATTTTAGGTGGCTTAGAAGGAAAAGTAGCTGACAACGTATTTGAATTCTGGAAGATTTCAATACTTGGAGTTGAAGAATCATCAGCTAATTTTCACTCAAATCCACTGATAGAACAGATATTGGGAGCGTGGACGATAGTGAGTGATCCAGAAAAGTTGAAACATTGGGTTGCGTTTTTTGGAAACTTATTTAAGGTACATTTCCTCAAAAGTCCAATTCCTTTTGAAGACACTATTTGTAAATTTTGTAGATGAGTCAATTTATGCAATAGTTTGTGATTTGGTTTATCTGGGTAAACTGTTCAAAAAGTTTTGCCAAAACATACACAAGGGAATTAATTTTTGGCACAATTAAGCCTTTGTCAATGTTGTTTCATTCATGAGCTCAGGGGGAAAAAGAGGGGGAGGGAAATTAGCGCAACAGATTTTAGACAGTCATGAATGTTGGATTTTAGCCATTTTCTGAGGATTAAAACAGGTGCATATGTTAGGCCAATGCATTACCTCCAAGAAAAGCACTTCTAGATATGATAAAATAAGTTCGACTTTGAGACAGGGCAGATGCAAACAACCCAACCACATGTTTTTTCTGAAATGTTTTCCTGATTTTCAACCCCGTCCATCCCTGCTTTTTAAATTTTTCTTGCATCAATATGTTGTGTTTCGACACACAGTTAACTCATTTAAGGAACATTGTGATTCCTTTTAGATAAAGTGGAAAACAATATTTCCCATGTTATTTAATCATGGGGAAAACTCATACGATACATTGCTTTCAGCTAATTTTGGTCACCCATAATGGATATCTTTAAAACCCCTGAAGGAAACACTTATTCCTTTAAAGTGGTTATTTTAGATGTGTGTCAAAATGCAACATATTGATACAACAAAAATTGTAAAAGCAGGGATGGAAGGGGTTGAAAATCAGAACAACATTTCAGAAAAAACATGTGGTTTGGTTGTTTGCACCTCCCCTGTCTCAATGTCAAAATTACTTTATCATCTCTTTGAGTGCTTTTCCTGGAGCTAATGCATTAATCTTACATATGCACCTGTTAAATCCACAAAAGAAAATAGCCACAATCCAACGTATAACAGAACGAAATCTGATGCAAAACTTTCCCTCCTCCTTTAAAAATTAGATTGCATATCGAAGCATTCTGGGGCATTTTAAAAACACGAAATTCCAACTAATATAGACTAATAAAATATTAATGTATCCAAAATTTAATTATATGAACCCATTTTTTTAAAAATCAACTTCTCTCTAAATTTTGAGAGGACGTCGTGGCATTTTATACATATATGACGCTACGCCAGTGAAGGTTAAATGCGAAATATGACTATAATACAGGTCCTTGATTTCAACTCTGGTTTGTTTATAATATAGGAAGGCCCTATACCTTAAGAAGGTGGCGAAGAGAGTTGAACTGAATATAATATAAAAGCTAATATATATTTTAATATTACAGGTTCTTGACTTCAACTCTGATGGATTTATAAGCTTTGAAGAGTACTTGATCTACTGGAAGGCCGTAAAGCTTGATCCCAGTCTAGCTAGACTCCAGTTTGATTACATGGATACAAACCATGATGGAAAAATCTCAAAAGAAGAGTTTGTTGAAGCCTATACTGATTATGTCGTCAAAACTGGTGATAATGGAAATAGATTCTTTGGTCCCTTACTTGACTTTTAATTTTAAAATTACTTTTTTGGGGGGGAGGGTGAGGTATTATCCATACAAACTGAAAATTACCTAATGAATGGCTCTGTCTCAGAAATATTGAGACAAATAGCATATTACAGAAAAATTCAAAAACTCACATTTTGGCGTCGTATTTAACCACTTCATGGTGAGGTAAACAAAATCGAGATGCAGTAAAAGATGTTGATGTTATGGTTACCTCATGTAGAGCTATTTTGACACACAACCTCATCAATAAAGGCTCTTTAGAACAATAACGTCAGAACAAATTGGACCACCTTTGTGTACACATTTTCTTGTTAAGAATAAATAAAAATCTGGTTATACAAGTATACTATACAAGTACCTGTTTCTTTTTCTTTTTTTCTTTCTTCTTTTTCCTTTTCTCCCGATCTTCTTCGCGACTTTTCTTCTTGTGTTTAGATTTCTCTGTTATGAGGTCACTTGCATTATCTGGATATACAAATATTGAAATACTATCCTGAGTACAGTTTTAAACTAACCTCTGAATAAAGGTTAGATAATTTTACAGTTAATGAACCTAGCCTTTAATGCTGGTGGCCGTCACAGTTTAATATATGAATCGATTCAAACTCATCTCACAAACAACAAGCTTTTGGGTCAACGATAACATTAGAGGAAATTACCATATATTTAAAATCATGTTATATCATGCACAGATATTTTTAACTTAGAGAGATATTGCAATTAGTGTGCTAACTACTTACCTATATTTTCCAAAAGTGGACTATCTTTTGAATCTTTTTTATGCTTTTTATGTTTGTGTTTTTTCTTTGGTGGGGCATGGTTAAACAATCTGTATTGTTCAGGCAGCTGAAATACAAAACAACAATGCATACATTTAAATGTAACCAGCTGGTTGGATTTTATATGTTTCCATCCTCCAAACACACGATTACAGAACTCATTCCACCTTCTTGATAAGAAAAAGAAAATATTCTGGATCTTGTAACACTGGGGTTGGAGGATGCATATTTCATCATGATATTGTTTTCTGAATGGATACAATTCTTAGTTCAAAATACCTATGGACAACAATTTTAACCAATTTGCAAATTCAACCCCAAAATCAATTTTTACAGTCTAAATATCAATTAAACAAAAGATTGACGCCTCTAACATAAACATCATGACAATATCTGGCATTATTATATCACTATCAGCTAGCGACAGTATGATTGGTCAAAACCGGGTCACATGTCGTGGGATATCTGGCGATATTCAATGGCAATGCTAATCAGATAAGACAACCGTGAGATATCTAGCGATATCCCACGCTCCCGGGAATTTTCAAAGAATTTGTTTTCGTTCAGTGTAAATAATTTAGTTCAGTGTAAGTCAAAATGGCAGACGAATCGAGTAGATTCAATGTATTTCAATGTTAACCTATGACTTAATAATATTAGGGATGTTTAGCTAGAGAGTGATATAATAAAACAAATATTTCACTCTATTTTCGGTGAATACCTGTAGCACTTTCACAAGGTGATATTCCACTTGCCCTTCGGGCTTCGTGGAATATCACTTGTGAAAGATGTACAGGTATTCACCTCAATAGAGTGAAATATTTGTTCAATATCTGGCTGGTGATAACATAAATATGAATGTTAAAAGCTATTAAATCAAGGTTTTACTGTAAACTGATAAGAGTCCTAATAATAACAAAAATGGAGAGATATCCCACAGTAAACCTGTCTAATCTGAATGCTACTAGAACTGGCCCATCTTGGGAATATACACAAACCCTTGTATCACCCACTCATTGTATATGTATATTGTATGTGTTTTGTGAAATAAACAAATTGAATTGAAAAGTGTTTGAATCATTAGCAGTTGTTCACATTTCAAAGTTTCTCAAATACAGTTAAACCTGTTTGAGTGAAACATCTCTGGTACCTCTAAAAAGTGTTCCACTTGGGAGGTGTTCTCTGTATAGATGCTCATTTAACTTTATGTCCGTCAGTCTTAGGACTCTAAAAAGTGTTCCACTTGGGAGGTGTTCTCTGTATAGATGCTCATTTAACTTTATGTCCGTCAGTCTTAGGACTCTAAAAAGTGTTCCACTTGGGAGGTGTTCTCTGTATAGATGCTCATTTAACTTTATGTCCGTCAGTCTTAGGACTCTAAAAAGTGTTCCACTTGGGAGGTGTTCTCTGTATAGATGCTCATTTAACTTTATGTCCGTCAGTCTTAGGACTCTAAAAAGTGTTCCACTTGGGAGGTGTTCTCTGTATAGATGCTCATTTAACTTTATGTCTGTCAGTCTTAGGACTCTAAAAAGTGTTCCACTTGGGAGGTGTTCTCTGTATAGATGCTCATTTAACTTTATGTCCGTCAGTCTTAGGACTCTAAAAAGTGTTCCACTTGGGAGGTGTTCTCTGTATAGATGCTCATTTAACTTTATGTCCGTCAGTCTTAGGACTCTAAAAAGTGTTCTACTTGGGAGGTGTTCCCTGTATAGATGCTCATTTAACATTATGTCAGTCAGTCTTAGGACTCCCGCTAGGTGGGTGTTCCATGTATAGATGCTCATTTAACATGTTTAACATTACATCAGTCAGTCCTAGGACTCTGAAAGTGTTCCACTAACAGAGGTGTTCCACTTTACAGATTTCACTGTATGTAAATCAATGAAAGAGAACAAATATGGGACAAAGGAAAAGTGTTTGGTGTAAGAACATACAGGTTCACCTGTATCTCGTGTACTTACTGGACCTGGATGAAGTCGGAAACCTGTCAAAGCCTGAGAGGATAGTTGTGTGAGCTCCTTCCCCACAATGGGTGGCTTGTCGATCACAGAACGGAGACTACTGCAAATGTGAAGCCATACAAATTACAATACAAAACTGTTTCAAAAATAACAGGAATGTATTTATTGAAAATAAGCCAATAACTAATAGTACCATGGGTACTGGGTCAAATATTGAAAGTGGATTCAAAGACCACTGTTGAATATTCAAAACTTTAAACTGTTTCAAAAATAGCAGGAATGCATTTATTGAAGATAAGCCAACAATTAATAGTACCATGGGTACTGGGCTCGAATATTGAAAGTGGATTCAAAGACCACTGTTGAATATTCAAAACTTTAAACTGTTTCAAAAATAGCAGGAATGCATTTATTGAAGATAAGCCAACAATTAATAGTACCATGGGTACTGGGCTCGAATATTGAAAGTGGATTCAAAGACCACTGTTGAATATTCAAAACTTTAAACTGTTTCAAAAATAGCAGGAATGCATTTATTGAAGATAAGCCAACAATTAATAGTACCATGGGTACAGGGCTCAAATATTGAAAGTGGATTCAAAGACCACTGTTGAATCTTCAAAAGCCATATTTAGACTGAAGAATATGCAAATTTTCTTTCACTTCTGCATCTTTATTTCAATATATATTTATGAAAAATATATTTATTTTGGTGATGCAGATCTATTAAATATATACTGCCATCTTTCTTTCAACCTCATCCCTTTGATCCTATTTTTACCTATAACTTAATTTCGTACCTATTATCAAGATTTCCAGGTGCATCTATATTTCCAGGTAAACTTGGCAGAAAAGCACTGAGTTCTTGATTCACTTTCTTGCCACAGAATTTATTGTAGGAATGTTCTAGACCATAATATGAGATCAGATTGCAACTTCCCGTTAGTTCACTTTCCTCTGAAATTTAATAATATTTAATATTACATCACTGCTTAGATTGTTGAAGAAATTTGAATTCAAAGTACTTACATTTGCTCAATTAAGCGTTTTATGTGTGTACACTGTACGTGTGATAAGGACTCATTCCCATCGCGACTTCTTGAAATAGATCGGAAATTTATGAAGTAGTGTTTGAAATCTCCAGTGAGCTACCAGAAGTTCATTGTTTATTCAGAAATCTCTACTAATATTTACTTAAAGTACATAGACTCAGTGCTAGATGGGGGGGTTTACTTCCTGCGAAAGCTATTTGGATTTTGATATAATAGCTTTCCCACTTTCCCACGGAGCATTTGGACAGCTGATTGATTGTGACCATTGAAATCGAATTAAGTCGATCAGTGGTTTACTTTTGGTTTCTTACTGTGTCTTACATCAGTATCATCAATCCTTGTAAGTATTGGAGCGCTGGAGTACTTCTTTTTCCATCAAGACTTGTTATTGTTAGTCGAGTGAATCGTTTTACTGCCAAATTCCAATATGGCGTTTTCTGCTGGGACATTTTCGTAAATCTCCGGAGGTTGTCCGAACCTAACTAATTCTCAAAATTCATTTCGTTCGTTGCATATCTCGCTCCTAGTGAACCGCCATATTGGAAATAGGTCTAAAAAACGTTCACTCGATGAACAATTTACAAGTATTGATCGAAAAAGAAGTACTCTAGCGCTCCAATACTTACAAGGATTTATGATACTGATGTAAGACACAGTTAGAGACCAAAAGTAAGCCGCTGATCGACTTAATTCGATTTCAAAGGTCACTATTGATCAGCTGTTCACTTTCCCGTTTGAGAGCCATAAGTTTCAAAATCTAACATGGCTCTCGAAGTGAGTAAGGGGGGTTATCTCTGTTCCGATTAACTCGAGTCTCTAGCCAATTCTTGGCTAGAAGTGATTCCATCTGGAACACCGTGAACTATTGTAAAATCTTAAGCCGTTGTACAATAAATTTATGTAAAATTCTAAAAATCTTTCTGTTAATATTTCATAAATTGAAATGGTAACGGCTTGTCTTCTTGATGAGATATTGAACGTTTTCATTTAAATAGATGTCGTCTCGTTCTCAATTTTGAAAGCATGCCTTTTTCCCGCTATAGCGATTTAGTCAAGATGGCCGCTTGTTGTAAAATATTTCCTTCAGTTTTATTAATTCTTTTGTGAATAAATATCCTGCGAAGTAGACCAATTTATGAACTAGGACTGCGTGTAAAGATCAATGAAGGTGAGTTTATTATGTTTACGTCAATAAAAATAAGACGGCTGGGGAATTTAAAGGCAAATTCAAAACAACAAAGAGTGTCTTATTTATATTGTATGGCCACACTCAGTGGCCATAGAATATGGTAAGTTCCGATGCTTGTATTTGACATAGGAAAATTTGGACGAGTTTGCTTCAAAATCGTAAAAAGCCAAGGATATAAAGAGTCTTAAATAAAAAAATAACTCTATTAACTAATTATAGAATAACAAAACCTGAACCTGCAAATTGAAATTCAATCAATTTTTCGATGATTTGTTTACCTGGTGGTTCTTTCATAAGGTAAAATGGTCCAGTATTGATGATTGCTGGACGTTTTCCTAGCGATATTGTGGTCTTCAGTGTCCCTGTTGAGTCCTGGCGTGGAACAACTGGTGATCTGGAAGGCCTGGGGCTAGATTTTGGGGATATTTGTTGTACATCCATTCTTTCTTGCATTTTTTCAGAATTCCGATACTTCCGGTGAGCAGCCACAAAATAAATCTACCTGTTAATTTCTACATTTCACAAGGAGGATTGGCTCCCAGAGTGCACCACCGATATTCTGTCCCATATATGGGTATGTCGTAATACAAAATTCGAATTCAAACAGCCGCCATTTTGTTCACTTCAGGGGTACAATTACTCCCGGGAAATCCTTCGACCACCATGTTGCCCACATGACACAACCCTCAAGTTTGATGCCCGATCATTTTTTCAATTTTTTATTTTTGCGCAAAATTCGTTTTGCACCTTCATTCCAAGATACCCGGGTTTAGCGCGCGCGTACTATAACGTCACTATAGCAACGTTTTGACCTTGAACTAACAGGATAGAGGAACGCGCTGCAGTGTCTGAACGGGTCACGACAATGCAGCCTTTTTGCACGTTTCATGGACAATCTTCGGTATTATTAAGGTAAGTTTAAAACGAGGAATGCCACTGGAATCCTGAGATTCACAGCTTTGACGTGGTATGAAAAAGGATCCATAAATATTGCGATTTCTTACTGATCAAGACTCTCAAACTTTGATGAATAAAAACAGGTGCTTTTCCTGAGACCCAGCGTCTTCTAATTTCCAGTACTTTGCTAGAAGGTTAGAAATTTTTTCTTTGGTACACATTTGGAGCACATAACAGGTGTACATTTGAGCAACTTTGAAAATTATTCATCAAATTTTGACGGAATTATCAACCAAAGTGTTGGTGGATTTTGGTGTCATTTGCAGTTCAAATTGTTAGTTTTCAGCGTCTCTAGATAAGGGATTTTGAGGAAAAGTTGTGAAAAGCTTATTTCTGAGGGTTCATGAATACAGGTCAATGTGTGTGTAATATCTAAGCATAACTCCTGGTAGATTTTCTCATCCATCGCCATTTGTACCCCCCGAGACCTCAAATGTGGGTCCCTAGTCCAGTTTGAATTGTTCGATTTCCTTATATGGTGTTTAGACACCATATGAACGATTATTTCCGAAGGTTCATATATTCAGCTTAATGTGTGTTAAATAGCTAAGCATAACTCCTGATAGATTTTCTCATCCATAGCCATTTGTACCCCCGAGACCTCAAATGTGGGTCCCAAGTCCAGTTCGGATAGTTCGATTTCATTATATGGTGTTTATACACCATATGAAAGATTATTTCTGAAGGTTCATATATTCAGCTTAATGTGTGTGTAATATCTGAGCATAACTCCTGGTAGATTTTCTCATCCATGGCCATTTGTACCCCCCGAGACCTCAAATGTGGGTCGACCCCTAGTCCAATTCGGATAGTTCGATTTTATTATATGGTGTTTATACACCATATGAAAGATTATTTCTGAAGGTTCAATCATATATTCAGCTTAATGTGTGTTAAATAGCTAAGCATAACTCCTGGTAGATTTTCTGATCCATCGCCAGTTTTACCCCTGAGATCTCAAATGTGAGTCCCTAGTCCAATTCGGATAGTTCGATTTCCTTATATGGTGTTTATACACCATATGAAAGATTATTTCTGAAGGTTCATATATTCAGCTTAATGTGTGTTAAATAGCTAAGCATAACTCCTGGTAGATTTTCTCATCCATGGCCATTTGTACCCCACGAGACCTCAAATGTGGGTCCCTAGTCCAATTCGGATAGTTCGATTTCATTATATGGTGTTTATACACCATATGAAAGATTATTTCTAAAGGTTCATATATTCATCTTAATGTGTGTTAAATAGCTAAGCATAACTCCTGGTATATTTTCTGATCCATCGCCAGTTTTACCCCTGAGACCTCAAATGTGGGTCCCTAATCCATGTAATCTGGTTTGGATTGTTCGATTTCCTTAAATGGTGTTCAGACACCACTTGAAAAATTGAAAAGGGGGGGGGGGGGGGGGGTAGGTACGAAAATTTCCAATGAACATGCGTGACATATACGGGATTCGCGTGACAAATCCGAACAAATTGCGTTCGTTTTTTTCCGACGTTCGTATTTTTACCGTATCATAAACATATTTTGAAAATTTTTTTACAGCAACATATTTGCGTGACAATTACCAGGTAAAATGCGTATTTGCGTGACATTTTGTGTCACGCAAAAAAAACTGGCGTGACTTCAAATTCTTCAGCAAATGCGTGACAAATACGCAAATTGCGGGACAGTTGACAGGCCTGGTATTAGCTAAGCATAACTCCTAGTATATTTTCTCACCTATCGCCATTTGTACCCCCGAGATCTCAAATGTGGGTCCCCGACTCCCCAGTCTGGTTTGGATTGTTCGATTTCCTTATATGGTGTTTAGAGTTCAGACATGCACCACTTGAAAAGTTTATTTCTGAAGGTTCATGTATTCAGCTTAATGTGTATGTAATAGCTAAGATAAACTCCAAGTAGATTTTCTCATCCATCAACATTTGTACCCCCAAGACCTCAAATGTGGGTCTGTAGTCCGGTTCGGATTATTTGATTTCCTTATATGGCGTTTAAATACCACATGAAAAGATATAATAATACAATATATGACAATACATGTATTATATGATCTCAAGCTCATTTTATTTACCAGTTCACTAGTTTTATTTTGTATTTTATTGGGTCTAAATTGATGGGTGCAACATTGATGGGTGCAACATTCATTCAAATTACACATATAAAAGCTTTTTATACCTTCTAAATGATCAATATTATTCATTATCAATAATGTACACTTATTTTCTTCCAGCTACCGAGTGAGAATGGACATGACTAGCAACCATGCCTCTTTACCTGTTGACTCCATCTTTGAATGTTATGCCAATGATTGAGATCTGCCATGTTGCAGAAAAATGTGATTTTCGAGGTATGTACACAATGTTAGATAAATCGAATGTACAGAGTGTCAAATAAATATGATAGATAGTTTTACTGTGCTAAGGAACAATTCAGATATCATGCAGACAAAAAAGTTACCCAACATTATGTGGATCATAAAGTTAAGGGGGAGAACATATTTATTTGATACCCTGTACAGGGTGTCCCGAAAGTATGGGGGCCCCCTTGGCGGACATATACCAATGTCTTCATAGTATGTGTCATATATCATTTTAAAGCTTATCCAAACTTACATTAATTTTCCAAGTATCATGGTTCAACTCACAAAAGGTAAATAGTTACAGGCATTTCAAAACTAAGTGTTTAGCTAAACATATAGTTCATTTCAGTATCCTGGTAACAGCCCTGACCTGAATATGACCGAAAATATGAGAGCTATTGTCGACAAAAGGATGGATATTGAGTTCTAAAAAGAGGAAGTTGGGGGTAGATACTCCAGGGAAACTCTTCTAGAATGCTTTAAAAAAGTTTTATGAGGATAAAAAAATGCCAAATCCCTATTTGAAGCACGTTTAAGGTCATATATGGAAAGCATTGCTGCCATTAACATGGCTTAGGGACTCCGGGAGACACACCGACTATTATTTTGGTGTAAAACTGACTTTCAATTTTTTTAAACTTTTTCCCATTTTGAGTTCAACCGTGATACTTGGCAGATCGGTGTAATTTTGGATGATCTTTCAAATGATATATGGCACATACTATGGAGACATTGAAAAATGTCTGCCTAGGGGGGCCCCCATACTTTCTGGACACCCTGTATATTAAATGCCCATATAAAGTTCCAGTCACTTTGGCTTAGAGCTTAGGCTTTATTATGCGTGTAGTACTCCAATAGTAGACCAATGTTTTCGAAATGCGGTATGTGAGGCCTTTCAATTTAATTTCAAGAAGACTTACTAAATACATGTACTAAATCCTGCTCTTGTGTATGTTTCATGAGATTTTATCCAAATTTTGGACAGATTTTGGTTTTTTTACTGTGACACCTGAATACTGCCACAACATCATTATTAAATATTATTTGTATACATTTACTAGTAGAATATGTAATTTCTTATATCAAATTCAATTTATTTCAGTAATGCTGACATCTACGTGCGTACTCTATACATCTGTGTGAGTGGGAATGTATGAGACTGACTCCTGAGGGAAATGCCACTGTTGTAGAGCTGCATCTCAGTCTTCTACTGACTACTATGCGGTAATTTCAAGCTTATATTTTATTTGACAACATGGCATCTCTTGGACTCCAAAGCTGTTTGAAGCTATGAAACTTGATAATATTGTATAATTTAAAAATAATAACATGAACACTCCTTGTAATCATCGGTAGAATTTTGGTCAATAATGATGTTTTACTTATATAACCAAGCTTAACTGAGATTTTAAATGGCAAACAATGCAATTATATGCTCCAGAAGAGGAAATAATGGAAATGTATTCAATATATTACGGGTTATGGAAAAATTTCAATTGATTTTCTTTGCAAATATCAATGTCTCTAACAATCTATTTAATAACAAACTGCAATGCATAAAAATAGATTCTATGATTATTTTAAAGCTATACAATGATAACAAACAACCCCGATACTTTTTCTTGGTATATAAAAACCTAAAAATGTTGATTAAGCAATATAATATTATGAAACAAGTTCAACACATCTAGAAATTATCATAGAGTCACCAATAGCCATTCATATTTTAGGAATCATTTTGTTGGAAATTCTATTATCTTCCTAATGATATATAATTTATGGATTTATGGAACACATCAGCAGATATTACAAAATCAAAAATATGGACTTTTTTGGTCTACCCTGTACATGTGTGAGATGTGTACTATATTTACGAGTGTGCCATAAAACTATTTTAAATCCTGTAACTTCAATTTTGTACCTGTAATGTGTACTAGGCCTGAGGAATGAACCAAGTCAGCTGCTAATGCTGACACACCATCCTTAATAAATGTTCTTATTTAGAATATATAATTTCTAATATTAAATTGAATTAATTTCCCAGCAAATTATTTAAAGCTATAAAATATGTAATAAAATACTGATGATTACAAGGAACTTCATGTTTTGATTTTTTAACCATAAATATAAAGGGGCTACCACTAAAAATCACTAAAAACAATAATTTCTAGATTATATTTAATAAATTAAATGAAAAATCTTGGTCTGTTTTACTTGGTCTTCCAATATTTTCTATGACTTTCTTTTACCCTACATGTGTTAAATAATCCTCATTTGCTTTCAGATAACAACACATTATGCTCCATTATCCCTCATCGCTCAGGTATCAGGGAACTGGGGAATGAATAGATGACAGGAATCTCCCGAAAATCAAGAAGAAACATATTCACAGTATCTTCCTAAATACACCTTGGATAAAAAAAATATCATCTACTAGTGTAGTATATGTAACACTTGGACTTAGAACAATATGAATTAAAATAAACATCAAAGTGACAAAGAAGAGACGTAGAACTGAAAAAAGAGCTCTAATACAGGGTGAGCCAAAAAAGGTAACCAAAACAAATCTCAATAACTCAGTCACCTTGCATGGGTTTAGTGTCATATTTTGCACAACAAGCCTTGTCCAATGTATTAGTATACCAAGTTTTCAGTGGTTATCCCATCGAACAAAGTTCGGAGGGATATAGGGAGCGCCTCCGTCCGTCTGTCCGTCCGTCCGTACGTACATACGTCAGTCCGTCCGGGCAATAACTCAAATACCGTTGGCCCGATTTTGTTCATATTTTGTACACATATACCCTATGGGAGTAGAATGTCTGCTTGAAAGCTGATTTTCAAAATGGCGGCCATTTTAGTGCCGAATTTACAGTAATTTAGGTGCAATATGTAAAATTTTAAAAAATGGCCACCATTTAAACATATTTTACTATAACTCAAAAAGTAGTGGAGCCATTTTGTTCATATTTGGTATGTGAATACTATAAGCATGACACACTGTCCTATGACACTTTTGGTAGATGGTGGCCATTTTGAAAAATGGCCACCATTTTAACGTATTTTACTATTACTCGAAAAGTAGTAAAGCGATTTTGATCATATTTTGTATGTGAATACTATAAGCATGGCACACTGTCCTATGACACTTTTGGTAGAAGGCGGTCATTTTTCAAAATGGCCGCCATTTTAACGTATTTTACTATAACTCGAAAAGTAGTGGAGCGATTTTGTTCATATTTGGTATGTGAATACTATATCAAACATTCTGAAAGAATACGTTGGACAGTTGATTATTACATTTTAAAGACACTCTTGAAAGAACCAATGTCCTATAAAACATAAACAGTATTCATCCATTTAAAATGGAAGCTTTTTATTTAATTGTGTGATGTTACCAAATGTAAATATGTTTGTAAAACCACTCTGTTTAAATACAGGTAAATAAATAATTAAATTAAATATAAGCACGGCACACTGTCTAATGGCACTTTTGGTAGAAGGTGGCCATTTTGAAAAATGGCCACCATTTTAAAGTATTACTATAACTTGAAAAGTAGTGGAGTGATTTTGTTCATATTTGGTATGTGAATACTATAAGTATGGCACATGGTCTAATGACACTTTTGGTAGAAGGCGGCCATTTTGAAAAATGGCTGGCATTTTTGCTATATACTTTGTTTGTAAAAATGCCATTCATGGGTGTTCGATGGTATTCGCTACGCTTTGGCGTTGCCGTTGTTCTGGTTGTATCTCTAGTGGTCATGATTTTATGGCCATTTTACAAAACATGCCATAAAATATGGGCGTCAAGTCTGGAGGCCAACTTGAACATATTGGGCGTAGTCTTGTTCACAACACAAGCATAAACATTTTGTGTTATGGCTCTCATCTTCCTTCTTATCTCTTGTTTCAATGTTTCAAGGGTTGTTAGTGTAGAAAAATAGACCCAAAGATAAAAAGCTGGTGGGATTTATGTCCAGTCAGTCATTTCGGCATTTGGACCATGTTTTGTAGATGACCATAAAATCGTGACTCTAAGGGACAGACCAATGACATTGATTAAGGTTTAGTTGTGCCAAATATGATTTTGAGCCCATGCTGAATGACTGAGTTATTTACATACATTTGTTTGGTTTACCTTTTTTTGGCTCACTCTGTATGTAATAATCTTAGTTTTCCTTGAATAAAGTGTGAGATACATATGCAACCCAAATATATTCTAGAATTGAAACAATATAAGTAAAGATTGTTTGTTGCTTGATCTGATTCTACCTTTACCTATGTGAGGAATAATCAAAATAAAGAAAAATAAAGAAGTGGAACTTTAACCTTAAAAACTTGTAAAATGATTGTTTTTACACTTACATCATTATAACAGAGATATAGTGACAATGACAACTGACAAGATAGTAAAATCAGCTTGTAAAATCAGATGATAATCAAAACCAAAGTGCTGCCAAGACTTACACTCCCCTTCAAAAGTTTGGCTTTAATTTGAACAACTGCTTGGGCTGGAAATCTAAACTGATATAATTTCCTAGTATAACTTCATTTTTCTCATTTTATATACAAAAGATTGCAAATTGATGGCAAATTAAATTCATTTTTAAAAATTGTCATCCAGATGTAAACCAAAAATGTTTTAACAAACTTTATTTTTTAAAAAAAATTGATATAATTTTTCAGGTTTTATAAAGTTATATGTCTCCAAAGTCAAAACTATGCTTTTTCAAGAAACATATCCCTTAAGATAACATATGAGGTATGAGAATATCCACAAATTGAACTGAAGACTTAGCTAGTAAACAATGGCACCCTTATTTAAAGTGTTCGCATTGCTTATTTAAAGTGTTCATTGCATGTTATGTTAAAAATCAACCATAGAGTAATCTAATAGGGAAGTTTGCAAAACTTGGAGTGGAGTGTAGATGGATATTGGATAACCTGAGAATAAAGGGCGGATCAGTTAAATATAGAAAAAATCAACATATACTCATCCAGAATAGTAATAAGTTACATCCTTTGATATTTCACTTTTCATTCAAAAGACTGGAGAGACCAATGGATCCATCTAGTTCATACTCCTTGTTTATCCCCGGTAAAAACGTCATATACACACTAGACGAAAACGCATCCAATGGACAACCCTATTGTGAAAAACGAACCTGACGGCAAACGAAAAGTCTGTCCGATAATGTACGCAATTGATATTTTTCGTCGTGTACCTTGAATATTATGATGAATTTCATTCATGTTATCGCGATTGTGATTGTTTCCAATGTATTACAATATGTTTTGGCCTATTCAACCTAAAGAAGGTACTTCTAATTCTCCGTCAAAGACCAATACAAAATGCCGGAAAATCGAAAAATAATTTTGTTATTGGCTGGATGAAGAAAACTAGGAGACGAATACTATTATTATTTAGCGAAAAAATAAGCTTATGATGTGGGCTTTCTGAATCAAAAAAGATTGAAATTATTTTTTCATGTTAAAGGGGTCTAATTTATCGTTAAAGTAAGTGTTGTCAATGTAAACAAACATGTCGGCGAATTTGATTTCTCGTCTTTAAACAATGATATTTGTGTAATAGTTGAATACTATATTACGAATGTTAATGATTTAGAAACCCAATTTCAATAGCTCCATGCTCGTATATAACATTCTATATATCTCCCAATAATAATGAAATAAGAAGTAATTTTCTCAAGGGTAGTACAATTTTTTTCGAGAATCCAATGGATCAATCTTGATACGCGCGAGGTTATCACGCCACATCTTGGTGGGCACTATCGTGGGCGAAAGCTCATTGTCCAAATCGCTCTAGTTTGCGACGTTAAACACAGAAGAAAACTCACCCCTGGTTCACTTCAACATTTAAATCGTGAATTTTGGTCTTATTTCCAAACGAAAAATTCCAAAACTCACAAGAAATGATCGAGATATTGGTTCAAATCTTTTGAACTGTTTATTTTGAATTTATAGTCGGTTTTAATTTCAGAAAATAACGACATTTCGACGTTTTCATTGTTGGAAAATATCGAGTTTCGATCCTGGGAGCCAATCCTCCTTGATTTCATTTGCCCTATCAATATCTTCAATATCTGTTAGTTACAATCTCAGTTCAAAATATTTATATTGGAAAATATCTATTCTGATTTATAAAGAAAAAAACTTGCTTCAATCCCCAAAATATGAAGTTAAAACATAAAATGTACAGAGAGAAGATGACCTGTATATCTATTATGTGGCGTACCATTTTCGCGGGAAAAAGATTTGCCTGATCTCATTTTATTTTCTCCAATTTAGAACCAAATATCTTCGAAAATATACAATATCATTGCATTGGAATCCGAACTGAACATCATGTCTCTTCAACTTACAGCGGGTGCTATTCAGGTAAGTAGTCTACGCTGTTTGATCTAATATTTCACTCGTTTCAAAAACTAAGAAAACGACGTCATGTCACATTTCAAATGGCAGTTTCTATTTGAAAATTTCTATGTGGAATTTATCAATGATTTGGGTGAAATTTAAAAAACTCTTTGTCCACTCAAAAATGTGACATCATCATGTAAACAAAAAGTGAAATTTGCATCAATTGAGGTGGATTCTGGGTAAGTTCATGTCACATTCTTGCCATTCATAATATGTGACACTTCAATTCTCTTCATAGCATTTATAGTGTAACCAGGAGGCTGTTTCGCGAAGTTTCGTTATCAACAAATCATTATTCAATAGTAAAAACGATTTTTCCGTTTCTCGAAAGTTAACGATTCGCGATGACGTCGTGATTTTTATCAATTTATTCGTTATCCATGATTGATTTTACGAGTATGAATGGGGTCTCGTTATTCCATTAATGTTGGGCGTACATAGAAACGAATCCACGATTTGCTATTAACGATTCGTTAATAACGATAAGTTTCGAGAAACGGCCTCCAGCAGGCGTTGATATTAGAATCTTAACACAAATTCTCGGTAGAAGTTCATATGGTGAAAATAACGAAATAATGAAATGTTACCGTGTGTCTACTTAGCAGTTTGTTCTATGTCATCCATCCTGCTCAGGGGTTTCAATAAATATTTTTTCTAAAGGCTTTTTGGCAATTTCAACAGGCTGAAACTTATTTCACTAAAATAATTTAGGGTAAGGTAAGTAACAGTGAATTTTATTTCTACATATTTGAACAGGCGTAATTGAGATTTGAACAGGCGTTTTCGCCATCCGCCTGTGCTTATTGAAACCCCTGCTGCTAGGTTACATAGTGGAACGCAGCCAAACACGACACTGAAGGCAACAACATGTCGATGTTGATCTTAGCAGAATTTTGGGAAATTTAGATCGTCCATTTTGCAAGCTCACGTGACTCACACATGACACATGTCTGATCACGTGACCAGTTACTGTATCGATCATGTGACTTAATGACGTGTCAATTACGTGTCACCCAACCATGTCTTCAAGGAAAACGGAAGTAAATATTTTGGAAAATGTTTTCCGAGCATTTGCTACTGAGTATAGAAAGCCCAATAACGCGACGAACGAAACTGCTAAATTGTATTTCGTGCCTAACAGGCCTAGTACGCAATGAAAGAAACTGCTAAAAATTGTATTTTTAGTCTGCTTATTGATCTATTGATTCATAAAGACCTGAAATGATGCATTCAAATAAGACCGCCTCCAAAATGAAAACACTACACATAAAGTGGTGAAAAACAACAAACTAAAGTTGAAAGATCGCAACGTTCGCTACTTTGTTCAATTCCGAAAGTCTCCAAGAGGCTGCAGAAGAAGAAGAAATGGGAAATTTTTACGATTTAGATTTTATAACCTCAGAATACTGCCTTCATTGTTGTGTTTGGCTGAGTTCAACAATGTAACCTTACAGGATGGATGACATAGAACAAACTGCTAAGTAGACACACGGTAACATTTCATTATTTCTTTATTTTCACCATATGAACTTCTACCGAGAATTTGTGTTAAGATTCTAGCACACTTTCTTTCTTTCTGGTTTGTGACACTATACTCATCATTTGGTCATTCTCATACTGTTTGGTCATTCTCATAACAGTCCATTCACATGGTCACGCTTATATTTCTTGTTTTTATAGGAGATAATGTCTGGGGGAAATGTCGATAAACCCATCTTACAAGTGTTAGGCCAGAAGAAGATAGCTGGCGGGAATGGAGCTGATCGTTATAGACTTCTTCTCTCTGATGGATATCACAGTCACTCATGTATGATTTTATCATTTCAATTGTGAATTTTGATGTTATTGGTACCAACTGCTGATTAATTTTAAAGAAAACATTCGGGATTTTCCCCAGTTTCATGAACATTTTTTATTTTACCTAAACTAAATATTGTATAATAGGAAATGCCCAAATATCTCATTTATTATCCCATCGAACGAAGTTCGGAGGGATATAGGGAACGCCTCCGTCCGTCCGTCCGTCCGTCCGTCCGTCCGTATGTACGTCCGTCTGTCCGTCCGTCCAGGCAATAACTCAAATACTGTTGGCCCGATTTTTTTCATATTTTGTACACATATACCCTATGGGGGTAGAAGTTCTGCTCGAAAGTGGATTTTCAAAATGGTCGCTCATTTCAAAATGGCGGCCATTTTAGTGCCGATTTTACAGTAATTTAGGTGCAATATGTAAAATTGTAAAAGCAATATGTTTTAAATGTAAATAATTATAAAGGACATTAATAATGCTACAAATGTAGATATTAAAGAAGCACATGGCAGCCATCTTGAAAAATGGCGGCCTTTACTCGTCATTTTAACGTATTTTACTATAACTCGAAAAGTAGTGGAGCGATTTTGTTCATATTTGGTATGTGAATACTATAAGCATGGCACACTGTCCTATGACACTTTTGGTAGAAGGCGGCCATTTTGAAAAAAAAATTGAAAAATGGCCGCCATTTTAACATATTTTACTATATCTCGAAAAGTAGTGGAGCGATTATGTTCATATTCGGTATGTGAATACTATAAGCATGGCACACTGTCCTATGACACTTTTAGTAGAAGGTGGCCATTTTGAAAAAAATTTTGAAAAATGGCCGCCATTTTAACGTATTTTACTATAACTCGAAAAGTAGTAGAGCGATTTTGTTCATATTTGGTATGTGAATACTATAAGCATGGCACATTGTCCTATGACACTTTTTGTAGAAGGTGGCCATTTTGAAAAAAATTTTGAAAAATGGCCGCCATTTTAACATATTTTACTATAACACGAAAAGTAGTGGAGCAATTTTGTTCATATTTGGTATGTGAATACTATAAGCATGGCACGCTGTCTATTTCTAATGACACTTTTGGTAGAAGGTGGCCATTTTTCAAAATGGCCACCATTTTAACGTATTTTACTATAACTCGAAAAGTAGTGGAGCGATTTTGTTCATATTTGATATGTGAATACTTTAAGCATGGCACATTGTCTAATAAAACTTTGGGGAGTAGTCGGCCATTTTGAAAAATGGCTACTTTTTTTATGTGTGTTATTTTACAAGTACGTGTGCGATTTTTCAAAAATCTTAAAGGTAGCTACTTAAAAGCATATTATTTCTTCTGATGACAACTTGTCTAGTGAGCAACCATTTTGAAAATGGTGGCCTTTCTGTTGTGTTGTTTTATGATATTTGCTATTCGTTTGTAAAAATTCCAGCCATTTCTGTTCGATGGGATTCGCTACGCTTTGGCGTTGCCGTTGTTCTGGTTTATTATGCCATTGGAAAAATGTCTTCTTTTTAACAAAATTGTTTTGATGTTAAAATCTTCAGTCATTTTGTCATAAATTCTTTTGAAACCTTTATCACAGGGTGCCCCAAATTAAGGTGATCGTTGCATTTCAATCATTTCCATTGAGTCATTTTGAGTTACACACTGTACAAATATACACTGTGAGTCAAAAATGCAATATAAGTACACTGTTGACTCCATTGAAACCTCTATTTACACAAGAAGATTTCACCAAATATTATTTTTTCCAAAATTAAAGTCATCCTGTACGTGTATCGATTAGTGAAATAACAAGAAGATTCCTCCACAATTAAAATTCACTAGAATGTTCATCATTTACCCTGTACATGTATTGATATACAGGGTGAGCCAAAATCAGAGCCATCCTGTATGTGTATCGATAAGAAAGTTTTCTCCAAAATTAAAATTCACTATTAGAGTGTTCATCATTTAGCCATCCTGTATGTGTATCGATTAGAAAGATTTCTCCAAAATTAAAATTCACTATTAGAGTGTTCATCATTTAGCCATCCTGTATGTGTATCGATTAGAAAGATTTCTCCAAAATTAAAATTCACTATTAGAGTGTTCATCATTTAGCCATCCTGTATGTGTATCGATTAGAAAGATTTCTCCAAAATTAAAATTCACTATTAGAGTGTTCATCATTTAACCATCCTGTATGTGTATCGATTAGAAAGATTTCTCCAAAATTAAAATTCACTATTAGAGTGTTCATCATTTAGCCATCCTGTATGTGTATCGATTAGAAAGATTTCTCCAAAATTAAAATTCACTATTAGAGTGTTCATCATTTACCCTCTACATGTATAGATAACATCAATGATTTGAATTTTAGCTGCCATGTTGGCCACACAGTTGAACAGTATGATAGACAACAATGAACTCGAGAAGTTTACAGTTATAGAGCTACAGAAGTACATATGTAACACAATACAGGAGGGAAGGTAAGATTTGTGTTCTCTTCCAGTAGCCAGGATTTGCCAAGGGGGGTTCAGTTTTCAAAAATTTCCAGGGGGGATTCACATTTGACAATTGTGAAAAACTGCATGATTTTGAAAGAATCTTTGGCCAGGGGTGGGAGGGGGGGGGGGGTTCGCCCGAACCCTGCGGACCCCTGGCTATGGGCCTGTCTTCTAATATGGGTTATTTATGAAATGAACAACAAATTATGGAATTTGGGGTCCTGAGAAATATGGAATATAGAAAATGATATTAAGGAAATAACGAGTATGGAATATTAGGGTAAAAATGGAATGTGTAATTAGCCCATTTACCATTTTTCCTACATATCAATGTTCCTAAAATAGAATACTGTACCCCTCCTCCCTATAATGACCATGTTCTGTATATACAGGACTATGAAATTAAGAATATATGCACAGTATTCGTATCATGGTTTTTGATTTTTCTTTAGGCGAGTGATGATATTACTTGAAATGAATGTGGTCTCAAGCGGAGGTGACGTGGGAGCTACTATTGGTAACCCTGTTGCTTACAAACCTGGCCAGCCTAAGACAGATATCCCTGCTCAACCTGCTGCGCAACCAACTGGACAACCAGCCGCAACAAATGGTAAAAAATTTTTTATCACATCTTTGGGTGATTGTGACATGTTTTGATTAGTTTGCTGCATAGTTTTTTTTGTTATGGTGTGATCAGATTTATTTTTGGGCATGCTGGGTAAATTTTAAAAGCAGCCATTTTTCTTCCTTCTTTCAAATTGAATTTTATAAGGTATCAATATTTTTATAAACAATTTTATAACACTTATTCAAGAGCAGACTATTGCCAAGATCTGATTAGGTTTTGGGCATGCTGGGTAAAATATTTGATGTTCATTTTGAATTTTGATTTTATTTATCTTTTACCAAATGTTTCAGGTGCCAGCGCTCCAAAGATATCCAAACCCAATACGCCTGCAAGAGGAGGGTTCTACAATAAAGGTCCTGCTGCTGCTGCGGCCCAACAATCTCCTGCTGCCCCAAATACTCCTGGTGGCTCTGCTCAAAGGATTTTCCCCATCTCACATCTTACTCCATATCAGAACAGGTACAACTGTTTTTTTGTTTTTTTTATTTAAATCAATGTAACATATTTACAGGTTGTAGTGGCTTGTTCTTGCTTAAATCTAATAAAGTTATTTGAATTATATCGACGAAATTCATAGCTGAGTTTGCCAATTTTGTACATGTATGCAATGTGTATGTATACTAATCGGAACACTTTTGACCAGTGCTGTGTGGTGTTCAGGTTTTACGATAGAATGTCAGGCCCGTAGCCAGGGGGGGGGTTGGGAGACCAAAATTTCAAAATCATGCAGTTTTTCACCATTCTGACTATTTTTTGAGTGATTTTTGGCCAAATTTGCCAAAGTGGAAAAGTGAACCCCCCTTGGAAAATTCTGGATACGGGCCTGAATGTGAACATGAGGTAATCCTCAAAACATATTTTAGGTGGTGTATCCGAGCAAGGTGTACAAACAAATCAGCAATTAGGACATGGAGTAATTCCCGAGGGGAGGGCAAGCTGTTTAGTATGAACTTCAGGGATGAGAGTAAGGAGATACGAGCAACTGCCTTTAAAGAAGAAGTTGACAAATATCATGAAATGATTGAAGTCAATAAGGTAAATGAACAGTTATTTTTATTTTGATAATAGATTTTGTAATTACTAATGACCCTTGCATTCGTTTGCGGTACATTCGTAACTTACTCCTGAAAATCATTGTTTACATTTTGGCAAACAATGACTTGTGGACAAATCATGAGTTACAATGGTTCCAAAATAGAACATCTGTGAACTTAAATTAACTTATGGAACAACCCTCATACATGGTCACTTAAATTTCTAAATATGTTTTTTTTCAATTCTCAGGTGTACTATATACAGAAAGGAACCCTAAAGACCGCCAACAAGCAGTACAGTAATGTTGATAATGATTACGAAATGACATTTAATAGAGAAACAATCGTGACTCTTTGCGAAGAGGAAACGGATCTGCCATCTGTTAGTTTCAAGTTTATTGCCATCAATGAACTGGGAAACAACCCACCAGATACTATCATTGGTAAGTATTGTCTTTTCTCCAAGTTTTTTTGTGGACAATTTTTGGCAATTGGCGTTCAGCGGTTGGCAGTTAGCATCCTGTGTTTGTAACAAATGGCAATCTCCAATTATATTGGGCTTTGAGCAGGAGACTAAATATTTTAACATTTTAACATTGCACTTTTGAAAGTGCTGCATTGCATTATCTTATGCTGGTGGTCATGCATGCGCCTGTATTTTCGGGCAGGCAGGGAGACAGGAGGGGTGTGGGAGTGTGGGAGCCACATAGATCTATTACCTTTTCAACTTGAAAATCTAACTGATGCAAGAGCAGACTAGTCCAATATCTGATTAGGTTTTAGCAATGCTGGGTAAACTTGGTTGTCATTTTGAATTTTTCTTTAACAAAATGCAATATTTATCTCTGCGTGTCTTCTTTTTTTAGACGTTCTAGGCGTATGTAAAAGTGCATCAGATATGAATGTAGTCATTGGAAAAACATCGCAGAAAGAGATCAAAAAACGAGATCTTGATTTGGTTGACCAATCAGGAGTCTCCGTAAGGATGACCTTGTGGGGCAATGATGCTGAAAACTTTGATGGGTCAGCCACACCAGTGATTGCAGTCAAGGGATGCAAGATGTCTGACTTTGGAGGTACAGGCTTTTATTATCCCATCGAACGAAGTTCGGAGGGATATAGGGAACGCCTCCGTCCGTCCGTCCGTCCGTCCGTCCGTACATACGTCCGTCCGTACGTACGTCCGTCCGTCCGTCTGTCCGTCCGGACAATAACTCAAATACCGTTGGCCCGATTTTGTTCATATTTTGTACACATATACCCTATGGGGGTAGAAGTTCTGCTCGAAAGCCGATTTTCAAAATGGCCGCTCATTTCAAAATGGCGGCCATTTTAGTGCCGATTTTACAGTAATTTAGGTACAATATGTAAAACTGTAATAGCAACATGTTTTAAGTGTAAAAAAATTATAAAGGACATTAATAAAGCTACAAATGTAGATATTAAAAAAGCACATGGCAGCCATCTTGAAAAATTGCGGCCTTTACTCGTTATTTTACGATTTTTGCTGTAACTCGAAAAGTAGTGGAGCGATTTTGTTCATATTTGGTATGTGAATACTATAAGCATGGCACACTGTCCTATGACACTTTTGGTAGACAGCGGCCATTTTGAAAAAAATTTTGAAAAATGGCCGCCATTTTAACATATTTTACTATAACTGGAAAAGTAGTGGAGAGATTTTGTTCATATTTGGTATGTGAATACTATAAGCATGGCACACTGTCCTATGACACTTTTGGTAGAAGGCGGCCATTTTGAAAAAAATTTTGAAAAATGGCCGCCATTTTAACATATTTTACTATAACTCGAAAAGTAGTGGAGCGATTATGTTCATATTTGGTATGTGAATACTATAAGCATGGCACACTGTCCTATGACACTTTTGGTAGAAGGCGGCCATTTTGAAAAATGGCCGCCATTTTAACGTATTTTACTATAACTCGAAAAGTAGGGAAGCAATTTTGTTCATATTTGGTATGTGAATACTATAAGCATGGCACACTGTCCTATGACACTTTTGGTAGAAGGCAGCCATTTTGAAAAAATTTTGAAAAATGGCCGCTATTTTAATGTATTTTACAATAACTCGAAAAGTAGTGAAGCAATTTTGTTCATATTTGGTATGTGAATACTATAAGCACATTGTCTAATGACACCTTTGGTAGAAGGTGGCCATTTTGAAAAATGGCTGCCATTTTAACGTATTTTACTATAACTCGAAAAGTAGTTCAGCGATTTTGTTCATATTTGGTATGTTTCATATTTTATATGTGAATACTATAAGCATGGCATACTGTCTAATGACACTTTGGGTAGTAGGCGGCCATTTTGAAAAATGACCACCATTTTTACGTTTTTACTATAACTTGAGAAGTAGTTCAGTGATTTTGTTCATATTTGGTATGTTTCATATTTTATATGTGAATACTATAAGCATGGCACACTGTCTGATGACACTTTTGGGTAGTACTGGGGTTTCAATAACAGCCGGCGGGCGGCGAAAACGCCGCTTCAAATCCCAGTTACGCCGGTTCAAATTTTGAGAGAATTTGCTGACACATGAGACAAATCAATTTAGTTTGACATATCAAATGAAAGAATATAAATTGGCCTACCTTGTGAAGGCAAAATCTAAGTATAATAGGCAGATAATCAGCAGTGTTTTAGAGAATCACTGAGATAATTATCTTACTGTAATCTGGCCACCATTTTTATTGACCTACTCTCAAACCAACATTGCTTTGAGACTAATGGGTCAGTAGCAAAAAACCTTTATCACTGTCCTGTCAACTTTCAATGGACACTATATTATACTTGAAAACAAACAGTATAATCAATACAATTGATCTTCTTGGCATTATCTTACATCATAGTGAGGAAGCACAAAGGGCAACATTTGAAAACAAATAAAATATTACAAGTCAAAAATGCATATCAAACTATTGAATGTTATCTTTATATTTCATTGAGATTAATAATGTGTCAGAAATATTGAGTTTATTAATTTACATGAGTCAACATTTAAAAAACACATAAAGTAATGAACAAGTCAAATAGATCTATTGGTCATATACAGTTTGTATTAAAGTGACAGGAAAATACTGATTTTATCGTTTTATGTCACAGTGAGGAAGCGCAAGGGGTAATATTTAACTCCAAATATGAACGAGAATGCGAGCGAAGCGAGCGGCGAATGGTCAAAAAAATTCAGCCTGTTGAAATTGCCGAAGGCCTGTTGAAAAAATATTTATTGAAACCCCTGGTAGTAGGCGGCCATTTTGAAAAATGACCACCATTTTTACGTTTTTACTATAACTTGAAAAGTAGTGAAGCGATTTTGTTCATATTTGATATGTGAATACTCACGAGCCTTGCACACTGTCTCATGACACTTTTAAAAAATGGCTGTCATTTTTACATTTTTTACTTATTTCACAAGTACATGTGTGCGATTTTTCCAAAATTTTATAGGTGGCTACTAAAAGCATATTATTTCTTCTGATGACAACTTGGCTAACCATTTTGAAAATGGTGGCCTTTCTGGTGTGTTGTTTTATGATATTTGCTATATATTTCGTTTGTAAAAATGCCAGCCATTTCTGTTCGATGGGATTCGCTACGCTTTGGCGTTGCCGTTGTTCTGGTTTATAAATGAACAAACAGACTCACAGTGAAACTATATTTTTCATCAAAATGAACATTGTTCATCAAATAAAAAGTGGTAACAGTTGTAGCTAATTTCTCATTTAATTCTAGGGCGATCACTCTCCGTTTTAAGCAGCTCTCAGATGATAATTAATCCTGATATTGAAGAGGCCCATACCCTGAGGGGGTGGTACGATTCTGTGGGGTCAAGCATGGATTTCGACACTTATAAACGTGATGACAGCCAATCATCTGGGGGAGGACATAGCGCAAATTGGAAAAACTTCAGCCAAGTCGTATCGGAGAATCTCGGGCATGGTGATAAAGCAGATTATTTCACTTCAAAGGCAACTGTCATGTTTCTCAAGCGTGAGAACTGCATGTATATGGTAAGTCATGGGTTAATGGTAAGTCATGGGTTAAGGGCAAGTCATGGGTTAAGGGTTAGTCATGGGTTAAGGGTAAGTCATGGGTTAATGGTAAGTCATGGGTTAAGGGCAAGTCATGGGTTAATGATAAGTCCTGGGGGTTTCAGGCTGTATCCTTGACACATTTTGTTCCTTTTCTTCATTGATCAATTTTTAATTATCCCCAATGTTCAAGGTTTTTCAATTTCATCTGGATACAAATAGATTTACAAATAAATTCTCACTAAGTAATAATACCTCCCCCTGCCCCACCCCCTACTTTCATGTTTACTTTGACTTTCAGGCATGTCCAAGTGAAAGCTGCAACAAGAAGCTGGTAGATAACAACAATGGTACATACAGATGTGAAAAATGCAGCAAAGAGTATGACACATATAAATGGTGTATGATCCTAAATGCGCGTCTTAGTGACCACACAGACCAGCAATGGGCCACGTGTTTCCAAGAGTCTGCAGAGACCCTACTTGGGAGACCTGCATCAGAGATAGGAGCTGTCAAAGATAGTGGGGTAAGAAATATTTAGATTTGGGGAAGTTTTACAAACCGACATTATTAATTTGCAAAAAATAGATATGATATCTGAAATCATATCTGAAAGAGAATCATATCTGAAAGAGACGTGCCTGATTTGAATGACTAAAATACTCATTTTTCTTACTTCCTGGTTATGGATAAGTGTGATGGTTAATGGAAGTGCCATCGGTACTGTACTAAGAACATTAGGGAGAATATGTTGACCCCTATGCCTTTATCAGACATTCTGTTTGAAATTCTGAATGCAATAACTTGAATGGATTCAGTGTTGTTAATATGGCGTTTACTTCAGATAATAAAAATGTATACATTTTTTGGACCACCCTGTATTAATAAATCATAAATATCTAGCGAATTTGTGTCATTAATAAAATCAACATTTGAACAGTTAAAGAAGCGATTCATCCAAGGGATTGCCTATTTACATTAGTAAAACAGTTGAATCCATATGAACTTTGTCTCCATCATGAACAATGAACAAAAGCAAAATGGCAATCAAAATGCTCACATTATACATAAAATAGAGCACCAAGAAAAATCTTATCTGGTGAGCATACCTTCATCTACAGTGGCCTTGTATCTAACCTAATTGAATCAAATACATGTAAATAAAGATGATAAGAGACTTCTGGTTTTGAAGTAAAAAGCTTGATAAATTGACATGACACCTCAGTTGCATACAAAGGTCATGATTAATCAACACAGTGACAGATCATCTCAACCCCAAGTCAACTCAACCCAGTAAAACTCAACCCCAAGTCAACTCAACCCAGTAAAACTCAACCCCAAGTCAACCCAACCCAGTAAAACTCAACCCCAACTCAACTCAACCTAGTAAAATTCAACCCCAAGTCAACTCAACCCAGTAAAACTCAACCCCAAGTCAACTCAACCCACTCGACCAAACATCAACACCATGTCAATTTTTTAAAATATCCAAAGTATCAGGTGTTATCAGGTGGTGACATGTTGTCATGTAAATGCCTTGTTTTTATTATCATAAAGCATGGGTAACAGCACTTCATCCAATCAATAAGTAGAAATTCATAGATTCACATCTTACCTACATTATTCTTACATATGAATATATCAATAGCATGTTATTATTCAATCAGTATTTTGTTTACTAAAGTGCTAAGATCATGGGCCAGGCTCCATCTGAAATCCTTGATGTTTTCAAATGCTCTTCTCAGGGAGAAGAATCGAGAAAATGTGAAAATTGCAACTCTGATCCAAAACCTGCCATAAAGCAATGTGCCAATTGTGAAATGAGGTTTTGCAGACGTTGTAGACGAGCACATGACTTGTTGAAAGAGAATCGATCACACAGCTGGCTGGATTTATCCCATTCTGAATGCACTAACCCTGATGAATTAAGTGTAGTTAATCCCGCATTTATACCAGAACCAGATGATACAATTCTAATGGCACAAGATGAAATGCGTTCATGTGCTACACACAGAGATAAACTTTTAGAATATTACTGTGTGGACGATGCAACACCAATTTGTGAAGCGTGCTGCAATACAGACCATAGTTCACACGGAAGAGTAACCATGAAAGAAAAGTCAGATGATGTGAAAAACTTGACAATAGAACTGAACATTCTCGGAGAAAACAGAATTGAGAAATGTGATGTCATTATCGAGAAGTTTAAACAAAGTATTGAAAAGTTTAACAAGGAAAAGGAAAGCATTGAAAATGAAATGTGCCAGATAGAAAAGATTTGTAAATCCAATGATCGTGTGAAGGTTATTGAGCTTATCCCAGAAATACTTGAAAAGGAGAAAGAATGGTCAGATAACAGTGATATAAACGATGGCTTTGGATTGCCTGAAGGTGTGGTGATAAATGAATCACAAACTGAAAACGACTTGAACGACATAGACAATACAAGTCTAGCAAGTTCTGCTTATGACGAGTCGATATATGCAAATGTACCACAAAAAGTTTCACAAGTTTCCAAAGTTCCCGCGTTGCCTCCCAAGAAAACTGATACCGCCCCTAGTAGACCTCCAAAAAGATCAAAACAAGAAGTCCGAGATTCGCAAGTCACATCTGCAGTTATGGAAACTGCCCTTGAAAAACGAAAACCAGCTAAACCTGATATGCAGATAAGTGGCATATCTGAGGCAAATGAAGATGATCAAAATCAAGAGAGAGAAGATACAGCAACTCTGAGTGGACCACTAAGACCTCTTAATGCTGCAGACCAGAATCAAGAGTCATATGATTACATAACAGTAGATTTGGAAGCAGATTTCAAGGAACCAAAACCGTTGAACTAGAGATACCAATTAAACTTCCAAATGATGCAAAACAAGATTGAAATAGTTAAGAATCAAAAGATATATTTACAGATTTGGAGGCAGATATAAAGGAACCAATTACTCCAGTACCAGTTAAACGACCTATGAAACAATTGATGAACACTCAAAAACACTCAAAAGTGTCCTGTGTGCAGATTTTAATGGTGGCCATTTGAATACAGCTATAAAGAGCGTTGAACCAGAGATACAAATGGCTTCCTTAAAGAACACAAAATAACATTGGACAATCAAAAGTCAAAAAAACATTTGTAAAAACTAGTTTAACAGTTACTGAAAAATTCACAAACTAATTAATTGTCCCTACATTACCTGAAAAACATTATTGACATTCGGTAGCCTACGGATGCCATCTTCAGAACTATTTATTCACTTCCTGTTCTCGAGCATTGGCTCCCAACAGTTGACAACTTGGAAATTGTCTTTGTCACTATTCATGTTTACAGTTTCTTTGATATACATTGGTTCCTTGATTAATATACATTATATAACATACTGACGTTTTATCATGTTAATCACGGTGTCCAACCCAAACGCTCTTACATGCACGACAGAGCATTTCTTTGTTTAGTTTCAGTAATGAAATGCTCCGTCATGCATGTAAGAGCTTTTGGGTTGGACACCGTGTTAATGCCTTGTCAATTCTACTGGTATGAGTTTTTTCAATAGGTTTATTTCATAGTTATCAATTACATATTTCAATTCTTCATTTTTCTACCTCCCCATTCATTTTACTTTGCTTCCTAAGTTTCATCGTCACTCTTTCAGCTAGAAAAACCTTTGAACTCACCAAGACAATCAGAGCTTGCCGTCAGAAGGCGGACGACTTTCTATATATGGTCATTTCCTCTGAAGTCATTGTTCAGCAACTACAACCTACATCAATTTATGTTTCTTTCTGCTCTCTGATTGGTAAAGCAAGTGTGTCAGGGCTGTTGATTTGAATTGATTTATAACTTGGATTGTGACCACACCCAGCAGTGGGGGAGGGTCTGTTGAACTGAAAAAACTATTGAGAAAAACTATTCAGAGGTAATTTTAGAGCTAACATTATGGGTTAGGGAATCATTTTCCCTCCAAAACCTTCTCAAAACCACACAATGAATTCAGAATTCTCTCTAATACAAATATAAATGATAGTTGTATATTTATGTTTTCAGGATGAGACAGCCTTTGACAACTTATTCCAAGAGGCCACATTTAAACAGTTCATTTTTAAACTCAGAACCAAGATGGAAACATACAATGTAAGTATAGCAGTCAACATAACCTACATGTAATGTGAATTTAGTATCTACATAGAATGTGAATTTAGTATCTACATAGAATGTGAATTTACATAGAATGTGAATTTACATAGAATGTGAATTTACGTAGAATGTGAATTTACATACAGTGTGAATTTACATAGAATGTGAATTTACGTACAATGTGGATTTACGTACAATGTGGATTTACGTACAATGTGAATTTACGTACAATGTGGATTTACGTACAATGTGAATTTACATACAATGTGAACTTACTTACACTGTGAATTTACTTACACTGTGAATTTATGTACACTGTGAATTTATGTACACTGTGAATTTACGTACAATGTGAATTTACATACAATGTGAATTTATCAATTAAAGACTTCAAAGTCCAATTTTCCATGAACTTAAACTGAACTTTAATGTAAACTGAGGTATATAAAGTGGAAAAATTAAGGTATCGAAGGTGCTTCCTTTACAAATGTTTCCGTGTGTACACACTGCTATTGACTGATCTACAGAGGTCTAAAAGAGGAGGAATATCCCAGAATCCATGAATGAACCTTACTCTGTGTTAAGATGACCTTCTATAACTCTATCTTTACAGGGCGATAGGTTCATCTATGAATTCTGGGATATTCCCCCTCTTGAGCTCCAATTAATTTGTTCTTTCAGGAGGAGTCTCGGCTGAAGACTGTCTGTGTGAATGTAAGCCCCGTAAACCATGAAGAATACAGCAAGAAGCTCATAGAGGACATTCAGAGGCTAACCACCAAATAATTTAATTATGACTAATTAAAACTTGTGACTAATTTGTTCTGACTAATTGTGACTAAACTTTATTAGAGGAGGTATGGAACTTCAGATTTGAAGTGTAAAATACAAAGAGATCGATCAAGTAATGCCATATATGGTGTAAACACAGAGTAATGCCATATATGGTGTTAAAACACGGAGTAATGTCATATGTGGTGTAAAACACAGAATAATGCCATGGCTATATATGGTGTTAAAACACGGAGTAATGCCATATATGGTGTAAAACACAGAATAATGCCATACAGGTTTACTCAGAATAATGCTATATATGGTGTAAAACACAGAGTAATGCCATATATGGTGTAAAACACAGAGTAATGCCATATATGGTTAAAACTCCGAACACATTTACATGAACTTATTGTAGATCAATTTGAAAACCTTCTTTAACTTGAATTTGAAAACCAAAAACATTTTCTTTTTTGCCAACAAGTCATTGTATTGATTGAATGACATTTCATCATTAACATCAGAAATTAAAAATAATTAGTTCAGACACTAAGCATAAAAAATTGCTTAAACCTTGTGAACTTCATAAACAATTTGGAGAATCGACAGAAATATTTTTGAAGTGTAGGTCAATGTTATGTTGAGGATTTTTAAATGCCACGGTGAATATGAACTTGTATAACAAAGTGAGACCTCTAATTGATGATTAAACCAAGATATTTTATGAGATGTTTGGCTTACTGTTAAGAATTTAAGACCTAAAGCTGTTAATCAAACTGTTATGACATAAAGCTGTTATTTTTTCTCAGAAATTCAATTAATATTGCCAAATAAGGAAATGTGGATTTGTTGGGGTCATTTCCTCATATTTATGACACATCACATGAGTAGCCTTGCAATCAGCCTCTAGACCCATGCAATCATGTATAAAGGAGGCTATTTTCCTCTACTGATTGAGATAGGATTGAAAAGCATGTACAGATTGTGTTTTTTTTTTGTGTTTTTTATAAATGATATTCTTGACCTCTATATCTGAAAAATGAGAGAGGATATTGGATTCCTGATATCCATATGATGGTGAAAAGCATGTGCAGATTTCAGATACATTTTGTTTTTTGAATGGTACTTGTATCTAATCTCTATATCCTGGCCTCTATTTTGATGGTTAGGTGGAAAAAAACGTAAATAGATTTTTATTTTTTTTATTCCTGAGATCTATGATGATAGTGAAAAGCATAAACTGACTTTTCATTTTATTACTTTTATTAATTTCTTTTATGTATTTCTGTATTTCATGTATTCCTCATGTATTTCTTCGTCTTGTATTCATACCTGTCATGTATAATGGTACATGTACTGTTAATGATGTAAATATTATCATATATTCTGTATAGAATAAAACATTGTAGAAATAGTGAAAAGTTCTCATGTTATATGATAATTATTTGATAAAACAATGGAAGTCCTTGATGTAGAACTATGGCCAGAGAGATAGATTCATTTAATCATTAGACATCTAGGGGGATGGGTCATTGGGGGACTGTTGGGTATACATTAGTTGTGCAACTCGAACTCAGGTGCTCAGTTCTCCAATCAGTCTTCTGGCTACAGTGTACATGTACAAGGTGTTCACAAAGTCTACAATTACGATACTATAAGTTATTGAATGATTTGAAGTGCAATACAGGACATATTCTGCTCGAGAAATTCTGAATTGGAATGAGACGAAGTCGAGTGCCAATACAGAATATCGAGACAGAACATATCCTGTATTGCACTTCAAATCATTCAATAACGTTTTTATCGTGTGATGCTCTGTATTGCTACTGAGATTGTCCCCTGCGTACCAATATTTTCTGTATTGCGACGGAGATGATCAACGGGGACAATCTCTGAACTGACCAATCAGAGGGCTTCATTTTACAGAGTATACGATAAATGTTTGTATTGAAATTGTATCTACAATTACGATACAAAGTATTGAAATTGTAGAGACTCACTCTACTGACACCCTGTACAGTATAATAATTTGACCATTTTCCAAATAGGGAGCTTCTACAAACATTTTCACAGACAAAAAGAACTGAATCACACAATTATAAGTAGGTGTTCCCATTGTTATTTTATTCTTCAAATTTAAAATAAATAATTCATAAGATACTGCCACTCAGGTTCATCAATGCACCTTGAACTTTAAATAATCATTTTTTGAAAAAAATGTGAAGTTTGGCTGTAGCTGTTTCAATGAGATCAAGTGACCTTCCATCCTCCAATCACAGGGCTTCAAAATCCAGAATATGATTCTCTCTTTTTACCCCCTGCGATAAGCAGTTAGCATTTCCCCGATTAAGAACTCGCAATCTGATTGGCTGTCGCAACACTGCGACAGAAATCATGTATAAATCATTGCGCATAATTAGATCATGTGATTCAGTTTAATCGGGCGCTTCCAAATTGGTTATAGCAGGGGGAAGAAGGAGATATGGATTCTGGATACTTGCTTAGGAGGATGGTGCCCTTCCCATGAGAGTTTATTACCAGCCTTTTTGGTGTATTTTTATCCTTATTATTATATATTTTGAAAAATGGCAGCCATTTTACTATAACTCGAAAAGTAGTGGAGCGATTTTGTTCATATTTGAATACTATAAACATGGCAGACTGTTTAATGACACTTTTGGTAGGTGGCCATTTTGAAAATGGCTGCCATTTTTTGCTATATACTTTGTTTGTAAAAATGCCAGCCATGGCTGTTCGATGGGATTTGCGTTGCTGTTTAGTTTTGCAAAATGTATTATCATCACAACTGAATATAAATATAATTTTCTATTCATCTGGACACATTAGTGGTTATTGAAAGTATAACATGATACGAGAATTGTATCATACCATTGTATGGCTTCTTATTTTTTAATCTTGAATTTTTAGGGTCTATTCTTATATTTAAATGTTTTGTCATCTAGTATTGATGGCTTAAAACTCTTAGCTGAGCAAAGAATAATGTTTTCTGTTGTTACTAGGGAGTAGATGAGAGTTGCTTTGGTAACTGTTCCTATGTTTTTCCCTTCTTTAAATCTCCAAGATCTTCTATGTTGTCCTCATCAATCTGAAAACATTTTGAGTATCATCATTTTGAGTTTGAGTATCATCATTTTGAGTATCATCAGTAACTTTTATCTAAGTGCTGGAAAATTTAAAAATTGACCATCTCCAATAAAACATGTATTGTACTTTAAACTGGCACTGTAACTTAAGCAGGTGTTATTTTATACTAGCTTAGTATTTCAATCTAGTATTAATGAAAATGGCATGACTGGTCTTATCAATACACAAAACTGGAAAGAGCTGGGGAAGTTATAGTAATAGATTTCAAGTGATTTATTAGCTCATATGGTGAGCTATAGCTATCACTATAAGCTATCCACCCATTAACCTCTTGACTACCTGGAGTGACGAGATTTCTCGTCACCTCAGAAATGACTTTGAAACCCAGAGTGACGAGAAATTCTGTCACAAATTTTTTCACTAAAATTGCTCTTATTTGAACAAATTTCATCCAATTTACACAAAAATTGTTTTAATGTCAAAAGGTGGCAAAAATGAAAAAATCCCTGGTTTCAACCGATTTTAGAGCCTGGGATTCAAGAGGTTAACAAGCTTTTCCAAAATGCATTCATCATTTTTTACCTCCAGTCCCACATTATTTAAAGATTTTCTAGTTTTAAGCAAAAAAGTCCTTCAAAAATTTTCTAAGTTACTAATTTTCGTAAAGTTGAGTGTGAAATAGGCCTTTACAAAAGAGAAATTTAGGCCCCAATACTGTACTCCTGGTATTTTTTGCGTGCGATTTAGTTTCGCGCTTTTTGCGAAATTGTCAATTCAATCCCTGGGGATTTGTGAAATTTTTTATTACCTGAGACTCCATTGCATTTTGTGTTTTGTGAAATGTTTGTCAAGTGTTTTTCTGTGATAAATGGGATAGTAAGTAACAATGTCTGTTACAGTGGCTTATTAGATCAAATAAACCCCAAAAAATTACGATGTAATAGAGGTTAAGGTGAACCGTGTCATTGACCAAGATAACATAGTAGAAGGTGTACTTTGTGAAATATATTGCAAAATTTAATAGCCACAAAATTGTCTTTTTCTTCAAATTCTCGAAATTAAAACTCGCGAAATTAACCGGGAGTACAGTACTTCATCTCCAATCTCTCTATCTTCCCTGCAATAGATGAGAGCAGAATAACTGAAGATGCCAATATTTACCTGTGGCCACTTTTCTTCTATGAAGTCCCATAGCTCATCTTTGATGTCACCCTGGACGGTAATGTCATCAGGGCCAGATATTGAGGCCCCACATGCAAACTTCTGGCCCAGGGCCTTACATGCAACCTTCAGATCTATATCTGCAATTGAATTTCATTTCATGTCAAACTTAAGTGTTCTGCAAGAGCTCCCTTAGTAGCATTATAACAAATCTCTAATATGTACATTTTACAGGCACATTGCGACTTCAGGAAGTAGATTCAATTTGGGATGAATGCTATCAATAGGAGTTAACCCTTTCCCGGCGTGAATATAAGAGGAAAATGTTGGCCTGGTGACAGATAAGTAAGAGCAGTTTTTAGGTAAAAACTGGAAATGACATATTTCGCAGGACCCATACTCTAAATTTTACCACTAAAATATAATTATGAATAAGCATTATCACAATGTCAACTACTTGTCAAAATTTTGTGTAAAAATACTGAATAAAACTGGAGATATTGTCATTTCATTGATGTATGTAAATAAAAAAAATATTTATGCCAAAAGGAGCCTTAGATTATAATCGTCGTGAAAGGGTTAAGAGAATATGTTGCTGACATCAATTAAAGTTTTAAAGTAATCAAAGCGAACTTCTTGTTCAAATAACGCCTATATAAAATCAAAAATATTGAGTATTCATCAATCAGCACATGTTCGGAATTATTGATGATCACAGGATGTAAAAAATGGTGGATATGACAACAAGTTACCGCTAGAGTCTCGTGGTGACATAATAAACCAATCAAAACACAAAATAGTACACTGCAGGAAATGTTGTCGCAAACTACAAAATTATTTATGTCACTAATTTTTAGAATTCTTTCATGACATTTGAAACACATGTTCTTTGGACTCCTAACACTTCAACTTTTTTTGTTTTTTTTAAATGTCACATCTAGAGGTTATGGTGACCAAAAGAGTTTTTGTATTGATTTCTGATTTTTTGCAAAAATGTAGCAAAATTGCAGCAAATTGCAGGTAATATGTGTTACACAGAACATGCAGGAATCGTCAGTTCTAAAAAGTATGAAGGGTATAGAAGGATTTGTTTCAGAGTCTTTCAACCCTACAAATGCATACTTTACAAAACTGGAAAGTGCCAGTATCAATGTACTGTAGTTATGCTACCCCATTTTGAACATATGCTTAACCCTGGAGAGCTGTTCAATAAAGCCATCCAGCAGAGTGTATGTAGATAGCATCCACTTGACTCACCAAGGGACCAGTATGGTCGCATAATTGTTGGTCCTCTGTCATTTGAGGAGTGTCTTCAAGCATAAAATGTGTCTTGCAGCGAATTAGAGACTTTAGAAGCATTCGCTAATTTTTTTGTAAAAGTAAATTGAAAAAGTACACATTTTTCTAAATAAATGTATTTTCTAAAATAAAAGGTTTAAAGAAAAACAAATTGTTTTTTAGTGATAGGAATACAACAGAGAATGTGTGTTCCGAATTTCATGGAAAATAAGTAAAAATTAGTGACATGATGTAATTTCGAAGTTCGAGACAAAATTTCCTGTGGGGCACTAAGGTTTAATAAAATGGGATGCATCTGTTATGTGATCAATTTTAAAAATGCATGGGAGATATGCATATTTCCATTGGAATAAATTCTGTATCTAAAACATCCCATTACATCAATCCGTATGCATTCTCCCACTCACCATATGTTGCTAAGCCTGTTATAATTGTGCTATATTTTCTTTTTTGACGACATTGTCGAGCCAAACACACTTTCTGTGGGCCAGCTGCCTTCTTCTTGGCTTTGATAACTCCTCTCCCACCCCTTGTTTGGCGCTTTTTCTTTTCATCGCCATCTGCACCATCATCTTTGCCTAGAGGGTGAAGAAACATCGATATTCAAGCTACTACATTCCAACTGGATCACTCATTTTAATGTCTGGCATTTGACCAACCAGAACAACGGCAACGCCAAAGCGTAGCGAATCCCATCGAACAGAAATGGCTGGCTGGCAAACGAAATATATAGCAAATATCATAAAATAACACACATAAGGCCACCATTTTCAAAATGGTTGCTCACTAGCCAAGTTGTCATCAGAAGTAACATGCTTTTTTTTCTAGCATTCACAACCAAATATGAACAAAATCGCTCCACTACTTTTCGAGTTATAGTAAAATACTTTAAAATGGTGGCCATTTTTCAAAATGGCCGCCTTCTACCAAAAGTGTCATTAGACAGTGTGCCATGCTTATAGTATTCACATACCAAATATGAACAAAATCGCTCCACTACTTTTCAAGTTACAGCAAAAATTGTAAAATAACAAGTAAAGGCCGAGTAAAATATGTTTAAATGGCGGCCATTTTTCAAAATGGTCACCTTCTACCAAAAGTGTCATTAGACAGTGTACCATGCTTATAATATTCACATACCAAATATGAACAAAATCGCTCCACCACTTTTCAAGTTATAGTAAAATACGTTAAAATGGCAGCCATTTTTCAAAATGGCCACCTTCTACCAAAAGTGTCATTAGACAGTGTGCCATGCTTATATTATTCACATACCAAATATGAACAAAATCGCTCCACTACTTTTCGAGTTAAAGTAAAATACGTTAAAATGGCGGCCATTTTTCAAAATGGCCGCCTTCTACCAAAAGTGTTATTAGACAGTGTGCCATGCTTATAGTATTCACAAACCACATATGAACAAAATCGCTTCACTACTGTTTGAGTTATAGTAAAATATGTTAAAATGGCGGCCATTTTTCAAAATGGCCGCCTCCTACCAAAAGTGTCATTAGACAGTGAGCCATGCTTATAGTATTCACATACCAAATATGAACAAAATCGCTCCACTACTTCTTGAGTTACAGCAAAAATCGTAAAATAACGAGTAAAGGCCGCCATTTTTCAAGATGGCTGCCATGTGCTTCTTTAATATCTACATTTCTAGCTTTATCAATGTCCTATATAATTTTTTTACATTTAAAACATATTGATATTACAGTTTTACATATTGCACCTAAATTACAGTAAAATCGGCACTAAAATGGCCGCCATTTTTGAATGAGCGGCCATTTTGAAAATCGGCTTTCGAGCAGAACTTCTACCCCCATAGGGTATATGTGTACAAAATATGAACAAAATCGGGCTAACGGTATTGGAGTTATTGCCCGGACGGACGGACGGACGGACGGACGTACGTACAGACGTACGTACGGACGGACGGACGGACGGAGGCGTTCCCTATATCCCTCCGAACTTCGTTCGATGGGATAATTAGAGAATACTAGTCTCGTGTTTTTGTATTTCATTCTATGGAGAATTATGGCTTGATGGCAACTGGCTCTGAGGAGATCAATGAATCCCATTTTTATGGATATGTAAGATATGCTTGATTACCTTTGCAATAGACCAATTGTCCAAAAAGAAGGGGGAATTATTTTTTTCAAAAATCCTCAAATCAGGCAATATTTGAAGTATAGATGGCACTCCTTATGAAATTAAGTTAAACCTGCACATCGCTCCAAAACGCAATATTTTGACATATATTGTTTTTACATTTTCAAGCTCTGAAATAAAGTTTCTGTAAATAAAAATTGTTTTTTCCTGTGTAATATCAAAGAACAATCATTTAGTAAAAAAAGGAAAAAACGTACATACAGGATTTGAACCCGGGCCGCCTGCGTGCTTAGCGAGCATTCTACCGCTGGGCTACCAATTCATTATGAATGGTGAGTGTAATTAAACGCTACTTATTTTGAATGCTATAATTCGGAAGTGACGTCACGTTCTTAATTTAGAAACCTTCCAAAAATCATACTGTCGTCGACAATCGAAGCAATTCAATGAATAATCGTTGTAATGATCCATTTATCGTGAGTATTTATACACAAGATTTGCCCCATTTGTTCATCATTCTATAATCTTTCATTTAGCTCAAAATGATAAAGTTCACCCCCGAAACAACCCAAGATTGCGTTTTGGAGCGATGTGCAGGTTTAAGAGACATGATCTATAGATAGCACTTCATACTTGATAGAAGAAGATCTTGCAATTCATCTGGTAGATTCTTGGCCATCCATTCTTTACATTTCTCATAGTTGGGATGATATTCACAATACTCCACTGGCATACTGCACTCTAAAATAAATAGATATGTTTAGTCATAACATGTGTAGTCATTACATGTGTAGTCATAACATGTGTAGTCATAACATGTGTAGTCATTACATGTGTAGTCATAACATGTGTGGTCATAACATGTGTAGTCATAACATGTGTAGTCATTACATGTGTAGTCATAACATGTGTGGTCATAACATGTGTAGTCATAACATGTGTAGTCATAACATGTGTAGTCATTACATGTGTAGTCATAACATGTGTAGTCATAACATGTGTAGTCATAACATGTGTAGTCATTACATGTGTAGTCATAACATGTGTAGTCATTCCATGTGTAGTCATAACATGTGTAGTCATAACATGGAACAGATATATGAGGGATGTCCATTGGAGATCCTCAATCACTTCCTTATTTTCTACCTTTTCTGTACCTTATATTGTAAGTGGTCTTATACCTTATGTTTTTTGTTTTTTATACCTTATGTTTTGGGCTTCTTATACCTTATGTTTTGGAAAGTCTTACACTTTATCTCAGTGGAGACCCCCCTTTTATGAGATGAAATGTATTTTTTGAAATGCATATACTATAAAAGATAGATGATCAAATTATTTGCTTTTGTGTTATACACCTAACAACAGTAATAAACCATACAAACAATATAAATTTGAGGCCCAAGGTAAACATACATAAATGTACACAAGTTGAAAATATACCCCAGTTTGAATTGAACTAAGAAGCAGGACTAAAATGTCTTCTGGACCTACCTCCACAATAAATCATTTCTATTGGATATGTGATATCAGGCCTTGGACCAGTATTAATGATGTACTTGCTTTGCTCCTCCCCATCTCCTGCCTCAGCATTGTCCGCCATCCTGCAAATCCACCAATTAATACAAGCATCAACAGGTATAGGCTTCAGCAATCCTGTTTATTTACATATCTGAGTTTTTTAGGGCCTTACAGAGCATGGTGGGCTGGATATTAGAAAGATAATCTATATACTAGCTGAGACTATGTTAGTCATGGATACTAGTGACACTCACCAAAGATAAGCAACAGTGACAAAACAACACGGACAACATCAGTGACTATCTGGTGACATGATAGCACCATAACAAGGAATCTAACCAACCATATAAATCTACGATAAGGTACATGTAAGAGTCAAACTAGTCCAACAACATTAGACCAGCCTGGGCCTCGTTTCTTATCTGACATGTCTTTTGGCCCAGGCTAGGTAAACTCATATATCTGCTTTAAATGGGCTTATTAGCCTTTTGCGGATTATTGATGTAGATGTAGGTCTCAATAACGGGCCAAGGAAATTCCTAATAGTAAAGAACGCCGTTGTTGAGTTTAAAGACGTTGAACTAGAGTCAAACATGTTCGAAAATGACTGTTACAGGGAAACTAAAATGTCAGTTATTGAACTTCAAAACAGTTTTGTTTACACATTGCTACATTCTTTCTCTTCTCTAAATTAAATTGACAGAATTTCTCCCTTGGCATTTAGATGCCGCTTCAGTTTCCTGTGAATCTGATCTCATGAGGATCGATATTTTGATGAACAGCTAACGTTTTTGTTCTTCAGGTCAGGTTATATTTCAAATATAGAATATAGAGAGTATATTAGGGAAAATCTGGAGGTGGTCCGAGATTTGAAATCTACAAAATTATGTGCATATGAGAATCATGATTTGATATTTCAAGATCATTGATGGGCGATAATTGGTTTCAAAGTAATTTATCAAGTATTTGTGAAAGAAATTATGGTTAAAATATGATTCGAATTAAAGTTAGCACAGCACTTATTCAAATTAAATGTAAGCGTAAATGTAAATATGCATACCTACCTCTAAATTATTCTATATCTAGACCAATAAGGTGAAAAGTGTTTGCTTTTTTGCCCGGATCCGGAAATTAAATGAAACGCATGCGCATTTGTGCGGTTTCTACAAACGATTACATTTTGAAAACAATGCACTAAAACTGTTTTTATTCCTCTCAAAGTGAAATCTGCGTCGTAAATCTGAGTTAGGTGATAGTCCACATTATTTGGTAAGCTCACAGATAAGTTTTGATAGCTAATTATATTGAATAAACCCGCAATGCTAACATGAATAAGAGCTCCAAAAATATTTCAAATAATTTTTTATTTCTTCGATCTTCACTCTGTTCAAAATCATTTTTTTCACCCGGGTTTTGTTAATGTTATGAAAAAACAAATGATTAATTCAAACCTTACTATAAAGAATAGCATTGTTCATTTAGGAATCATACCAATGTTGGCCAATGTTCTTGGTTAGATTTGCAGTCAACATATCATGAATGATTGATGATATGGATCTTCCATCAAACTTCAATGTTTTGGGTGAATTTATCATCAGTGGCCCGTTCTTGTACCGTTCGTAGTAACAAATGTTCGTAAGTCCATTGTTAAATTTGCGACTTTCATAAAATTGCATTTCCGTAAGATTCGTAAAATTACGAACAATCTGAAAGTTATCAAAATAGTGACGTCATGCCTCATGCCTGCTTTTGTTTGCAGATTTAATAGCACTTCTGACCCTTTCGTCACTTTGTGAATGGCTTGTTAATTACTGTATTTTGTGACATTTTGTCTTTTTTTAATCAGAGAAAGAATATGGGCAACACATCAAATCATTATCAACTTATTTCTATTTTTGCTTCAATATTTATCTTTATACAACTTATCGTACAACTTTGATTTTATTAAAACTTGTTTGATGTGCTATCGAGAGTACCTGTCCTGACAACGGTGTAATATGACGTCAACTCATTCGTAAACTTAACCTCTAAACAATTGAAAAAATATGAATGACTTACGAATGTGTACCAGAATGGTTCATTCGCAAATTTATGAATTCAAAACTCATTCGTAACTTTTAAATTATTTACAAATATTCATAAATTTACGAACTGCGAGTACGAACGGTACAAGAACAGCCCCCTGGATACTTTGACCATAGGGCTACACTGACTATAATTATTCAAACTATAGGATGGATTATTATTCGTCTCATGTCAAATATGGAAAAAGTAGCCCTGGAACGAAATAGACTAATCTCATATTTTGAAATAAGATGGACATTTTCTTCTATCACTAAGTTTGTGAACTGGTCATTGAATTAATTACATGAGAAAAGTTGTTAGCAGAAATGATGAAGTATCAATGTTACATACATCGTACATGTACATTGGCACTTTGTCCTCCAGGCTTTTGTTGTTATGAACTACGACAGTCTCATAAGCACACTTCGCACTTCCTTTGTTTGTTTTGCCCCAGGCCCATAGCCAGGATTTGCCAGGGGGGGGGGGGGGGGGGGGTGTCACTTATTGAAAAATTCCAGGGAGTGTTCACTTTTGACAATTTTGGTCCAAAAATGGCCAAATCACTTTAAAAGTGCTCAGAATGGTGAAAAACTGCATGGTTTTCAAATAATTTTTGGCTGGGGGAGGGGGGGGGGTTCTTGAACTTATCGAACCCCCCCTGGGTACAGGCCTGTGCCCCAACTGAAATACGGACAAATTCAGATGGGTGAGGAAGCAGGTTGATTAAATCTCACTCACTGATACAGTGCAGCCATAACCATCTGTGTGACTGCTTTGCTGTTAAGCCTATCTCTAAGACTTCTCATTTCTTTTCCTTGGTGAGAAGCCAATCCAAATGAACCCAGAAATCTTGATATTTGTAAACATTTGTATATTTTAGGTATGACTGATAAAGGCTTCCTCCACAGCACCCCTAAGGTAAAGTATTAGTTCTGAATAAATTATTCACATGCAATGTATAAATGATATTATTTACGTCTACATGTATTAATCAGATATGGAAAATATAATACCATGTTGAAATACCCTTCAAATTTGCAATCATGTTCAAATAGTACGACAGTATATACTATTTAGGCTTTACCATATTTAGCCATATAAGGCTGTATTGCATCACAGAATGAGGGGCTCCCTAAGGGGTACATGTTAAAGGTGACATGGCCTCTAAGAATGTGACTTAAAGATAATGTGACTTTGGGGTATATAAAAACAAATAAATGTGACAAAAAGTGCTTGCAAGTTATGATTTTGAGCATTGATCCAAACCTGTTTTTATTTTATATAATTTATTCTATTTAGATAATATAGAATGGAATAAAGTCTATAATTAAAGCATAAATCTATGCAGAACTCTATTTGTTATATTTCATAGTAAGACATTGCATGTTGAACTAAGTGATTTACTATGTTTCATTACAATCACTTAACAGATCAATTAGATATTTGTAAATTATTAATTAGTACATATCGTATATAAATTGTTAGCATCTATGTGTATAATTACAATATAGTACAGTATAATAGGCCATATTTGTAATTATTATGCACCCAGACAACACACATGAAATATTAATGCCCATACAGCACTTTAGGTTGAATTATTCGTCTTTTGTAAAATTTGTTCTAAGGCTGTTTTTTAATTCTGTGATTTCTTTTTCACTCCCATGAATCAAAGCAATATCTGAAAATAGATTTTATTGAAAGAAGAATAGTCTTTATCCATACTGATACTGAATAGTATACCCTTAACTTTTTTTTTTATCAAAATCAAGTCTAAATTAACTGTGAAACAAATTTAAAAGTAATAGTATACAATCTTAAAACTATTCTCTGATCATGTGCTAAAAGTCCATGAGGTTTTAAACAAATGAAAATAATTTTTTTTACCTCAATGGATAAGTGAAAGTTCAATTCAACTGGAATTCATCCCAAACGTTGCATTGATTTTGTTTTATGTAATATGTTATAATTAGGTACATGGGAGACTACAGAGTTCCAGAAGTCCCACCTCAGCTCGACGATCTCTCAGTCCGGCTATGTCTGCACAGCGTATTAGCCCAAACAGACTCTCGACATCAAAGACTTATAGACAGGCAAGTGATAATTGCCCGTGGATCCATTTTTGAAATTCTTAAAATTTGGCCAATAAGCACAAAACTGTTAAGCAATGAAGAAATAATAACTGGTACATACACTGTAGTTCCATGTTAAAAATAAGCAAACGTCCTAAAGATACAGAGTGAGTGTGTGGAAGTGAGTTCAACATTTCTCATTGGAGAGAAAGTATAATATGGGAAATGTTTACCTGTTTTTAAAGCGAGGTAATAGATTTATGGCAAATATGAGAATATTAGAGAGATTTCGCAACTCACTTATAGCATGTTTATTTATTTTTTTTATATAAGTCGTTGTCTATACATAAGAATATCACACAATGGACGTAAGTTATATGTTATACGGCAATAATAAACCTGCTATAAGTGTCTACGAAATCTTCCCAATGTAAATATGTAAGGATTATAAAAGTATATATAAGTAATGCTTGACATACAAAATATAGGATAAAACAAATTCTTTCTCTAAATTATTTCAGTCTAATCCAATGTCTGAGTTAGAGAACAACACAATACAGAAACAGCGTAAAGAGCTTCAGCTCCTTATACAAGAGCTTAAGGAGCGAGATAATGAGCTAAATGAGATGGTATCTACACACCATAAGCAACTGTTAGCTTGGGAAGATGACAGACAGAAGGTGCTGACCCTGGAGCAGCGCAATGCAAGACTACAAGGTATTGACATACACTCCTCGTCATAAGTTTGACAATTTAGAGTTTCATTGGATATTGTTCAAACACTTTGTGAGTTTCAAACAGTTTAAGAAAAGAGCTCCATGAGCCTGTTTGAATGTTGAGAAAAACTGTTTTGGGTTTGAATGAGACAAAAACAGCTTTGTTTGGTTTTACTGATTATTTAAAGATTCAGGTTATTAGAACCATGAGTTTTCATTGGATAGCTAAGGTCCATTTGTTGCAAATGCTAGCTTAGGATGTTGTAAGTTAATCATTAATCATTTATCAAAAACCTGTTTTATTCTTGGTAATTTAAAAAATCATTAAATTTGTCATCAATTTCTGAACTATTGAAATTCAGGAAAATTACCAAGATTCAAACATTGACAGTTTTGGGTGATTTTGTTGCATGCAAAGGTCCATGTGCAGTATGGAAAGTGATTTTAGACAGTTGTATCTTTCACCATGAGTATTTCCTGGATATAAATGCATTGGTTTTTATTAAAACAATATGTTTTCTTTCAAGTGACGTCCTCATGATAGTAAAATATCAATCCAACTCTCTGAAAAATTATGGATTAGGACCCACCCTGTCACTTTTTAAAAATGTAAGGCTTATTTTCTAAAAAGAGGATCTTGTTCTTCTCAATTTAAATGTCTCAAAAGTTTCTTCTACACTATATTAATAACTTCTGAAAAGGGGATGGGTATTGAAATGCGATAAAGTTAAAAACCACATTTCCCATGTTATTTTCCCATAGGGAAAACTCACGGTTTTCAGCATGATTTTGGTCATCGAAAATTGATATCTTCAAAACTAGACTTTCAATACCATTCTACTTTTGAAGATGTTTTAGACCCCTTGTTGAATAATGTTTTCATGCAATAAAAATCAGAAAAAGAAGATCCTCTTTTGAGCAAATAAGTTCAACATTTTGAAATAATTGTTGACATGGGGTCCCTATTTATAATTTTTCGAATTGTTCGATTGATATTTTTATCGTCATGGGGACTTCACTTGAAAGAAAACATATTCACCCTTGGTATACGCAGCTAACGAAAATTGACCGGTACGGGTCAAAAGCTGGACCGGTACGGGTTAACGGTTTTATTTGAATTTAAAACAGCCATAACTTGCTCAATATTGACTTCCTCGTGTCTAATTTGAAATATATGATGCCCCCCGATGCTTTAAAGTACCCCAATTTTTTACAGATTTTTAAACGGACCAAAACTCTCTAAATGCGCATTTATGCTCTTTTCTCTCGAGAACGACTGTCTCATTTTCACGATAACTTTTATTAAGTACTTCTAACATATAAGATCTATTTTTCCCCATCAAGGTATGATGTAAATGACATGCTTTTTACATCTTGTGAGTTTCAATGACGCGCGTTTGATTTTATAAAAAATGCCAAACTTTGTGACAAAGAATTTCATCAGCTATTGCCCCGAACCGGTCCGTCTTCTCGTTGCAAGCAGATTGCCCCGAACCTGTCCGTCTTCTCGCTGCAAGCAGGATGAAATTCTTTGTCACAAAGTTTGGCATTTTTTATAAAATCAAACGCGCGTCATTGAAACTCACAAGATGTAAATTGCATGTCATTTACATCATACCTTGATGGGGAAAAATAGATCTTATATGTTAGAAGTACAAAATAAAAGTTATCGTGAAAATGAGACAGTAGTTCTCGAGAGAAAAGAGCATAAATGTGCATTTAGAGAGTTTTGGTCCGTTTAAAAATCTGTAAAAAATTGGGGTACTTAAAAGCATCGGGAGGCATCATATATTTCAAATTAGACACGAGGAAGTCAATATTGAGCAAGTTATGGCTATTTTAAATTCAAATAAAACCGTTAACCCGTACCGGTCCAGCTTTTGACCCGTACCGGTCAATTTTCGTTAGCTGCGTATACCAAGGGTGATATTGTTTTAATAAAAACCACTGTATCGATGGTTAGAGAGTACCGATGGTGAAAGATATGACCGTCTAAAATCACCTGCCATGCTGCACATGGACCTTAAACTGTTGACCACAATTTGATTGCTATCCTTTGGCCAACTCATTAGTACTTAGTATTCCATTTCCCCTTAGATAAGCACTTCTATACAGCTTTCATAAGCTTGTCTTGAATCAATATACATTGTCTGATAAATTCTAGTTATAGAAATAGATGGTGTTGCACTAGAATAAGACACGCTTTCTCAGAATACAGTTGCTCACTCTAAATCAACACATTTTAAATTGAATTACCACAAATGCAGCGGCAATATCAATATCATATACATTAATATCAATATCATCTTGTAGTGTTGATCTTCTGATGAATTGTTGATGTTTTTTTAAGAATATTGTTTATTTGTTTGAACAGTAAAACATGAGTTAGTGGAACACGCTTGGTTACACTTTAAAGTCTTCCACTAAAGATGTGTTCCGCTTGCAAATAATGGTCAGTGGGTCACTGGACTAAAATGTGTTCCACTAAAAAAGTATGGGTTTTGAATAGAAGTTGGTGTACCACTTGACAGGTGTCACTGTAAAAGTAATTCAAAATGTAAACCAATGCAAGAACTTACATGTATGTCTGACTAAATGAATATGTTTTTTCCTAATTAGGGGAACTAGGTGCCCGAAATGAAGAAGTGAAAAATCTAAGTGCTCAATTGAAAACCTGCCAAAGTGAAGAATTGAATAAATCCACAGCTTTGGAGAGCACCCAACAGCAGCTTGCTAAACTGACAGAACAAGCGAGTTGTAGCAATATGCAACTACAGGATATGGAGGTTTGTTTGTTTGTTTATCCTTAGTTCTCTTATTTGTTTGCTTGTTTGTATACATGTTTGTTTGTTGATTTTCCTGTAAAGGTGAACATTTCCTGTATATCTGTAACATACATGATACCACACCCCAAAAAAACCACTGCCAGTTTCATATCCCCTCAGCCTCAGCCACATTTGCTTTACTTATAAGTGTGTGGCAGATGTAGCTTCATAAAATCCATATAGAAAATGTACATTGTATGGCTTATCCTTATATTTTATGCTGCATATTTCTTTCTATTTTGGAAAGCGACAGCCGCCATACGGTTGCTGTAGATCAAATGTTACTTGACATTAATTGCCTGTTTTTTTCACTCCTTTTCATGTTATCAGGAATTATAATGAAAACACTGATTTTCATGTTTGACTGTTTATTTTGATTCTTGTTCCTTCAGAATTTAACCGTTATTTGTCATAAATGAGATATTTCACAACCCCATGGATTAACACTGTCAAGTTGCATCCATTGAGGGGGGGGGTAGTAGCACTCTTATCTCGGCTGAAATCAAAATGCTTCAAGAGAAGGAATTCTGGCAAATCTTCATGTTGTTTAAATTCTCAAGCAAAAGGCATTTGGTAATACAACCATTGAAGCGCCTTCTGTTTATAAAAACCTACAGATAGGGGTCATCACAATCACCAATCGCAGTTGTTCTTATTTTTAGGACGTTAATCGTAATCTCAACACTTCTGTACAAGATATGTCATCCACTATAGGCCAGCTGGAAGCTAGAGAGCAGGAACTACTAACAATGCTCAGACTGAAGGTAAAAGAATTTTTATTATTGTACAGTGCATGACATTATAGGCTTACAAAAGACGTGTAAAAGTTAAATTATTATGATTTCATAAGTGTCCAAACATTGGCCCTTTAACATGAACAGCAAGTCAATGCTTTTTTATATTATAGTATAGTGAGGTAGCTCAGAAGGGGTTAAATCATCATGAACCTTGTCCACAACTGTTGATATAATATAATGCAAATAGATTCATATTTTATTTGTATCTAAGCCTATCATTTCGGCATTACTTCAGATGTATACTATTCTACAATGCAGGGGTTACATTAGCAAAATTATCTGTTGCTTTGAGCAATTTTGCGACTGTTTCCATGTTTATTAGGATATTGCCAATAATTTTGGCTGTTGTCTTCATTCATTTGGCCTGTTGCCAAAAATTCTACTAAAACCAAGAGGAGGAAATATCCCAGAGTTCATAGATGAACCTATCTCCTTGTAAAGATGAACATTGAACAATGGAGGTTTATATTTACATATACCAATAGTCTCACCTATGAATTCTGGGGTATTCCCCCAATTACTGAAACTCCTGCTACATATATTAGTCTATATTACAGGACAAAGATCTGATAGAGGCATCAAACCATATAGCTGAGCTCAGTGTTAAGTTAAAGAGACTAGATGGGAGCTACAGGGAGAGTCAACAGTCTGATAGACAGGCCAAGAGAGACATAACTGACTGGAAACAGAGACATTCAGAGGCAAGACAGGAAATACAGAGGCTCAATAGTAAGTAGAGAGGCTCAGTATTAAGTACAGAGGCAAATTAGCAAGTAGAGGCAAATAGAAAGTACAGAGGTTCAGTCGTAAGCACTGGTAACTACCTAGTGGAATTATGTTATGGAACAGCCAGAAAAAGAGTTTTCAGCCCATTTGACTCATTCCCCATAGCAGATCATTACTACCTGGTGTGGTATACATGCATGTCATTGATTGTCATGAAATAATGTGATGTCATTGATTGTTATGCAGAACTGTGATATCATTGATAGTAAATAATAATGAAGTACTGTAATGTTATTGCTAATCATGAAATACTGTGATTTCATCTATAGTCATGAAATACTGTGATGTTATCAAGTCATGGAGTACTGTGATGTCATTGATAGCAATGCAATATTGTGATGTCATTGATAGTCATGAAGTACTGTGATGATATTGATAGTCATGAAGCACTGTAATGTAATTGATAATCATGAAGTACTGTAATGTAATTGATAGTCATGAATTACTGCGATGTCATTGATAGTCATGAAGTACTGTGATGTCATGAAGTACTGTAATGTTATTGATAATCATGAAGTACTGTAATGTAATTGATAGTCATGAATTACTGTGATGTCATTGACATGATAGTCATGAAGTACTGTGATGTCATTGATAGTCATGAAGTACTGTGATGTTATCGATAGTCATGAAGTACTGTGATAGTATATTAGTCACCCACTTCATTGTTAACTATTGTATGTATTTTATAAAATAAATAAAAAATATAATAAAAAAAGTAAAGTACCATGATGCTAGACCATGACTTTGTTAGAAAGCCTGTTGAATTCTCGAAAAGCAAAGTTAATTTTCTATCACTTGAAAATCAACACTTTCTGTTATAAAATTACAATTTCATGTTATAGTTATTCATTTTTTTAATTTCGTTCAAGTTTCAGGCTTCAAGGCAGGTTTTACATTTGAAGTCAGTGAAAGTATAATGAAATAGAAATGTCAGAAATCTTAGCTTGTTCTTGCATTACAAGAACAAGCGTTGACCTTGAAGCTGTTTTGTATTATCTGACTCTGATGATAAGATTTGTATATTTTCCATGACCTTGAACTTTTGTGATAATGAACCATGTATGTTTGAAACGACCTTCTCTAATAATGTATACTTTTCATATTATCTTCGATCATAATGAAACTTTGTATTTTAGATGAACTGTCAAATGAACAAAGTAGCCACCAGGAGCAATCTATAGAATCTGAGAGGCTTAAACAAATTGTGGGAGATCTACAAAGGCAACTTGATCTTGCAGGTAAATGACTTAAAGTGGCAGCAAAGAAGACTGTGTAAAATGTTGGAAACAATCTTTTTAAAAAATATACCAGCGATTCCATTACAATCCTTTTTGTTATCTGAAAAAGTGTTGGGGATATGTTATTACCTCATTCAAAAGTCCTCAATTGTCCTCCGTATAGCTCAGCGGTAGAGCAAATGTACCAATTATGCATAGGTCCCGGAATCGATCCCCGGTTCAGGCACTTTGCTTGTTGGGTAAAGTACTTCAGAGTGTTTGACTAAGTGGTCCAGGACTCATAAAAAGGCTGTGGTGTGTACTTGTATGCCTATGTATGAGTGCACATAAAAGAACACAGGGCTCCTTCAAAGAGGAGTCCTGGATCTGCCTTCCATGATTATGCGTTAATTACAGCTGTATATATACGGGATATACCCAAGAGGTATTGCTCACTTTCATTGGTGGTAAAAAAATACAATACAAATCAAATATGAAAGATATTGAAAATTTAAGATGTAGTCGCAGAAATGTCAAAATTCATTCACCATTCATTCTATAATTTAAAGTTTTTCAAATAACGGATTTTAATAGTAAAACCAATGTTAGTTCAAGTTGATTAGTGAATCAAACAAAGTGAGTTTCATATAATTATGTGAAAATTGCATGTAGGAAGTTATACATCTTACACACAATACAAATCTGTAATCATGACCCTTGTCTCACTCGTCCATGGAGCTGTATTGTAATGAGCCAAATACTAGAAATGAAGGGGAGTGTGCTAAATTCAATGCCCCATGTAGGAATTAAACCCAGGACGCTCTGCTCCAAAGTCTGATCCTCTACCACTCAAGCCAACGAGGCCAGGCACTACATCTAGCCTGAAGCAGCAACTTGCTATCGAGGGTGGAAAAGCCAGTCGGTCCTGTAGCTCACTGGTAGAGCACTTGCCCGGAAAGCGAGGGGTCGTGGGTTCGATCCCCATTGGGGTGGACTGACTTTTTCACATCAGCCCTTAGCACAGGATTTCATTCTGTGTTTTCATTAACTCATTAACTAAGTGTTTGATTAAACGTCTTCTCCTTCAGGTGAACGAGAAAAGAGGAAGGATGAACTAGTAGCTTTACAAAGGTCAAAACAAGAACGTACAGATATGGAGTTAACCAGCCTTAGGCAGTTATATGAAAGACAACAGCGAGAGATCTCACTTCTACAGCTGAACTTAGACAGTTCTAAAGACCTCATTGCCACACATACCTCATTCAATAGTCCTCAAAGGTGAGTTAGCCATACATACCTTATTTAATAGTCCTCAGAGATGAGTTAGCCACATAAACTCATTCAATAGTCCTCAAAGGTGGGTTAGCCACATAAACCTCATTCAATAGTCCCCAAAGGTTGGTTAGCCACATAAACTCATTCAATAGTCCTCAAAGGTGGGTTAGCCACATAAACCTCATTCAATAGTCCTCAAAAGTGAGTTAGCCACATAAACCTCATTCAATATACCTCAAATGTGGTTTAGCCACATAAACCTCATTCAATAGTCCTAAAAGATGAGTTGAGTTAACCACATATACATCATTCAGTAGTCCTCAAAGGTGAGTTAGCTATACATACCTTATTTAATAGTCCTCAGAGGTGAGTTAGCCACATAAACTCATTCAATAGTCCTCAAAAGTGAGTTAGCCACATAAACCTCATTCAATATACCTCAAATGTGGTTTAGCCACATAAACCTCATTCAATAGTCCTAAAAGATGAGTTGAGTTAACCACATATACATCATTCAGTAGTCCTCAAAGGTGAGTTAGCTATACATACCTTATTTAATAGTCCTCAGAGGTGAGTTAGCCACATAAACTCATTCAATAGTCCTCAAAGGTGGGTTAGCCACATAAACCTCATTCAATAGTCCCCAAAGGTTGGTTAGCCACATAAACTCATTCAATAGTCCTCAAAGGTGGGTTAGCCACATAAACCTCATTCAATAGTCCTCAAAAGTGAGTTAGCCATATAAACCTCATTCAATATACCTCAAATGTGGTTTAGCCACATAAACCTCATTCAATAGTCCTAAAAGATGAGTTGAGTTAACCACATATACATCATTCAGTAGTCCTCAAAGGTGAGTTAGCTATACATACCTTATTTAATAGTCCTCAGAGGTGAGTTAGCCACATAAACTCATTCAATAGTCCTCAAAGATGGGTTAGCCACATAAACCTCATTCAATAGTCCTCAAAGGTGAGTTAGCCACACATACCTCATTCAATAGTCCTCAAATGTGAGTTAGCCACACATACCTCATTCAGTAGTCCTCAAAGTTGAGTTGGCCACACATACCTCATTTAATAATCCTTGAATGTGAGTTGGCCACACATACCTCATTCAGTAGAATGGCAACTAGCCTCAAAGGCTAGTTGCCACACACGTTAACCTCATTTAATAAACCTCAACGGTTAAGGGGAGAATCAGATCTAGTGAGCAAGGAAACAAAAAAAATTGTTTCAATTTCAAAATTTTGGATTCATATCATTGCTTGTCATGACTTTTTGTTCCCAAAAGTGCATACCTTATTCCAGGAAAAATACAGATTTTTACAATAATTTATACTCTTCTATTTTCATGGTGACCATTTTATTATTTGGGAGAATTTTCGCCCCAATTTTTCACTTTGAATCCTTAATAACATCGCCAATTTATAACATATCTCGGATCTTTTTGTAGATATTGATTTGAGATTGTAAGGAATCAATTGGTAGATCATTGTTCATGTTGCTTGCAAATTTGTTACCCCCTATAGATCTGCTTCTGCGTTTAATAACTGGATTAGAGTATCACTCACAAAGGAAAGGCTTATCTCTGAAGAACTGCTTAAACAGAGACAATCTCAAAGAGCCATCCATCGTCATACTTGAGGGGGACGAAACAACGACAAAATGACGAGAGTATCACTTACTCTTTCATAACTATATGAATGACTAATCATGTTACTAGACATTTTTATATAACCTGGGACCTTACAACTGTTTATTACTATGAGTGCGATGTGCTTATGATACTGTATCATCCAAATATCTCCCTGGTTAAACTTTTTTCTTGCCTTCATTTTTGCGATTTTATAGTTTACAAAGTAGCCATGAAAATAAAGATATGTGATACTGCAGTTATTAGCTGTAGTTCATGTCAAATTATAGCGTTTCTTAAGGGCAGCTACATTAGCAGAAGTCACGCAATAGTTATATGATACTCTTTAAGCATAAGACAATACCATTTGAGAATTGTTACTATTAATATAAAAGCTCTAATTGGAAAAATGATCACAGAACGTGTAAAATCCAATTCTACAAATTGCAATTATGATTAATGAATGGTGTATCAGTTGTCTATTACGTATAACTTGATTTGAAATTGACCCTTGAACAATAGATGCCAAATACCCAATAATTATCAAAAAATGAGAAGAGTCGCGATCTTTGCCATTTTAGGTTGGGTGATTGTCCAGTTTTAAAATCCCATTTTTATTATCACCTTTGGTTCTTGCTTTGTATGACATTCTGTCCAACTTATGCTGAATTTCACCATTTTGAATGGCCTATCATTATTTATTCCTTAATTAAAATCCTATTGACAGGTTTTATTTTGAAAAAAATGGAAGAAGCCTCACTTCAAGCAATAATATGCTTAAATCTTAAATCTGAACCACAGGTTCGTTTTCGGTGAACCATCAAAATAAACCTATATTATTATATGGGTGAAGTTTAGGTTCCAATGCAATTAACTTCCAGCAACAAATTTTGGACTGTTTCTTGGTGTAAAATCTGCAATTGACTTTAGATTGGCTTAATTAAGTGTTACCTTTTCAAAAATATTATTTGCAAAGTCTTGAATGTGCTTGAGTGATTCATTCGAAATTTTTGGGAAGTTGAATGGTTTGAAAAAATGACCAGTTTTATAATTATTCTTGTCTGTAACAATGGCCAACAATGGTGCATCATAATATTTATGGTTTATTTGACAGGTCCGTAGCCAGGGGGGTCAATGGGTTCAAGCAACAACCCCCCCCCCCCCCCCCCCGGCCAAGAAATCTTTAAAAATCATGCAGTTTTTCGCCATTCTGAGCACTTTTTAAGTGATTTTGGCCATTTTTGGACCATTGTGAACCCCACCTGGAATTTTTCAAAAAGTGAACCCCCCTTGGCAAATTCTGGCTACAGCCTGTTTGAGGATGCAACATTTCTGAGCCACATTGGTATTTCATAATATTTAATACCACCAGTCAAAAATTAAACACTCCAGGATGTGTTAATTATTTTGCCACATTAGCACTCTGTATCATGTCTTTTTTGACATCCTGTATACTGAAAAAATTATTTGAGTAATACATGTAGTCTGAGTTCATTGTTTTGTGGTACCCTGTACATAATTGACTTTTCAGCTTAAGCATGAATTTAATTTTTATCTATTTTTTATTTTTCAGTAGTCCCGTGAGGCCTAGAAGCTCACAATCCCGCCATTCAAGTCCGACAAGATCTCCTCTAAAGTCATTGGCTAATGCTGGCGATGCATCCTCAGGATTACCCAATGGGAGCTTACCAAACACTGGATTTTCTAACGGAATGGGAACTTCAGATTTTATGCTTCTCACTGACCAGAACAACTCACAGGTATGTGCTTTAAAGAATAATTTGCTGAAAAGTATTATTTGAAATTTTAAGACCATTATTCTTTAAATGCTAATCCACCATAAGCATATACTGTTAGCACCCTTAAGTTTTTAAGTTTTAAAAACTCTATCCCCATAATTAATAAACATTAACTAAATACACTGTGTAGTTCAAATGGACCTTCTTGCTACCTTTTATTTATTTAATTAAATAATAATTCATGAATTTATTTATAAATGATGTTTTTTCATCTATATTTTAAAACACTAGAAAGTAATAAATAGCACTTCAATATGTCTGTATGTGTCATATCTGTATGTGTTATATCTGTATGTGTTATATCTGTATGTGTTATATCTGTATGTGTCATATCTGTATGTGTTATATCTGTATGTGTTATATCTGTATGTGTCATATCTGTATGTGTTATATCTGTATGTGTTATATCTGTATGTGTTATATCTGTATGTGTTATATCTGTATGTGTTATATCTGTATGTGTCATCCAGAAAGATATTAAAAAAATGTGTTGTGATTCAAAAATGAAAAAAAATAAAATAATAAAAACTAATATCATAGCCGGGATTTAAACTTGATTCAATGGACTAGACAGAATAGTCCAATGCGCAAACTATGCTAGACTGTTCGCTGAAAGAATTGAGAAATTTTTGTACATATTTAAATAATTTCAGAAAAAGTCATATCGCTAATTTGCTATGCTTCTATTATTTGAAAATAATCCATTTTATTACAAATAAATTATTAAAAAGCATTTCTGAGTCTGAATATTAAGGAGTTTAAGCTTACATATAAAATCGAAACGCTAACCTATACGTATGACCTATCACCCGTACGAAAGCATCGCTTAAATATTTTCCATTCACATTTAGGTTGTGAAAAACATTGCAAGGTTGAACTCCCTCACCGTCTCGGGTTAGCTGCCTATGAAACTCTCACCCTTCTGTAGCTGTAGGTAACTTAAGCAGTGTCCCCAGGTGTTGTCCACAGCTTATATTTCAATCAGTTCTTCTGTTTTGTAATACCTACGTGCGTTTTGGAATTATATAAATTATGCGCTTCTACAGAATCATTCATTCCAACTTTTCCTGAAGGACTCAGCTATGAGACATCACCATTTCAGCTTGCATAATTAGAAAAGGTAAGTAAATATATTATTATTGAACAATTACTTATTCATGAGGAATTATATACTATTATATATACTTATTATAAACTGCTCGTTGTAAAAATTGTAACACTTTGATAATCATTCTAACAACTTTTCAAGTTGCAATATTTTCTCCTGTTTATTCCGTCCGTGTACCCTCTGTATCAAATGTTTGTTTCCTATTGAGAAAATCGTCAAATAACTTTAGCAAATGGCAAGTAAAAGATGAAACTTTTAAAACATAATTTAAGGTATATAACACACATTCTGTGAAAATTTGGAGACAATTGATCAATTTTTACTCAGAATATTAAAAAGTACCCGGACAGGTTCAATGATGTGGTAGTGTTTTTACTCTATATTTGTGATGGAACAACCATTCTTATTGAAATTTTCAAGATTTATTCTGGAGACAGTTTCCAATGGGAAATTAAATATTTTATCAAAATACCTAATCTTGTGATTTTGATAGGCTTTTTACAAAAATGCTTCACCGTAAATAAGAAACAGGTTTTGCTTGAACAATTGAACTTTTGATGTCATTTCAAATATTATTTATTTTTTAGTTATTTCAATTATGGCTGATTATTGTTATTCATGGTAGTCATATAGAATATTATTACAGTTCAATAGGCCAATGAAACGTTTGTCACTCAGGGCCACTTTACCTCTGATTTAGCACCTTTTTCACCACGGAGTCTTCCCCCACTGTTGCTCACCATGCGATGCAGTGGCATGTGAATTGTACCATGCTTTGAATTTATTGGGTTTCCCGGACAATTTCATGATAGCATTTGACACAGGTATTTCAGCATCTCAGAAGTAACTAATACTGAGATTCATAATGTTTTGTTTCATTTATGTTGTTGAATAGTTTGATCAGGTAGAACTCAATTCCTTTGACAAAAATCTTGACCTCTATCTTGCCTTAATTTAGGCTGGAAACGCTTCACAAAATGCGACCCAGAGGGCCAAGTTTTTCACTGGTCTAATGCACTAATAATATTGAGTATGACTAACATGAATAACAATAGCCAGCCATAATTAAAATGACAACAAATACTTTTGGAAGAACTTTTGTTGGCTGAAAATTCAATAGCTAGACAGTATTTGAAATTATATTAAGAGTGTAATAGTACAAGCAAAAATATGATTTTATAGTCAATGGGATCAAAATAAAAAGATTGGGAATTTCGCATATTTAATTTCCATATTGGAAATTGTCTCCAGAATAAATCTTGAACAATTTAAGAATGGTTGTTCTATTTGCAAAAACATGTATAGAGTACAAACACGACTGCATCATTGAACCTGTCCGGGGTACTATAGAACATTGGAGAAACTTAAAACACCGATGTGACTTTTTACAAGTTTTAATTTTCCTTTTTATGTTTATTACAGATTAGACTCAAAAACTAACTTTTTACAAGTTTAATGCTACTTTGGCAATAGCTGTTGGTGCATTTAAAAAGTAAGTATTCCTTACTTTATCTTTTTAAACAATATACTATAGCTCTCAATTTCACAGGAAATCACCAAGAAGTTTGCACTGAAAGGGTTCATTGGGTAGCAATTCACAAACTAATTAGTGTCTTTTCACTACTTGGAAAATAACATTATTGATGTTTCGGCAGCCTACAGATGTCATCTTCAGAACTATTTCTTTCCAGTTCTTGAACGTGTATATAGTACACTAAACATTTTGTTTTATTAGGTTCACAACAATGGATATCAGCACCATGTCAAACATCACAGAGACCTCAACTGTTACCACGGAGAACAATGTTACAATGGTGAAGGATATAATCAAGCTACATGCCCTTTCTCTTTGGTTACAAATGACCAGTGACTTGGTGATTATCATGTTTATTGTAATCAGCAATGGGTTAGTATTGTGGACAGTATACAAGGTGTCATCATTGCATACAATTACCAGCATCTTTATCGTGAATCTCTCCGCTGTTGATCTGATTTCTGGTGTTGTTGCCGTCCCTATTAACTGTGTGACGAATTACATCATACCACTGACAACAGGGACATACACTGATAACAAATATTTGTGTATACTGAAGACTTTCTTGCTTCTCCTTTGCATTGGGTTGTCCATATATGGTCTTGTGGCTATTTGTATTGAGCGCTATATAGCAGTTATTCATCCATTACGATACTACACCTTGATGACCGCAAAAAGAAGTATAGTTTTGTTGGCATGTATCTGGAGTTATTGTTTTATTGCATGTGGGCTCATGTTCTTTGATGGTTTCAATACATATCAAGTAGGACTACAGTGTTCAACTCATAACACTTTAAATCCTACTTATTTTATGTTCTTAAAATTGAACACTTTAGTGCCCTTCCTTGTTACCATTGTTGTGTATTCACGTATAACATGGGTGGCTATGAAGCATCGCTTAAAGATCCAAAGTGTTTTGGCGAGTATAGATAATGCAAGAGCAGTTGCATACAATAATGATCGCTATGTGGCTCTTACAATGGGATTTGTCCAAGGTGTATTTCTGTTGATGTATACACCATTTATCATCTTATCATCCTTACCAATGCATAAATACAAAACTATGAGTTGGTTTACCACAGTATGGTATGTCACATCTGCCTTGTTGTACATAAACAGCGGTGTGAATCCTTGGATATATGTTATAAGACTCAAACGATATAGAGATGCGATGAAAGTGGCTCTGAGACTGACATCCATTCAGGATACTGAATTGACAGTGAGCACTATAACAACATGATTATCTCAGAAAGTGAACTTTAGCAGGAGGTCATAGTGAAAATAACTTTAGATCTGCCTGGACAATAACTCTAACTCTTTCTCAGATTTGGCCCACTTGTATTTAAGTCGATACATTATGGCATGGCGTTTCTTCTCAAGAGGGAACTATATGCTACCCATTTTTCATTCATTGACCATTTTCTGGCTACTTGAATAAACACAGCTAGATTTGAATCACTTTGAATTTTGGTGCTTTGTGATATCACATAATGTAAATCAATCAGAAATGTAATGATAAAATTATGATATCCACCTACAGGCCTAAATGTTTTAAACGAGGACTTTTTGTAACATAACAATTTTAAGAATCAAAAATGACTGTGCATGTGTTAAATGCTATTTACGAATATCTGATTTGTAATAACAATGTTGTGTTAGATGGTCAGTACATTAAATACAATTTACAAATATAAACTAAATCACCAGTTTAGCTGAGTTAGTCTTGATAAAGGTCTATGTGAGGTATGGTAAGTGATTTTAGACAGTCATATCTTTCACCATGAGTTCTTTCTGGCCATAATGCACCATTCAAAAGTTTGAAAAGTTTCAAAAGAATTCCTCACATGGTCTTTTGCACAAAAACTTAAAAGATGTTGTTAATTTATTGAAGAAAAAATGTCAAAATGTGCAAAATATTGTCATCAAATAAATATTTTATTTTGTGAATTACAGTTCTGTTAGTGTTTTTAAAAAGCACATAAATGCTCTTGCATATTGAATGTAGTGGAAATTGGAGGGAATATTTTTCGCAAACAATGCATATAAAATATATGAAAACTTAAAATGTTGAAATTATGATTAGAAAAACCAAAGTGTGGACAAATTAGTACTAAGGGACAGGTTCAACCAAATAAACAACTTAACAACTTTAAAGAGGCTCATTACATTCTTAAAATGAAAAAAGAAAAAAATTGTGGAAACATGTCGCTCACAGTCAATTGAATACTATACAAGACTTCTCAAAGGGACAAAGTGCGTAAATGAAGTCTCACTTTTGATCTTCATAGTATTTCCAATGGATTAATAAGTACCCGATCTTTCATTTGACACCAAAAACAGCTCAAACATACCACATCAGAGTTGACACTAGATCATGAAAAAATATTTTTGATCTATCAATTTATAGATGTCAAGTTTTTAGCAATGTCATAGAAAGATGGCATTGTTGTTTGTATTAATTGTCCATTCATTTTGACAGGATTTTCAACCATACACATCTTTTAGTCCAAGAGATATTTAAAAACATACACTTTGTGAAAAGTGGTAATTCACCTCTTTTGATCTCTGAACTTCAAATGCTGTTTTCTATGTGAGTAATTTTTTTTTCACTTCAGTATTGACCCAAATTTAAGTTTTTATCATATTTGATTCACTGTGTCAGTGATTTGTCTCAAATAATATTTTGTCCCGTTTCCTTCAAAAATAAGCGCATTGCCTGTTCACGCTATCAGATATTAAGCTGACAAAAGGATATCTGAATATAAACTTTATGCAATGTGGCTCATAGCAAAAAATGCATATTCTTGATATGTATATGGAAATAATATCTGAATACAAGGTTTACTGTTTAATGTGTGCCTTTGCAAATGCTAAATGATCGTGTGATGCTTATAACAGAAATGGATATTTTTAGTATTTATATTGAATATTAAGTTTTCTGTTATGTGTGCCTTTGGAAATGCAATGTGATGTTAACTCTCAGTAAAGCATTTTTTTGGGGAAATGATACCTGAATATTGGCAATGACTGTCTCTTTGGTAATTGAGCTTAATTATGCTAACTCTCAGTAAGGCATATATTTTTACTACTTTTTTTAAAATTTATTTTGGAAATGATACCTGAATATTGGCAATGACTGTGTCTTTGGTAATTGAGCTTAATTATGTTATCTGATGTCAAAATATATCAAAGAAGTGCCATGTATTCTTTTATCATTGAAGAAATCTTGTTAGTGCCTTAACTCAGCTGAATAACAACTTAGATAATTACCATTGAAACTTATTGTAAGGTAAGATTATGTTATTGTTTATCTATAGTACAACATTTCTTTCACTTCTATATCTTTATTGATATTTTAAAGCAAAAAAAGAAATAAAAAATTACAAAACGTATAAAACATGCCTAGTTTGTGTTTGGTTTATTTTTAAAAAGAATTGCATTAGTGAAAGCTTTTTTTCAAAAATGTACCATATGTGAAGTACTAATTGTATTGTATTTTGTTTACCACCAATGAAGGTGAGCAATACCTCTTGAGTATGTCCCGTATATATACGGTCGTAATTTACGTAATTAACATGGAAGATAGACCCAGAAACCCCTCCTTGAAGGAGCCCTGTGTTCTTTTATGTGCACTTATACATAGATATATAAGTACACACCACAGCCTTTTGTACGAGTTGCGGACCACTCAGTCAAAACACCCTGAAGTACTTCATGCAAACAAGCAAATTTAGTCTTGCCTGAACCGGGGATCGGATCCGGGACCTATTGCGTAAGAGGTACCTGCGCTACCGCTGAGCTACATTTTTTTTTTTTTTTTTTTTTTGACCTCATATATATATATATATATATTTTTTTTTTTTTTAAATATTTATTCACATTTAGTAATCACTTACAATTACATATAGTATGTATTTCATTACATTTAATTCATATATACCCATTAATATACCTCAATGCAGATTCATTTTAAATGATTGATTTTTTTATTTTTTGATTTAATATTATTGCTATTAATCTCTTTTATTATTATTATCTTTTTATTAGAAGCATACCACATATAATCTTTATATTCTCATTCATCCATGTATCCATCCATTCATTCATTCATTCATTCACTCACTCCATCAATCCATCATTCACTCACCCACTCATTTTCATTCATTTACTCATTTATTCAACATCATTCATCTGGGTTGCATTTAAATTATCTCACCACAAAAATACTAATGAGCTACATGGGTGGACTATAAAACTAATGACAGTACAACTATGGCTGTCAGCACTGTGACAAACATCACAGAGATATCAACTGTTGCCAAGGAAAACGACTCCTTGGTGACACAAATACTGCAACTACATAAACCTACTCTTTGGATAAATATGACTCGAGCTTTGGTGATCATCTTTTTATTGTGATCAGCAATGGTTTAGTATTATGGACAGTGTACAAGGTGTAATCATTACATACAATTACCAGCATATTCATGTTGAATCTCTCGACTGTTGATTTATTCACTGGTGCTGTTGTTGTACCATTTTATTGTGTGACGAATTACATTATACCATTAACAACAGGAACATACGCTGATAGCATATATATGTGTATACTGAAGACTTGCTTGAATATTTTTTGCATTGAGCTATCCATGTATGGGCTTTCCGCTACTTGTATTGAGCGTTACATAGCAATTGTTCATCCACTGCGATACCACACCTTGATGACTGTAAGAAGTCAAGTTTTGTTGGCATGCATCTGGAGGGGTTTACGAAAAACACCGACTGCCGACCGCCGACCACCGACCAGTCACTCTCCACAGTTGGGTACATGTGGTCAGTGGTCGGCTGACAGTCTTTTACATAAAGATGAAAAAATGCAAAATTAGAAGTAAAACTAAAACTGGGAATCCAATGACTAGGCCTATAGTACCTTTACTAGGTCGTGATTTAAAAACGTATAATTAATCATTTCAAATCACGATGAAAATGTTACATCGTCGTGGTGTGTAATGTCATATTTTTAAGTGATGTTTCAGTTGTTAGAAGACCAATTTCATCCTGGTTAGTCACTTTGGAAAAAAAACGCACGTAACATTGCATTAAGTTCATTCATATGAAACACAATAACAAAAACACACAAACATCGTCAATGTTGACGTCGTAACGTTATGTTTGATTTCCGAGTTGTTAAACGTCAACTGGTAAAAACTACATTTGATATGACAAAAAAAGCTTTCTAATGGTGTACTGAAATGGTAAGTCACTTTTAATCCCGATAAGAGAACGCATGTAACATTATATCATGTTCAGTATTCAGTAGGCTATGACGATAACAAATCATTTTTGTTTCGAAATTGTTAAATTTCAGTAAAAAATTAGGATAGATTCCCGTAGAAACGATAGGTTGGTTAATGATAGGTAAGGACCTAGTCCATCCGCTGTGGCTCAGTGGCAGAGTCAAGGTTACCAATATCGCTTGGCCCTGGGTTCGATTCCCGGTTCAGACGAGTTTGTTTGTGCGTTATGTAATTCTGGGTGTTTGACTAAGGTGTTCACGACTCGTATAAAAGGCTGTGGTGTGTACCTGTATGTCTGTGTACCTGTGCACACAAAAGAACAAAGGGCTCCTCCAAGGAGGGGTTTCTGGCTCTGTCTTCGAGTGTAAAATACGTAAAATACGGAATATACCAATGTGGTATTGCTCGCCAAAATTTGGCGGTAACCAAGATATAATAATAAAAAAAGACAGGACAATTAAGCGAGAGGAGACGGTCATGACCAATTTGTTTGCTTGCCATTCGTTGCAAGGTACAAAATCGGTAAAAAACGGTGCCCAGTCCAACGATTGACATTCAAAATCAAATTATTAATATTTTAAGCCAAATATGTTCGGTCCTTTACATGATATGGTCGGTCTTTTACACATTTTCTTCAAACCCTGTTTTGAGGCTACCAGTGGAAAACACCGACCGGTCGGTGGGGTCGGTCTTTTTCGTAAACCCCATCTGGAGTTATTGCTTTATGATATGTGGGGTCGTGTTCTTGCTTTTCTTGCTGTTTTGTCATATATATGCAATGGCATTTGCACTTGAGCTTATAACATGAAATGGCTATTTGTATTGTATTTGTATGTTACCATAATTAGAATAAAAAAACTTAACTGATAACTTATAAGTTGTGATGTATGGTTAAACATCAGAACAATGTCCACACACTGGAACAACCTGACAAAGTTAAAAGTCAGATACCACTCTATACAGACTGTGCTATACACAAACAAGCGGTGCGGATATTATGTGCGCAAGGTGTGGATATTAATTGTCATATTTGAATTTGTGATATTTCATAAACTAAGGCACTTTGGGTACTCTTTTATGTCCTTTATTCTTATGGTGGAGAAGCATTTTTATTATTTAATTACTTAAAGGCAGAATCAGATCTTTAGGGATGACAAGGCAAATTACAAGCAACATGTACAATTGACCTACCAATCTATTCAAAGACAATCTCAAAGACAATATCTCCCAAAAGATTCACAATATGATATGTTATAAATTGGTGAAGGTATAATAGATTCAAAGTGCAAAAATGAGTTTTTCTGAATTAAAGTGTGCACTTTGGGGATTTTTAGAAAATAGACATGACAAGGAATGATACGGGCCAAAAATATTCTAAAATTGAAACAATTTTTTGTTGGCCTGCTCGCTAGATCTGATTCTCTCTTTAAGAGGGTTATATACGAATGTATAAATATGTGTTGTCTAACTGCTTATAAGATAGTGACAATCTATGTTAGTTTTCAGAACTTGTATTATGTTTATAATTATTCTTTAATAGGTGGCTCAGATATTCATAATGTAGAGGATTTAATCCCTTGTGCTTTTTTTTAATCCCCAGTACTTTTTTGAAAAATTGACTTTTGGTCTGATCCCTTATGTGTTGTGTTTTACATGTTGATGTCATTATCCCACCAAACGAAGTTCGTGGGGGATATAGGAAAGCCATCCATTTTGTCCGTTCACAAATTTATAGGCTTATGCCTTATGGGTGTAGGACCTCTGCTCAAGAGGAAATTTTCAATATGGCAGCTCAATTTAAAGAGAGAATCAGAGATAGCGAGCAGGCTCAACAAAAAATTGTTTCAATTTTAGAATATTTTTGGCTCATGTCATTCCTTGTCATGACTATTTTCTAAAAATCACAAAAGTGCATACTTTATTCAAGGAAAACTAAAGATTTTTACAATAATGTATTATTTTTCTATAAGAATGGTTACCATTCTTATTATTTGGGAGAATTTAAACATTTTTCACCCATTATTGCACTTTGAATCATTAATAACTTCACCAATTTATAACATATTGTGAATCTTTTGGGAGATATTGTATTTGATATTGTAAGGAATAGATTGGTAGGTCAATTATGCACGTTGCTTGTAATTTTGTCACCCCCTATAGATCTGATTCTGCCTTTAAAATTGCCGCCGTTTTTTGTAAAAAATGTAACTCCATTACTAGTGGATGGATTTGGTTCAAATTTTATATGCTGATGCCTAAAGACAATAGAGCTTTGCTCAAGAAGAGATTGTCAAGATGGTCGCTGAATTTCAAAATGGCCGCCATTTTTTGTAAAAACCGTATTCTTTGATAACTCAAATACCAGTAAACGGATTTGTGTCAAATTTTATATGCTGATGCCTAAGGACAAAGTAGCTCTGTTCGAGAAAGAATTTTCAAAATGGCAGCTGAATTTCAAAATGACCACCATTTTTCCGTAAAAGAACATAATCTTTGTTAATTCAAATGCCAATTGACAGATTTGGTTCAAATTTTATATGTGTCATTAAAAATGTGATCTTTGATAACTCAAATACCAGTTGACAGTTTTGGTTCAACGCTGCAAAGGAACTCTGCAACTCTGCTCAAGAAAAAAAATTTCAAGATGGCCACTTCTTATCATAATATGTTTAGTTCGGTGGGGTTTGCTACTCCTTTGAGTTATTATTTTTCTAGTTATATTAAATTGTGATGTCACTGCAGGGAGATGTATCGCCAACCAGTAAGCTGCACAGACTTCTGACAGAATCAAGGCAAATGGTGGAAAGTCTTGAGAAAACTACCCTACCCCCTTATATCCCACAGGTAAGAGAAAACCACTTATACCCATTATATTCTACCAATAAAAGAAAAATAGCATACCTATTTCTATCCTATGACAATTGAGGTTTCAGGTATATATCAGCGGGATATAGAATTGATATCTTGGAGGAGCGGGACATATACAAGGTGTTCCAAAAGTAACAGGACTGGTGCTGGCATTTTTTCAAATTTTCACAAATTGTACTTTGAAGTATTGCAACTAAAATTGTACAGTTTCAGAAAAAATGATGAAATGTGGGTAGAGTTGTGGTTACTATAGTAACATGACATCACAATACTCGGGGCAACTTTTTCCTGAAAATGTGATATCTAACATTTTTGTATTACTGAAAAAAGTATCTAATTCACCTATTATAATACAACATTTCGCAGGTCACCATTAAAGACCATGCAGCTATAGAAGAGCTAGGTCTTGAGTTTTAAAACCATGCACCATACTCTTCTGATAATGCAACATCCAATTTTTACTTACATGGGGAATGGAATGCTAATCAGTGCTGTAAGATCTTTAAAGATGAGAATGACCTTCTCCAAGTTGTTCAATCGACCATGCGTGACATGTCCTCAAATGGGTTCGCTCATCGGATTTCCTTTTTGGGTGGCCATCTTGTTTTCTGGTGGCCATTTTGAAGGTTTTTTGAAAAATCTTGTCATCGCCGTTTCAGGAAAACCGCTCATCGGATTTCCTTCAAATTTACACACATGATAGAGGATATCAAGTACTAGAGCTGATTAACTTTGTGGCAGCCATCTTGTTTTCTGGTGGCCATTTGAAGTTTTTTTGAAAAAATCTTGTCATCGCCAATTTAGGAAAACCGCTCATTGGATTTCCTTCAAATTTGCACAGATGATAGAGGATATCAAGTACTAGAGCTTTTGGGCGGCCATCTTCTTTTCTGGTGGCCATTTTTAAGGTTTTTCGAAAAATCTTGTCAATGCCATTTCAGGAAAACTGCTCATCGGATTTCCTGTACATGATATGCCTATTTGATGGTGTGATCTCGTTCACGTCCTGTGCCTTGTTTAGAATATCTTGATATGGATGCAGCAGACAGTAGAATATTTCTTGACCAAAATGTTGATGGATTTCTCGAAAATAGTAAGAATGAAAACATTTTTTTTAAAAAACCTGATATGGTTATTTTGAAAACTTCACTCGTGAAACCTCACTTGTCATAGGATAAATTAGTTATGTGATGATCAGTTTTGAATATGGAGTGTATTCCTCGGGAAATATGATATCTAACCTTGGATCCTCCAATAACATAGCCCTAATATATCCCACAGGTAACAGAAAACAGCACTTCTTAATATATTCCACTGAAAATACACTCATTCTTACATCTCACAAGAAAAGCAAAACTACTAAGTTGCTATTTGGTTTTTATGTCCATGATGGTCAAGGTTAATGTCTTGTGTATTTTTAGCTCACATGGTGACATATTGCAATCACTCACTGTCAATCTGTCCGTCAGTCTTTTGTCTGTCTGTCCGTCTGGCTGTCCATCCGTCCCTCTGTCAACAATCGGCCCGTTTCAAAACCTCTGTTTCCTGTTTTTAATTATTTTTGTTCAACATCAATATAGAAACTCCCCTATGACTCCTGATTCAAAAGCTCTCCTAATGGCCGCCATTTTTGTTTTGCAAAATTCATTTTTGGACCATTTGCTAGCTTCATAAATCATTTCAGGTGTCCAGCATTGTAAAAAGCCATGTCACTGAATGAAATAATTTTGTTACAAAAAATTGGCAATAAAAACAATATCTGTTTTTCTGCCATTTAAGCCATCATTCACTTTTGAGCAACACCATGTGAGCCCAGTACCCACGGTACTATTTCATATATTTTTTCATTGTATTTTTCACTCCAGATCAGTTATATCATAATAATAGGATGGGTATAATACATGCATGATCATTTAGAAACCAATTACTTCATTGCATCATCACATCATTTCATTCATTTGTGAAACATTTATTAATTATAGTACTCAATATAAAATGACATAATCATGGTTTTGATATATATAAAATTAAATAATGATATACATATATTGTATAATTCATGACTAGAAATTCAAAACTCATGTGGTCTTAATTGTTTATGTAATGCAATGAATAGTAAATTTTCTTATCCACTCTGTGAATAATTACTAAAGTGCTAACCATAAATAAATAAATGACACCTGGTGATTTGAGACTTCATACTTTCCAATAATGTCTAGATACACATCCCTTAAGTTTTGTATATTTTACATTTGGTGTACTCTCATCACTGATGTATAGCCTCTTGAAAATTCTCTTCTTTTTAACATGTGAAATCCTTACTTCAGCAAATCCAGGTGTCATTTATTTATGGAGAGCACTGTATGAAATTAAAACTCATTCCACATTTATTACCTGGGGGGCTATTAACAGAAACTTTGTGAAGTTGAGAATTCTTCAAATTCATTGTTCTCTGGCTGTGATGCCATTACATCCATGGTTACAACGATTGATTTACAAATTCCTAACTTTATGAAGTTTCTGTTAATGACCCCCTAGAAATCAAAACTTCTATGGCATTAACCGTTTATAATTAACTAAACAGTTAATTTCATTTCTGAACTGATAATTGTGGGAATGGATGGTTTAACTCAAAATCTGTTGATGTTTCGAGTTTTCATGTATTATTTTTTATCGTGAATTGAAAATATTTTGGCGATATCAGAATTACAGAAAATGGCCCTTTAAAAAGATCCATTTTTAGTCCTTTGAATTATATTACAGACAATGGTCATTAAAAAGATTCATTTTTAGTCCTTGTTTGAACATATTAAGGACAATGGCCCATTTAATAGATGCATTTTTAGTCCTTCTTTTAATTGTATTACAGACAATGGTCCTTTAAATAGATGCATTTTTAGTCCTTCTTTGAATCATATTAAGGACAATGGTCGTTAAATAGATTCATTTTAGTCCTTCTTTGAATTGTATTACAGACAATGGTCCTTTAAATAGATGCATTTTTTGTCCTTCTTTGAATCATATTAAGGACAATGGTCATTAAATAGATTCATTTTAGTCCTTCTTTGAATTGTATTACAGACAATGGTCCTTTAAATAGATGCATTTTTAGTCCTTCTTTGAATCATATTAAGGACAATGGTCATTAAATAGATTCATTTTAGTCCTTCTTTGAATTGTATTACAGACAATGGTCCTTTAAAAAGATGCTTTTTAGTAAAAAAAACTGGTCTTTTTCATTTATTTCACAAGCCCTCCTTAATTTTTAATGTTTTGGTTTATTTTTCAGGAAAAATCAGAGGCAAGTTAACAGTTTAAGGAGAGGATATACTTACTTTATCAACATAAAGTCCGACACAGAGATAATTAGAAGCAGAGTGGAGATTTTTATCTTTCTAAAAGCATTTATTCTTCTGTGGCTCCCCATTTAGGACTCACATTCTGTAATTTATGGTAATTATTAAAAATTAGGCATCTCCTTTGGATTGGATACTTCAAAATGGTAATTTTGTTGAGTCCAATTTACCATGCTTCACAGACTTACAAGCTGGCAAAAACAATTATTTACTTTAAAATGGTAAATTCATTGAACTGGCCTTAATGCTTTAAACAGGCATGCTAATAATAATTTTTTCTCGGGTAAGATCAATTTTACATCCTCAGAACAAAATGGAATTACATCCAAAACACCTGGGCTCAACTATCAGACTATGGTTACAATAATATATTATAAAAATATTATTTTCAGATGGATTCTTTAGCGGTATACGGTATGATCTCACAATCCATAACTTTTAACATCCAGTTATTTCAGTAACCTTCAGTTTACCCCAGGTGTTAATATAGATTTACATCGTGACTTGAAATCAGCACTTCATATGTGATAAATAGCTCATATTATGTGAAAGCTCTGTTTCATGGTGACTTAATCATCATTGTTGAAGTGAATTTTTAATATATTTTTATTGGCTTTACATGTAATAGTATGATAGATTAGAGTAACACGTGAGGTTTAATTGCTTCATTATGAATCATTTTAGCAAAGATAACTTTGGAACGAAGGATTTTTTAGTTATTACACAGGCAGAAAATCCTCTTTCATTTTTGTCAAAATGCTTCAGAAGAAAGTAATACCACCCTGCTGTGTTACAGGTACCATAGATGTTTTAGTTACATGTGCTCACTGTAGTTGAAGATGTACTTGTTTTAAAACAGTAAAACCTGTGTACAGTGAACACCTATGAAGCCATAAAATACAGAGAGGGTGATTTATACAGAAGGAGTATGTGCTGAGAGAGTAGAGTAGAGTATGTGCTGAGGAAGGGTGTCCACTAGAAACAGGTGTTCACTAGAGAGAGGTGTTCGCTTAGACAGGTTTTATTGTACATAAAGCTTTTTTAGAGGGTTAAGCTTTAATTTGCATAAAGAATGTGAATGAAAGGGAGGGAGTAGGAGCCATAAATATGAAAAGTGATAGTGGAAATCGTGGTGATAAGAAACAAGGGAGGTAGCATTCATCCTCCGATCACAGGGCTTCAAATTCCAGAATATATTCTTTCTTTTTACCCCCTGCGATAAGCAGTTAGCATTTCCCCGATTAAGAACTCACAATCTGATTAGCTGTTGCAACACTGCGACAGAAATCATGTATAAGTCATTGTGCATAATTAGATCACGTGATTCAGTTTAATCGGGCGCTTCCAAATTGTTATAGCAGGGGGAAGAAGGAGGTACGGATTCTGGACACCTGCTTAGGAGGATGGTAGTATTGAGCTGAGAGACTTGTCCTTAGGGAGACAATTCAATGGGATATAGTTTATGTGGCAACTTAAATGTAGCTTCACATTAGCTCATCAACCAACAATAGATTAGAAAGCATGTTACATGATCTCATACATTTTGACTGAAGAATACCATAATGTTGGTTTTTTAATATTTTATTTAATAATTAATGAAATGATGGCTTTAGCTCTTTAAGACATTGTAAAGTCAAATCACAATAAAAGATGACTATTAACAAATGTCCTTCATGAGTTGAAGGAATGATTAGACCCCCTTGTGCCCATGTTTATTTCAGTATTTTGCTTTGGGAAAAATTCATTATATTATTCTATCCCCTCCAAAGGAGGATTGGTAGCCAAAACTCCTTCCCGATTTTCAATAGTAATGTTTATCTCTAAGCCAAGTATTTAGCCGAGAGATGACAATTATGGTAACATTATTGGTCATTTACACCATTTTGCGAGTTGTCACATGTGAATCACATGACCTTCATGATGTCAGAGAAATGACAAGGAATGCTGGGACGCAACCCTCCTTGAACCCCTCATCTATTAAAGGCTTTTGATGTAAATTATAAGTAGAGAATTGTAAAATGGTATTTGTATTGTAATGTAGAATAGTACTGGCTAGACCACTATAGAATTGTCCTCAGGTCTTTTCAATAAATCTAAATTATTGACCTGTTGTGCTATTTTGTTTTATACCGTATTATATTATTTACTTAAGTATATGCTCAGATTATCAATTGGTCTCTTGTAAAGTTCACTGGAGATTTTTCTTCGGGTCAGTGCCTAGGCCATGCAAAATTTCTTTATCATGTTTCAATCCAGAAATGCCTTTTTATTAAAATCATCTTCATTAAAAGTTTCAGTTCTGTTGGATTTGTTACAAGTGCATATTTTGGCACCAACATGTACAGATGTAAAATTGTTTATCTTCTGAATCAAAACATAAGATCGAGGGAGCGTTTAACACATATTTAATTTTGAATGGCCTGTGAAGACTTGGATTAAGACACATTTTAGTTGCACTATGTTTAGAACTTTAGATACACTCATTTATAACAGTATGTAATGTATTGAATATTAATAGATGATGGAATGTACACAGTATTGTGATTTGATTATTGACTTATTTATTGACAAAATTTTTTACAGGGCGACACAAAAAATGCCACACACTTATTTTGGAATATCTTTCTCAATAATAAAGGAATCTTCATGATTTTTTATGTGTAAGTAGAGTGTTCAATGGAAGAAAGATTGGTATGCTTGCATAGCATCAACAACTTTGCGATTTTGAGACGACATGTTTTCCATCCAGGTATACTCTCTACAAAATCTACAAAAATGTTCAAAAACACAATTTTCTGAAATTGGGATTTCTTTCTTAGCCATTATTTGAGTCATTTCTGGATTGCTTTCACATATGTTATCAATAATATGTCATATCAAGCATTTTTCTGAAATAATTTTGCCAAATTTGATGAACTGACTCGATTATTGGGTAAATTTGGAAAAGACGGATTTTCTAATTTACATTTTTTAATGATTTTGTGTCGGAGCGTGCCTCCACGAAAAATGAGATATCTCCTAATTCTCGAGTTGTTGATGCTATGCAAGCATCCTGATCTTTCCTCCACTGAACACTATCTACACATAAAAAATCATGAAGATTCCTTGTTTATCAAGAAAGTTATTCCAAAAATAAATGGGTGGCATTTTTTGTGTCTCCCTGTACTTAGTTTAAATGTGTGATATACATATTATCTCTAGCACTTATTTTTTGAGTGCAGAAATCATAGATATTATTTGAATTGATCTCTTGATGTATTCTATTGTATGTGATTCTAATAAACAGAAAAGTAAAACTTTTATAATACATTTTTTGTCCAAAAATTAAAAAAGTTATAGCATTTTGAAAAAAAAGTGGCTTTTTTTTTGGCCCACCCTGTAGTTACGGTCTAGGAGTGAAATAGAAAGTCCCCCTAACTACTGTGCAATAGCTCATCTTTATCTACTGTCTTCCCAATAAGGATGTGCAATCAGAAAAATCACAAAACTACACACTTTCTGCCTACACAGATTTAATAGATGAATTTACTGTTCCTTGTTACCAGTTGACGGTTGTTCCATACATTAAAGATTATATTATGGAACCTTTTCCACAGGATTTGACAATTGGAGTTGTTGCCAAAGAAAAACTCAGATAACTAGAAAAAGTCCACAGAATAGCAAATCCCAGCAATGCATCTTTGTCTCTAGACAACAGCACATGATATTTGAACCAAATCCATCATCTAGTATTTTGTGAAAAAATGATGGCCATTTTAAATTGAGCGGTCATATTGAAAATTCCTTCTCGAGAAGAGGTCCTACACCCATGAGGCATATCCCTATAAAATTGAGTGAAATCCATCGACTTGTATTTGAGTTATCATCCGGACAAATGAACGGACATCGTGTAATATATAGATACACTGTCCCACATGTTTTGTTAAAGAGTAAGCACGGATGGATGGCTTCTGTATATACATATGAACTTCATGCGGTGGGATTGTAATATTGGGGAATGCCGTTTCTCCATTATCTCTGCTGGTATATCTCCGCCTTTCACTTAATGAAAAGAAAACTCCTATGAATTACAAGATTCTCGTGCATAATTTATGGCATGTAAATTGTTAATGCCTATTTGGATTAGAACTTATCTAAAAAATGAGAAAACGTCACAATTCATTTATTAACTAATGGAATTAATAACACAATCAGCTCACTTCCATTATCATGTAGTAGTAAATTAAATTGATGGCTTCTCTATTCAAAGTGCTATATCACGCCTAACCATCGACAACGTAAAGTGACAAAATATAGCGTCATACACTTTAGATGTATGTTGTCAGTATTAACCCATTTGAAGCAAACACAATGATGTAGGTTTTAAAAAAATTATCTATAAGGATTTCCAGTTTGATTTTGTGTGTATTCGTTTGGGAAGACATTTAACTTTCTAACAAAGTTAAAAGATTTTAGAACAGTACTCGATTTTTTTTGTGGTTTATCTACCCATATAATTGGTCGGTTGAAAAATGTTGTTTTTGTACACATTTCCTTTCATCATTTGATCCCCCGTCATCTAGGAGTGTCGAATATTTTTATGAGAATATGTTTCTCTAAACTACACAATTTAGGACAGGTAAAGAATAAATATTTATGTATTTGTAATTTTCATCAAGTTATCATCGAGATAATTTGGAAGCAATGCCTATTTAAGGCTAAAATTATCATGAAATGGGCAATAATGATGTTGTCCTTATAGACTTTAACCAACATTTTAAATGGCAGACAATGCAATTATAGACACCACAAGAGGAAAAAATAGAAATCTTCCTAACGATATATAATTTATGGATATTTCAGACAATTGTCACCAAAGGTATAACAAAAATAAAAATGTGGACGTTTTTTAGCCCACCCTGTCATTTGTTTTTTATTTCAAAAGTAACTAAAGGGGTGTATACACTGGCAGACGAAATGCTTGAAACGGCGGCGAAAATTGCCGAATTGCTTGAATTGATTGAAACGAAAGTGAAAGTGGAAGTGCATTAGGCGAATTAATTGAAATGCTTGAAACGTCGAAACAGGTGCAAGCAGCGAAACAGTAATTTCATTTTTCAAGACGCATCGATTGAAATGATTGAAACGATTGAACTGATTGAAATGCTTGAAATGCTCGAAATGATGCAAGCATTGAAACGTAGGAAATGATGCAAGCATTGAAACGATTGAACTGATTGAAACGATTTAAACGCTATTTACAGTGTATACACCCCTTAACATTCTTGATTTTGCTTTATAATCCTAGAGGTAAGATACAAACATCAAGATGTATTATAATTATCTAGGAGAAGCTCATATACCATGGGCTTTCCCATGCATATACCAATCTCTACAGGAGGTTAATCCTATTTTCTTAATTATGAACTTTCAGATTCCTGATTTGTAATTATCATACTGTTGTTTCCTGCAAGAAATCACAGTGGGAGGTTTATCCAATTCAGTTGATTATGATTTTCATTATCCTAATATGTGAATTATCAAGTTGCGTTGTTGTTTCCCTGCGCAGCAATCACTGTATATGAATATTTCAATTATTTGGAACTTCAATATTAACATTCAAAGTTCAAGTTATGAGGTGTTCTACTAATCCAATTTCATTTTATATTAAGTCAATGGGTTTTAAAAATGGGACTTTGAAAATGTGTTCCATTTGCGAGGTGTTCAACTTACAGAGATGTTCCACTTAGCAGGTTCTACTGTATTTATACCCTATTTATCTGGGATTTAATAAGAGACCAGCACAAGCTTCCAACAGCTTTGCAGTGGATGTCACAGAACTGAACCTAGCAGGGAAATCATAAAATGTCTAAAGGCAGAGGACTGAAAGAACTGATGGCTAAAGGCAAAAGAATTGCAGCAAAAGGTATGCATAATAAAGGCATGAGACCAAAAGGATTAATCTCTGAAGACATAAGCAGAAATGAGAAGGACCTAGATTGCAGTCATTATAGCATTCATAGCCGTCCAAATGAACATAGTTCCACAGCCATGAACACTAGAGGAAGATTTAATAAAGACATCAACAGAACAGAAAGATTTAATGACAGCATGGACTGTAAGAGGCTTGGCAACAAAATTTTGTGTAATTTTACTGGTGTGACACTCTCCTGGGTTATTATTTGTGTTGCGATACTTGGCATCATCGGGAACATCCTCTCTTTGATTGTCCTTATAAGGAAATATAAGCGCAGCCCCAAAGTGTTGCTATTGACAACACTGGCAATGACTGATCTTTGCTTTCTTTTCTTTACCATAATGGAGCAAGCGATGACACATATTGGATTGGAAGTTTCAATTCATTCCGCCTGGAAGTTTTCATTTGGGATACTGGCGTCATACTGCAACATAATTACCATTTGGATGGTTGTTCTCGTCACTATCGATCGCTTCATCCATATATGTATGCCATTCAAGGCATTGTCATTATGCACAAGAAAGTCAACTGTTGGTCAGATCATCTCCATGGTTACATTCTGCACTGTGTTTGTGACAATTTTGTTCACTATCATGTTAAAAGATGTTAATCTTACAGAGCACTGTTGGTTTTTGGGTTTAGATTTTCACTCACAATTCATAGAAAAAACAAGTGCTGTTCCACTTTATGTTTACCATGTATTTGCATATGCAATCCCACCAATTGCAATTGCTATTTTCAATCTGCTTATGTTGCATCAAGTGTGTAAATGTAAACCTGTGGAGGAAGGTATGCCGTCGATTGATGACAAACAAGTGTCATATATTCTTATAACCATCTCAATCAGTTCCCTTTGCCTCATTCTACCAAGTGCGATACTTCAGTTCATGTTTGAGCGGGATTTAAAGAATACAGTTACCATATTTCTCGTCATGAATTCTTCGATAAACTTTGTTATCTACAATGTTGTTGGGACAAGATTTCGCAACAAACTATTAAAACTGTGGTGTGGGAGACAAAACGTGAATTGAGGTGCCATCATGATGAACAAAATGTCAAGAAGAAACAACTCTTAAAGTTAATCATGTAACTGAACATCAGTGTTTAAAATTAATTTCATGCCTTTATGGTGAACATTATCAATTTATGGCAAACATTATGCCTAAATGGTGAACATTATTCCTAACATTTTGCTTTAATGGTGAACATTATGCCTAAATGGTGAACATTATGCTAAGTGATGAACATTATGTCTAAATGGCAAACATTATGACTAAATGGTGAACATTATGCCTAAATGGTGAACATTATGACTAAATGGTGAACATTATGCCTAAATGGTGAACATTATGCCTAAATGGTGAACATTATGCCTAAATGGTGAACATTATGACTAAATGGTGAACATTATGCCTAAATGGTGAACATTATGACTAAATGGTGAACATTATGCCTAAATTGTGAACATTATGACTAAATGGTGAACATTATGCCTAAATGGTGAACATTATGACTAAATGGTGAACATTATGCCTAAATGGTGAACATTATGCCTTAGTGGCGAACATTATGCCTTAATGCAATAATGGTGAACATTAAACCTTTTAAGTTTAAATTTTACTCCACATTTCAATTTTAAGTGTGCAGAGCCACAAAACATAAGCATCTGAGTAGACGATGAAAAACATATAACGGTTGATTGTCAGAAACGAATATTTAAATTAGAGCAAGCAAATTGAAACTTGGAATATTGCCAGTTTTGCTCAACCTGAATTTGTAATCCATGTACAAATATTTTCGGTTATACTAATAAGTTTGTTCATTGTGTCATTGTGTATTTAAGTTTGTAGATTATGAAAACTGCACTTTGTAAATGCTTAACCGATTAGGGTGTGAATGTGTAATATATAAAGTGTTTAAATCAAATCTATTCTTGTTTCAAGTAAGGAGCAATTTTGGTAATCAAATACATGAAATTTTAAAAATGACCTTTGTAGTTTTTCAACACTAAGCGACCTATCTTTGACAAAAATTCATTAAATTATTTGTGTGTAAATTTTATATTGACGACATTACACAAGTAAATGATTTTTTCCACATAGAACAACACTACACGTTTGAAAAGTACTCAATGACCCCAGCAGATATCAAATCGGAACTCTTCCAGGCAACCTGAACACATCTAAACCTGAGTTATTGTTAAATAGTATTATGATATCACTGGTCCCCACCTGGTTATAAAGACTTGTTTATAGCACTTCCCCTGAGAGGAAATTGTAAGATCATTTTCATTTTCATCATTTGTACCAACAAAGAGGTCAATTTGTATCCCATTGGGATTACTTTACCCATGTGTTAATTGTTAGCCCTAGTTACTGAAAAGTAATTCTGTCACAAGCACATGTGCCCAGCAGCTCCAATAATCGAGTGAGATTTCCCTCTCTTCAGCAACCAGGACATTTATACAATGCAACCAAGACGTTACTCAGTTTTTTTCCTGTGAGGCACCAGGACATTTGATTTTTGTAGTTGTTAAGAAGATGTCTAATGATTTACAATACTGTACAATATCATTATCTACGCTCTTCCCAATTAGGACATACAATCAGAAAATCACAAAATTACACACTTTCTTATAGACTCCACTTGCAGGTGAATTTACCCTAAAAAACTGTTCCTTGTTCCCTGTAGACGGGTGTTCATACAGAGAAGATTCATTAAAGCATATATCATGGGAAACAAGATGCAAAATGTCACCATCTGCCATTTGTTACAGATGTGAACCACTAAACACAAGCCGCAGACTGCAGAACACCGTCCACAAAAAGGTAAGAGACTATAACACTGTCGGAAGTGGTGACATAATAAAAACCAAGAAAATATAGATCAATTAATTTTCCACAGCAGTTGACAATAGAGGGTTTTCTAAATAGCTTTGAAATCTCGTTGAAGACTCTTTTTTGATGAGATTTTAGGAGATTTACATTTTTAGCCATTAAAGATCATCATTTTCTTCTATTTGATAGCTCATTTGAATACAGTAATCTCCTATCAAACAACTTTGATTTGCACAGTTATCTACTTTTATTCAAGTTTTAAAGATTTTCAAGTTTTTTGAAAAAGGTCTGACTAAATCACCATTAACACATTGTTAAAAAAGTTCATTAACTCTCACTAGGATCACAATAATAATTTGAAATCGCAATCAACTGTCACCAAGACCATATATTTAGTTTTAATAGTGTTTTATGTTAATGTAAATTGAAATACCTGATAAATCAAATAATTAAGCATTAAGTGACTCTTGTTATCGGTTTACATCTACAGTATTCTGGCCCTACTAACACACATGCTGCCATCTATTTATCCATCTAAATAGAAAATAGTCCATCTATATAGAAAATTGAGAACTGAATACTTACTTTTGCACCCCTGAAAAGCTCAGTTATAAAGCTCAATAGCAGGTCCATAATCTATAATAATTATGACATCATGTTATCTGAATCACTGTTAATTAATTAGTCGAAGGCTTATAATTCACATGTCAAATCCCTTGTCACAATGGAAATAAACCTGATATCGAATGGATTATAATGTCATCGCTCACCTCCAGTAAAATCATAAATTGTAATCAAATTACTACAGTCATTGTTCACATTGTAATATTCGGATTTCCCGATATCCATGTTCCATTGTGCATGATCCCATTTTGTTATGTACACTGTCAATTACTGTGTTACTTTACATATCCATTCACACTGTCCATGGTTTCCACTGTGCTGTTCTCTTTTTACTATTCATTTGCATTTTGCACACCAGGCCAGGTTTTGCTAAGGGGGGGGGGTCACTTTTCAATAAATTCCAAGGGGAGTTCATTTGACAAATTTGGTCAAAAAGGTGAACAATTCTGGGCCAGGGGTGGGAGATTCGCCTGAACCCCCTGGTTATTGGCCTGCACACTGTCCAATATCCATTCCATCTCCATTGTGCCAAATAAACACACTATGACATCTACTGTATATACATCATAAGCAAGTTTTTAAAATGTACATCCAATACTGATATTAAATATCTTTCATGGGTCATAATCCATAGTCATTCTGTATTTCTTCTGGCTCTAGCTCCTGCAAAACAAATCAAAGACCAACAATTATATTAAGACCATTACTCAATAATAATACAGTACTCCTATAATATGGTTTTGGAAACATAAATTCACAGGAATTCGATAAACAAAATCACAAACATGTCAAACATAAATAAATCAACAATCAAGAGAGGTGCATAGAATATAATACTACACAAAGAATCAACCTATGATTACATACACTCCGATTTTCAATAGTGTGCAGCACTCAATTCATCTAATACTTAATATATCACTGATAAACATACAGGATGGGCCACAAACAATTGGAACATTTTTTCATCCACTGTGACTTTTTTGTGAGTCATGTACTATCTTCAATACTATAGGATATCAAAAAACAAGTCGTAGTCAACAGCTTGTATGAATATGATTATACAAGTTCAACATTTAATTAATCAATGCAAGGGTTTCCTGAACATGTCCTCCAACCACCTGAACAATCAGTCTGAGCTGTATTTGAGAGTCATGCATGACTATGAATATGACACACACACTATTCAGATCATGACAGGCCAAAAATGGTTATACATACATATTTTTATCTTTAACATTTTCACAAATAATCATTTTACCATATGTAACCAGGCTATTTCATATTTTGAATTATCCAATACAATTTCTAGATGACCCAACATCCACATCATTTTGCATGTAACATGCCCACTGCACTTGTCACATTGCACAAAACTATTCTAAAATGTACCAAGACAAGATCAGAGATTAGATGTATGGGGGCAAAATACCATACAAATTCTTGCAGTATACTGCATAAATGTTGTAAAAGTAGCACTGGTTTTATAAATAGAGCTCCAAATGTTTAGATTAAGATTTCCTTATATGACTTTACATAATTTTATTTATATACTATTTATTGAAGATTGCATCTCATCTGTTATTTATTTACTATGTACATTAACTAGAATTTTTCTACACATTGTCTGTTTACATTGTCTAAATACAAGCAGTGACGTGTAAAAACTTTGTGACTATTTTAATTTTAACACATGTGACTGAAATATTATCAGATGTGACACATAACTTATGTGACACTTATTTATCAAATGTTTTATATTACATGATGTGACTCTTTATATGAAATGTGACACTGTGCTTTTATGAAGATCCATGTAGTATATCACATGTATAGCTCCATGTAGTATACCATCACATGTATAGCTCCATGTAGTTAATCACATGTATTAAGCTACATGGAGCTATACATGTGATGGTATACTATATTTTTGTTATATTTGTAAGATGGGCGATTGGAGGCCCGTGGGTGGCAAATATAAATAACAACAAAGTCCAAGATATAAAATATTAAAATATCTATTTAAAAGATCATAGTTCCTAGCTGTCCAAACTTTCTCAACTACTGCATACAAAAACAGCCAACACCCAAACTCATGAGTGAGTGAATGTGACCTATATACATAACATAAGACATGAATGAAAAGTAAAAACAAACACAGCATGAAACAACATACAAAACTGGTTTAAACAATAGAACATATATACAAAAGTGACTTGCAAACAACATGGTTATAAATATCTGAAATACTGGATGTAAAAGTAATTGATGCAAGAGGATTAAAAGGACCTGTTAAAATGAACAAGGAAACAAATGGGGATTGATCAATATGAAATTCAAAATATGAAATAGCCTGGTTACACATAAACTGAATTTTTGTGGATTAAACTGCAATAATAAAGAAAATTGATTAAAATAGTAAAATGCTCCAATTTTTATTGGCCCACCCTGTAGATGTAATACTACAGTACATGCAAAACTACAGTACACGTTATACCACAGTACATGTAATACTACAGTACATGTAATACTACTGCACACTTAATACTAAAGTACATGTAATACTACAGTACATGTAATACTACAGGTTTTTATAATCAATGCTGTGTATATGATTCATTTTTGACACAAAATAAAAACTGAAGCTAGACTTTCAAAAATATTCAAAATATGATACCTCCAGCGTGTCCTTTGGTTCTAAATCTTCGCCATATTGCATTGCATTGTCAATCTGCATGAGTGCTTCGTTTAAACTTTCTTCATCTGTCGGGTCCAATCCAACAAACTTTACAAGACTATAGTCATTGATCTGCAATTACAATTACACTTTAAATTACTAGATTACAGTCATTGATCAAAACCAGTTGCTTTTACAAGTTCAAGTAGAACAACCTTTCAGATAAATATTTATTTAAAAGGTTCTTCTAAAGGAGATGACCATATTATATATTGTAGGATAACAGATGGTAGAAAATTTGCTTGAAACAAAGAAAATGTAATTATGATTATAATTATGAACTGTGGCTTATATCTCCTCCTATTACATCATCCCTTAAAGAGTTCATGATTAAAGTTAAAAACATGAATGCAACATTTTAACATACTGGCATTCAGTCTATTGCCCAATGGGCAACTAGTTTTTTTAAGTTTATTGCCAAGAGAGACAAGGCATTAACATCAAAATGTCACCACCTAGTTGTTCACAATATTATGAGTTCAATCTGAAGTCAGATTTGAATTTCTGAGAACTAGTAGATGATTTTGAAAAAATAAACTGGTAAATTTGAAGCAAGTTGAAAAAAAAACCTTTTTGACCCTGAGAAGGCCATTGAAGGTGAATTCTCAAATCAGATTTGAACTTCTGAGAACATGTAAATGATTTTGAAAACAAATTGGTGAATCTGAAGCAAGATGAAAAAAGACCTTTTTGACCTTGAGAATGTCATTGAAGGTCAAATCTTGTTTGACCTTGAGAATGTCATTGAAGGTCAAATCTATAGTCAGATTTGAACTGTTGAGAACTTGTAGATGATTTTGATTTTGAAAAAAATTGGTCAATTTGAAGCAAGTTGAATAAAAGATCTTTTTGACCTTTTTTTACCTTGAAAAGGTCATTGAAGGTCAAATCTTAAATATAAAGTCAGATTTGAACTTCTAAAAACATGTACTAGTAGATGATTTTGAAAAAAACTGAAGTCAGTCTAAACAGTAATTTTAAGTTATTGGAAGTTGTAAGAATTTGTTACAGATGCCGACCGCCAACACCCAACCGCCAACCTCCACTTTTTGGTGGTGACATAAAAACTGGTTATCTCTGGCAGTGACAGTCAGGCAGCAGCTGTGAATTTTCAAAACCTGACCCCTTACCATTGTTGCCAAAGCAGAATTGAGTTTCTGGAAAGCTGTAGACCCAGATGGCATATCAGTGTCCAGGATGTCTTGAAGATCAGGCTCAAGATACCTGAAAACAGGACAAAAATAGAATCACTAATCTCCCCAGCATTAGAGCAATTGGGCAATGCGCCCAGGTGCACCCTGTTGAAAATTTAAAAATTAAATGCCACCTAGTTGAAAATCTGATTGCACCCGAGTCAAGTTTTAAATATTGAGATATTTTGGACAAAACATGATCAGATAAAAAAAACTGTTCAAAAACTATTAAAGAGAGTGCATTTCATCATTAACTCAGAGCTCAGATATTGTATTTGAGATTATAAGGAATAGATTAATAGGTAAATTGTACATGTTGCTTGTAATTTTGCCACCCCTGTAGATCTCATTCTGCCTTTAATATAATATTTTACATATTCTATTAAATTAAATTAAATTTTACCTATCTAATTCTTTCCTTGACTGTTTACTGAGGAGGTCCAATTTTGACATAATATTCACATGCGGTATTTCAAGATTCACCATAGCAGCCAGTGCTGTTAATATTCCAGAAACAAATTTAGCTCCCTCTATAAGGAACTGCGAGTCCATAAGAAAAACACCACAGAGACGGAAGTTCCATGAAGTTTCTAGGCGCTCAACTAATTGACGCATCACAGGTATATGTGTGTATAGTTCAATCTGACCTGGAAAAGAATTACACATGTATAATTGCCCAAGTGGTAGAGAATGTCCCTCTGTGACAAACACTTCCACTTCCAAGCTGGATTCCCAGCTCAGGCAAGTCTACATTGTTTTTACATACCTACTACTGAATGATCGTAAATGGTCCACAAACCTTACAAAGGCTTGTGGGGTGTGCTACTATGTATTGGTAAACAACTACACAGGGCAGGACATATGTAGGCTAAGCAGTTAAGTTTAAGAACTATTCATGGTGTGTCTACCCCCCCCCCCCGGGGTCTTCCCTTTATGAACTGACATACCTGGGCAGTCAAAAATAAATGTGCTTTTACCCAGAGTTCCCCATACAGTACGCCATCTTAAAATTGATTGATGACTTTATTTAACATACATAACATCAGTCTAGTCCCTCAATTTAATGATGTACCTGGGCAGTCAAACAGTACATAGTCATCTTCCAGAACATTGTCCAGCTGTTCTTCCAGCCAATCAAAGTTGCTGCTTAAGTACCTGAAACAAACCATCATTGTTTCTCTTAAATGATTACGACAAGAAATCAACAACTGTTTCAAAACATAGCTAATTTTGTATCGTCTTAATCCCTACCAAAGAGAGTGTTTATATTGACTCTGTATACTGGATAACGGAAACAAAATGGCCTTTAGGCTTTTACCTCAGACCCCATTCCACAAAATATATACAATTATTCAACGGTATCTAAGCTCAAGGGGATTTATATATTCTGGCTATAAATTTGAAACACTGTTTTTATGTCTCTTTATGATATATACATTGTACATAGTACGAGGGTATATCCAAAAGTTCTCCACCGTTTTATCTAAAAAAAATATTTCTTGGTAAATTTTGTTCAAACTTGGTCAGGAGCAACATGATGGTTTAATGTTCCATAAAATAATATGGTTGAAAAATTACAACTTTAACATAACCATTTGGTTACCATAGCAACACGGCAATGAGGTAGGTGGAGCTCGATTTTGATTCAGAATTATGAAATGTATACATATTTAGGCTAACCTAAACCAAGACATAGATTACCAATGCTATTTCATTCATCAATATACCTGTTGCCAACAACATGTTTCTCCTGCATCATTTCTATAGACTTTCATTATGATGTCACAGTAAACATTCGTCTGATGTCACAGAAATGTTTCAGTTGCTAAGGAAGAATCTGAAAGATGTCATCAGGAAGAAGAGGCCAGAGTTTATTGCAGACGGCTTCTATTTCCACCATGACAACGCCCCTGCGCAGAGCTAACATCAATAGAAGTTATACATAAGATTTTACAACCAAAACTTGTCAAGCATCCCCTATATTCCCCAGATGCAGCTCCCTGTGACTTCCACATGTTTCCCGAAGCTAAGAAACCCTCCAGGGGATTCGTTTTGCAGATGATGAGTCGCTGATTAAAGCTTTTACCAACAGTGTGTATTCAGTCACTAAGAATGGACTTCGGCATGTGTTCAATTATTGGATAAAACGATGCAATAAATGCATAGCCCATGGTGGGGACTGTTTTGAGGGAGAATGAACATTGATATTGCATCAAATAAAAGCCTTCATTAATGTTAAAACCCCTGGTTAAAACTCTGTAATAATACCACATTGTTTGACAAGAAATTGTTATTAACAGTGATTTTATTCAGCTCCGCCTACCTCATTGTCCTGTTACTATGGTAACCAAATGACATAGTTAATATTATATTTTTTCAATGATATTAATACAATACCAAGCTATCATTTACATGTTGCTCCTGACCAAGTATGAACAAAATCCACCAAGAAATAATTTTTTAGACAAAACGGTGGAGAACTTTTGGATCAACCCTCGTACATTGTACATAGTACTAAAACTGCCATTCACAGGCTGTTTCATGGTTTAGCCTAAAGGATCAATTTACAATGTAGTGCCTGTGCCTCTTCAATGCATTCATTTTTAATTTACATTTTGCCAATAATAACATAAGCATAGACTTACTCCATACAGAAAACAAGACCACCATTTGGTCCAAATCTGAGAGATTCATCTTCCATGACATCTTCTACTGAGACCAGCTCACGGATGTCTACAAATACAGCATTCATTATAAACCAATGAGATTTGGCTCCCACCATTCCTTGCTGATTCTCTGACATTATGACCTTGACCTTGCCATTTTACAAACTGTCATTTGACTCACATGTTACAGCTTGCAAAATGGCATTAATGACCAATTTGGTAATAACATTACCATAATTGTCATCTTTTGACTAAATACTTGAATTGGAGATGACCATTATAGATCAATACAACTACAAACTACAAATGGTTGTACTGCATGCTACAAACTACAAATGGGTGTACTACAAACTACAATCAGTTGTCTTACAAATTACAAATAGTTGCATTACAAACTACAAATGGTTGTTTTACAAACTGCATATGGTTGTACTATAAACTATGATCGGTTGTACTACACACGTGTACAAATGGTTGTACCTGCTAATACGGGGTAGTCAAACACTTCAGCTGCAGGATCCAAATTTATAACAAATACACGTCTCTTCAATGCCTCGCAGTGGCGCACAATGTTGCTGCAGTATGTGGACTGGAAAACATTAATAATTCATAGAAAGTAAGTCTATGTTAGCTGGCAAGAAATGGAAAGGAATCTACTGTAGAGGCCCCCTCTAGAATGATTTCGGAATTGGGTTTGTGTAAAAATCGGGTGACCGGGTAACCGGGTGTACCCGGTCGACCGGGTACCTAACGTTCCTAGCAGGGTTACCAACTTTCAAAGTTCCAAATTTCCTCCGATACATAGTAGCGAATTGACTTGACAGACTTAGCCTTTCGAGTGCACTGCTGTTAGATACTTTCACCCTATACGAGACAGAGCACATTTTAAAATAATCGATCCAGCAAACAGTGACGTCGTCGAAACGTTTTTTCGATTTGAAATAACCTCAAAACGTGACGTTCACGTAATGACGTTCATGGACCGTATTGATCTGACGTTATTCAAATATTCAGCAAAACGTCGATGGATGGTTGAATTTCAACATTGTGGAAATGGGTTCAAAATATTTGTGAGTTAAGGAAACGTTACAAAGACGTCAATATGTTCTCACTAAATCGGTTCATTGCCGACGTTATTTTAACATTAAAAGTTAACGTTGTCAAAACGTTCTTACGATGTGAAATAACCTCAAAACGTGACGTCGAAAATAACGTACATGTATCGTCCAGATCCAACGTTATAATAAAAAAAATTCCTAACCCTGCTAAGAACGTTGAGTACCTGGGAAACCCGGTCACCCGGTTTTTTACACAAACCCTTTCGGAATTTGCCTTCTGAATTCAGAAATTTCTGTTCTTCTGAATTAATTGACAAAGAAAATTTATACAAAACTATTTTTTTTTTTATAATTACTACATGTGTATAAAAGCAAGTGATTTCTACAACAGTAAATTACAGTGCGGAGCTGTCAACAAGCAAATGTTGAAGGATTGATTGAAAGGTGGGGAATTTTTTCAGTATAGATTTATAAGGTACCTTTCCACTACCAGCCGGTCCCATCACGATCTGAGCATACTTCGGCATCTGGATTCTATGATGTATGGGTCTAGTATGGAATTACTTTTGATTTAGTAGAGATATTGCTTCATTTAGTTTCATTTTAGAATCCTTGTAAAAATACACATGTGGGTCAATGCCGCTACAATCAATGAACTGTTAGTACTTTTTTGTAGAAGAATACACGATAGAAATATATCCATAGAGCATAAAATTGTTATTTTTAATGTTGATACAAATAACTTTCCTTATATGAAGATATATATATCGGGTAGGTAAACCAAAATAATCTCAAAATATCTGATTTGTTGTTGATGAGAGCGGTCATTAATCCACCGGAAGTAGGAAGTAAATTTAACTGAAGCGAACATTTCTTCTATTTTTAGGCTTGATTCAACGTATTTAAAGCTCAGATACAACCCCCGATATGCCGGTATGTAGATTTCTAAAACTAGTGCTAATTGAAAATAAATAAAAGTAACTATGTTTTCTCTGATTCCATTATTGTACCTTTCAAGGCCAGAATTTTTCTGTTTCTGAAAAAATAATCTGATGCTGATCTCTGATGTTCTGAGTTTCTACTTCTAGCTGAGTACAGTAAAATGCGATTGATAAGACTATATGTTGTTTTAATTTTTATGTAGCTATTTGTATATTTGTCCTAGGTGCACAGGGACTTGTCTCGAATAGTTTTAGGTTCTGCTTGATGTCTGCAACAGGCATATTTTCCATAGAAAGTTGTACACAAGAGTGCGAAACGCTTTGGTGGGCAGAAAGCTCTTCTTTATAGTGTGATTTTCCTTAAACATCTCAAGACTAGTTCCTGGGACAGGCACAATGTTATGAAAAGTCAAAATAAATGATAAAAACCATCAATTAGAAACTAAATATGCTATAAATGGGCTTTTAAGTTTCTTTAAACCTCATGGTTAGTAGGTGCATTCATGCGCCTCTGGGCCTTTATTTATATATCTGAGATTTGTCATAGCTCTAGTGACCCTATCAAAACTCCAATAGTCAAATAAGTCACTAGAGCCATGGAGCCACGTCTACATGGTTAGATGTTAGAACTTTTTATGAAAGTGGCAAACATGATCTAGTTTTATTACATCTTTAATGCTTTCATTGTTAGCTGGGGCTAGAAAGCCTATGCTGTTACTCAAGATTAATTTTGGACGGTGAATCTTGTTTTCTTTAGATCTACAGTTTTATTTTTGTATATTATTCTTCTAAATAAGTAAAATTTCACAACTCACGAATATTGCAATGATACATGTATATATTAGAATGCACTTCAAACTTCTAAATGCTCTATGTTGTTCATTTCTTTGCCGCTCATTAGGCCAACAGTATGATAACACGTAAATTCAGTATCTACGAGAGTGTAAAGGGATACGGGGTGAGTTTGCATGATGTGCTACATGGTAATGAAGAGGTTACCATGGTACTAAACGTATCACAATAATTATGAGCCTGTTACTATGGTATTGAATGGGTAACCAACGTTATGATGATGATCCTTTCACCATGGTAATGAAAGTGTCATAAATTTTTATTTATGCTTGTAATTTTTATCGCTGCATGTGTGGTTAGACCTAATTTTCATAGATTGTCTAGTTTTTGGCCAGTCCTCGAATAATTCACAAGGTTTATTTAAAAATATATTAAAAAATGTTTATCCATCAGAAGGCATGAATTAATGTTAAAGTGGTATTGATAGCACTTTCTTCTGTATTGATGACCTCTGAACCAATTTGAATGCCCATTTCTATTTTTCACAAAATTTAGTTATGGCATGTTTAACCCCTGTCAATTGTTGTTCAAGCCTAGTTAAAGTGACAAAATTTGTTTGGGTGACAGATATCATCCTTGCAACTGTATGCTGAAATGGAACTGAGGGCTGCATATTTGGAATGAATCAGGAGGCCATGTTTCTTCGTTTTGTTTCTAGTACTTTATTCAAATTAAAAAAAAATACAAGAAATTAAAAGATATACCCAGAAAGAAACCATAGACACAAGCTTATGTTTTAATGTCTACATGACATTAAAGTGATAATATACATATTTATTGTTGTAGGCCTATAAATGTTAGATTATAGTTGATTATTGTTCTACCGTTATCACTTACCTAGCGTAGTATTAAAGTTTTATTGTCAATTTACAGTTTTATTGTCAATTTTGCAATTAACAAGCCCTTTGTTAAACTACTGCTATAAATGTGTTTTTCAAAAGCATGCAATTAATTTTGTGAAATTAATACTTTTAAATTAATTAAATCTTATACACTGAAATAAATTTGAAGTTTAGATAATTCAGTTTTATGCAGATTTCAGGAAGAATCATAAATTAATTAAAGTAGATATTCCCATTGATCAAACTGAGAAAAATCAAGTTGAGAGTACACTCTAATGTGCTTTAAAAAAGACACAAACTCCTACAAATTGCAAAATTAATATTAAGTCACATTGTGACAGCACCTACATGAAGATATTTTTTTGCTAAATGACCCTTAATTTATTTGTTTTGTTTATTCCAGGCGTATCATTCCCAGTTCAAGGATGCTCCACAAAACATTGGCAATATGGCCATGTGCCCCATAAAGACACAGTTCAAGGGGCCAGCTCCAAAAGACAGTAAGCAAAATATAATTTATCACATTTTTTCAAAGTGCTAAATGCCCTCCCTAGTGATATTGTAATACACACAAGGCCCAGTATTGTTGCCAACATGTACATTTCAAGAAGACACAACCAGTTGGTTGAAATTTAAAAATGTCTGTTTTGTATTCATAACTTTTGAATCCCCTCCTTGTATATTGCAAAATAGAGTGTATATAGTTTATACCAGCAGTGTATTAAGGTCGATCTCAAACATATAACACAGAGTTGATTTAACATGTAATGAAGATGCAATATAACCAATTGCTATTGTGTGTTATTGTGGTCCTCCCCCACCTTCACAGATATACATGTTCAGTAAAACCTGTCCACGTGGAACACCTTTGGAACCTCTAAAAAGTGTACCATTTGGGGGGTGTTCCACTTATACAGGTTCATTTAACATTAAGTCAGTTGGTCTTGTCCACTGAAAAGTATTAGGGTGTTCCACTTTACAGGTTTCACTCTATGTAATTATAGTATGTAATTTTGATGTTTAATAAATTTTCTATTTTCAGCCAGCGGCTTTGACATCATAGATGAGGCCATACAATTCTTTAAGGCCAATGTTTTTTTCAAGAACTATGAAATAACAGTAAGTACATATTATTTAGGTGGGATATTGTTGTGCATGATGTCAGCATGATGTCAGCGTGTGTATCTTTATTGTGTACAACATTTAACTGGTTTTCCTACTTGACCATCCTAAAGTTAAACTTTATGAAGTTTGCAAAGATACATAAATTTAACATTCCTTGACAAGAAAATGACAATTCCTTTCAGAATTTCTTACAACTTGTAACAGTTTATTTTTTTAGAAATGTTTTAATTGTAAGCATTGAAGATGGGTCAAATTTTTGCTGAAAACTGGCAATTTTTATATTTTTGCAGAGTGAAGCTGACCGAACACTGATCTACATAACATTATATATAACAGAATGTCTGAAAAAACTACAAAGGGTATGTACATGTTTTTGGTAATTTTCTTGTTATCATAGTTACCATTTGTGTTTATAGTTGCCATAGTAACCATTTGTTTTGTGTATCAAAGAGTTACCATGACTACGTTTGTTCATTTATAGTGTACATCCAAGAATAATGGCCTAAAGGAGATGCATTCTCTAGCAATCCAGAAGTTTGACATCCCTGGAGACTCAGGATTTCCGCTTAATTCATTGTATACAAAACCTAAGAACAGAGGGGAAGAAGGTATGTTTCTGCCTTATAATATTTATTTGTCAAATACTTGCAATTGGATTAAGTTTGATGTGTACATTTTGAATTTTTATGCAGTCCTCTTTGGAGTCAGATGTTATTTTCAGGAATAAATAAATCGTTTCATATATGGTCTACATATTTCACATTTGCATAAAGAGTACCAATGTACTTAGAAAATAATGTGGAGAATTTTTTTTTTATAAAAAATATATGGAAAATGAGAAAATTCAGTGACATGAGTACAAAATAAGTAGGTCACTTTTTTTACTCATTTTACATATCTTTTAAAAAATAATTTACTACACTCTTTTCTGGGTATACATCAGTACACTCTTTGTGCAAATGTGAAAAATGTAGACCGTAAATGAAATGAAAATAACATGTGACTCCGATGTGGACTGCATAAAAATTCCAAACTTACACATCAACCTTTATTTCAATCTCCATTGGCATGCAATTAGATGACCTTACTGGTGGTGTGTCAAATTTAAAATTGTGGTCTTAAATCTTGAAAATAAATCGTTGTTTTTTTTAAGATTTAAGAAAATGTAATTTTGTCCTGTGGGTGGAGAAATCATGCATATTTTGGAGAATCTCATCAAAATTGAGACTTTAATGAGATTTTAAACCTCTAGTGCAAAGGGTCTGTTTATTTCAAACATGAAAATAATATAACAAATATGTAATAACTTAAATGAGGATAATTTTCTTCAATTCAGGTACATTTACACATTTAAACATGTATATCTAGACACCTCCGAACACCCCTCAATGAGAACACGCTTTCTCAGTCCAAATTCTCTCCCATAGACTCACATATTGAGAAACCTTGAAATGTGAACACTTGCAAATTCAAACACTTTTGTCAAGTGGCATTCGGATAAGACAGGTTTTACTCCACATACATTAATATATGTGCTATAACACACACACTACAAGTTAGGCTCACAATATTAAAATACAAACTCCATGCTTTTTATTTTCAGATACCATGAAACAATTTATTTTGCAATTACGCCAAGAGACTGGTCTCCGTGTCGTAGAGAAAGTCTTTGACCCTCAAACAGATAAACCAAGCAAGGTACATTCCCGTAAAGCATAAGTGAAATCTTAAACTAATTGTGTGTGTACTTTTGATTGACCAATCAGAGCAGCTTATTGTTATGTCACCATCACAAGTGGTGACATACTGTTATAGTCTCCAACTTTTTTTGTGGATGGTGTTCGGCAGTTGGTGCTCGGCATTCAGAGCTCGATGTCTGTGACAAATGGCACATGTTGACATCTTGCATGTTAATACGTTGTTTCCTATGTCATCACTTGAAGTACACATTTTGTGGATGTTGTAAACAAAATTCTATTTCATTCTTCTTATAGTGCCAATATCTTGACCTCATTTTCGAAAATATTACATTATATTTAAGAATATTGACTCAATTGCTGTAAAAACAACTGAAATGTAAGAGCACATTTGGTAGCATTGTTTTCAGAATTGGGACAATCAGACCATTTAAGCTGGTGTATTTTATTCTTTTAATTTCAAGTTATGATATTTTTAAAGTAGCATAGACTCCTTTGTTACTAACATATCTCAATATATAAATGTAAATTATTTATGTTTTTTTCCAGTGGTGGATGTGCTTCGTTAAGAGGAAGTTCATGGACAAATCCCTCTCTCACCCAGGAATGCACTATTAAACCTTCAACTGTACTACTGATCAACTCACAGACCTGAACAATCTGCTTGAGAGGAGAGTTCCAACAATCTCCTTGATAGGAGAGTTCTTACAAATCTCCAATACAGGAGAGTTTCTAAATCAAGTGACAGTAAAATGAATAATTATATTACCCTATATTTTCACTCTCAGACAGTCTCCTTGAAGTGATATTTACATTGCACCAATAATACTAATTAATGTACATGTAACATTGCTTAATTTTGTTTTCACATATTGTTATGAATTTTATTGAGAAATATGTTATAAAACAGTCAGAGTAATTCTGTATTAATCACCTGTCAGGTTTTACATATTGTGTCAATAACATAAAATAATTAAAACATTATAATTCTGGGACACATAATTTGTGACATAGTATAAAGATATACATATTGTACATAACTAGGCTAAGTCGTAAAAATATAAAAATATAATACTAAAGCAATTAAAGAATCATGTTGCATTTTTACAGTTTTATGAAACCCTTCAAAATCTTTATGAGCAGGGCAGATGTAGAAAATCTTATCACATTTACATGTCAGGTATTTTAATTTAACCTCTTGACTACCCAGAGGGGCAAAATTTCTCATCACTAAATGATTTTGAAACCTAGGGTGACAAGATAAACCGTCACAAAATTTTTCGCTAAAATTGCTTTAATTTGATCAAATTTCATCCAATTTATACAAAAATTGTTTAAAAATGTGTAGAAATGATCTCTGCCAACTAGTTTCACTGAATTAAGTATCACCTGTTGTATGTGTATGATGTAGAAATGTCAAAAGCTGGCAAAAATGAAAAGTTCTCTGGTTTCAACCGATTTTAGAGCCTTTGGTTCAAGAGGTTATTAATACCTGGCAGTAGGTGAAATGACAAAAGCATTGGAAGATGAACTTAAGCATGGGACCCAAAAATTGTGATTCTTGTGAGAACAGCTATAGAAAATCACCTGTTACACACTGTTAAAGAAACTCCTAACATACATGCTAACGAGGTCTCCCATTTATCACTTTTGTAGTTCATATATATATATAAGCATTTCTGGAGTACGGGAAAAAAATTCTACTTGGTTTCAAATCATACAGGTTGGTCAAAATAAGGAAACTCTGCATTATACTCATATCGTGTCATTTAAAAAAATTACTCCCTGATATTTGACACATTTGTACAGATTTCAATTTCCTACCACCCTACCATATTTCATGACCATCAGACTGATAGTCACAGTGTTGCAGCATTTTACTTTTGAGGTCTGCAATTGTCCTGAGGTCATTCTCATACACTTTATCTTTGCCTAATCCTCACAGGTGCTGTAGAAGTCAGGTAGGGACATTTTGGACAATATGTGCAGGTTTACCTACAGTGCAATATTGGCCACTGGAGGAGGTTGTTTAAAGTGCTGTAACATTGTGGCAATCCAAAGGTTTTGGTCGTTTTAAGTGATTCACACTCCCCACAAAAGGTTTGTCAACATCATTGTCCTCTATTGGGCCACATAATAAATCATGTTTGTGTTTGAGAATAATCTTTGTCAAGAATTAATGTAGCATAATATAGTGAAAAAAGATTCAAGCATATACAGGCTATACAAAGGGAAATTGCCAAACCTTTTGAGGGGAATGTAAATTGTCATACACACCTCATAGTAACATCAAGTTGAATATTTTATCAGATTAATTATTTGTTAGAACATTAAAAATTGGTGTCACAGGTGATCTTTTAACCTCAATTTAAATGTTTATACTTGTATCAAATTTCTTAATAAATCAGATTTTATCTGTGATGTACATGATAACTTAGTTTGTACCTCTGGTTTACATAACTCAGTTTCAACCTCTGGTTTACATGGCAACTCAGTTTTAATTATCTCCGGTTTACATGATAACTCAGTTTTCATCTCTGGTTTACTTGGTAACTCAGTTTGTACCCCTGGTTTACATGGTAACTTAATTTGCACTTCTGGTTTACATGGTAACTCAGTTTGCCCCTCTGGTTTCCATGGTAACTCAGTTTGCACCTCTGGGTTATATGATAACTCAGTTTTCACTTCTGGTTTACATGGTAATTCAGTTTTCATCTCTGGTTTACATGGTAACTTAGTATGCACCTCTGGTTTACATGGTAGTTCAGTTCTCATCTCTGATTTACATGGTAACTCAATTTGCACCTCTGGTTTACATGGTAACTCAGTTTTCATCTCTGGTTTACATGATAACTCAGTTTCAATCTCTGGTTTACATGGCAACTCAGTTTTTATTATCTCCGGTTTACATGGTAACTCAGTTTGCACCTCTGGTACACATGTTAACTCAGTTTGCACCTCTGGTTTATATTGTAACTTAGTTTTCATCTGTGGTTTATATGGTAACTTAGTTTCCATCTCTGGTTTATATGGTAAATTAGTTTGCACCTCTGATGTACTTGGTAACATGGGTTGTATCGCTGGTGTATCTGGTAACTCAGTTAGCATATCTGGTGTATTTTGTAACTGCATTTGTATCCTTGATGTACTAGTACTTTGTAACTCACTTTCTATCTCTGATGTACTTGGTAACTTCGTTTGTATCTCTGATGTACTTGGTAACTTCGTTTGTATCTCTGATGTACTTGGTAACTTCGTTTGTATCTTTGATGTACTTGGTAACTTCGTTTGTATCTCTAATGAACTTGGTAACTCAGTTTTTATCTCTAATGTACATGGTAACTCAGTTTGTATATCTGATGTACTTGGTAACTCAGTTTGTATCTCTGATGTACATGGTAACTCAGTTTCCATCTCTGATATACTTGGTAACTCAGTTTGTATCTCTGATGTACTTGGTAACTCAGTTTGTATCTCTGATGTACTTGGTAACTCAGTTTGTATATCTGATGTACTTGGTAACTCAGTTTGTATCTCTGATGTACATGGTAACTCAGTTTCCATCTCTGATATACTTGGTAACTCAGTTTGTATCTCTGATGTACTTGGTAACTCAGTTTGTATCTCTGATGTACTTGGTAACTCAGTTTGTATATCTGATGTACTTGGTAACTCAGTTTCCATCTCTGATATACTTGGTAACTCAGTTTGTATCTCTGATGTACTTGGTAACTCAGTTTGTATCTCTGATGTACTTGGTAACTTAGTTTGTATCTCTGATGTACTTGGTATCTCAGTTTCCATCTCTGATCTGCATGGTAACTCAATTTGTACCTTTGTTGTAAAAACATGCAATAAGTTTTTGTTGATAGGTGAAGCATCTGGATTTACACATGTTAAATCCATCTCTGTTTGTAATGACTTTGGAGGTGTGATGGCAGACTCCAATTGACTCTTAGAAATTTGCCACACAAGAGAGTTTCTACGTTGGGATTGGGGAGTAGGGGATGGAGTAGACAACTGCAACTGAAGCCTATCAATAAGGTGCTCTGGGAGATGCAATTTGGGGATCTCTATAGACGAGTTATCATGTAACTTTAGAGAATTGCTCTTTGCGCGTCGACGCAGGGTGACTTTTCTTGGTACTTTCAAGAGTTTTTTCCATGTGACTAATGCAGTTATAATAGCAAATAAAATGCTTATTCCACCTAATATTGCTGTAACCATATTTAGACCAACCTGTACCCTCCAAAGGTAATATGGTGTAAGTTTTGTAGCCCGACTCTCCGTCACAGTCTTATCACCATATATGGCAGTGTACAATTCACAATATATGTCATTTACAATTTTTCCAGGGTGTGAACAATCGTAGTTCTTTATTTTGTATTCGTCGCTGAATTTATCAGAGCCGAGTATCACAGGACCTGCTCTTGGAACCCGGGACATAGGGTCCATGATCTGAGGTACATGGTACGCTGTATGCATTGCCCAGAATACAACAGACAACAATGCAAGAATAACATAAACTGATATATTACATCCACGCTCTTCATACCGAGATTGTTTTCTAAGATTGAAACCATTTGTGAAACAATAAGTACTTAACACGACGAGGAATACAGCAGAGTATAAGTCGAACTGGGTAAACATGGTCATCCAATTGTACTTCAGGGGATCCACGGCCAAATGAACAACGGCAAATACAAACATTAGTAGAGCACATGCTAAACTGACTGCAGATACAGCTACAATGGCTTGTTTCTCTTTCAGCTTGGCTTTCCTCTTGTTGGTTTGCTCTCCCATGGTTTTGGCAAGTGAATCCATTGTTCTTGTTCTCTGGTGTTGAGGACACAGTGCAAGTGAGATGGGCAAGTCCTTAGGTAAAGGGTTACCCTGCGTGCAGAGTCTAGTTGAAGACGAAGCTCTCTTTTAAGAAGTGAAGTCAAACGAATGCAAAGGGTAGTAAAGGGTGAACCAAATCACTCAAATTATGTGTGTATGTCTTTTAGAGATCACCAATATAATGTGCAAATCATGTATACTAGTCTTAAATGATCTAGCTATCCATCAATTTCATGTGAAAATTCTGTATTCTTGTCCTATATGGGTCAGTGATTCACCAATATAATGTATGTAATGCTCAAATCCTGTTTGCTAGTCATATGTGAGTTAGTGGTCCATCAATTTCATGTGAAAATCTTGTATAAAAGTCCTAAATGGGTAAGTGGTCAAAAAACCAAAGTCTCTGGTATAACACTTGTAACAGTCTTGTATACTATACAACGTCTTGTGAAACTGCAATTAAAAAATAATTTTGCTAGAAAGCCAAAAAGAATATGGAAATATAGACCTCAATTTTGTTTTCCAATTAATGAAAATAAAATAATGGCCGTTTATTTTCAATGTAAATTATTGACCTAGAGTTGACTAGCTCGAATGTCTAGAAGATCTCTAAAAACACTTAATAACTCAACTTTTTCAATTGTCATTAACATTCATTAACTAAATTATTAAATCAAAAGTTTTCTTAGGCAATTGTAAAAGTAGAAATGCAACTTACTTGTACTAGGCCTATACTTTAATGTGACGCATAAGCAACAACTTATTCACATTCTTAAATATGAATCTTTTCTCAGGTATCACATACATTAGGCCGTGCCAGTCTAACCTTTCAGCTCAGTTCAAGATTACTTTTTTCTTATGAAAGAAATCTCTCACAAGGTTTTCATAGAAGGCCTTTGTAAATGAGAATAGTAATTAACGATTTTAGTTTATTCATTCAAGAACGCATCGTCGCTTTCCACTTGGTCTAGGGGTTGGAACAATCGAAACCTTGTGAATCAAGATGCTAACAAAGAGGAGTGAATAAGATGTATTTGAGTATGTTGGAATATAGTATATTTAATGCGAGGGACCTGGCCTTAACACCCCAATAACTTTTTCATTCTAAAGATTTATAGCCAGTTTAAATAAAAGGACTCACACATTGCACAGTGAACTTTCAACTACATTCATTTTATTCCTATCAATGTAAATATTGTTGAAAAAAAGAAATAATTGAAACTAGACTAAGTTTGTATTAACATAGGCATGAAAGTATGCTTTTTGTCCTAGTTTTAAGCTACCGTAGATATTAAAAAATCGCAAGGAAAACACCTGCAAATACACTGATGGAGATCAAGCGAAGGTAACTGCCGTCACAACCTTCGCATTCAAGATGGCGGACGAATATTGTCGATTTCGAACTTTTTAGTTTTCATCGAATTAAACCACTTTATATTTGACATAATGCTTCGATATTTGAACCAAATCAGGCTTATATGACGTGGAAACTCTGGAGTATGATCATTTGTTCATATGTCGTGCGTGGGTGCCACATTTCAACGATATCTTCTATCGCTTAGGGGAAGGTTACTGGAAATGTATGATTCGGTAATGGTCGAGTCTGTTTTCAAGATGATGCGGTTACTGTGTAAAGTCTGTAATATTGTTCTTTTGTTTCAGGCCAAAAAGATGCGCTTGGCCATATGTGCACTTTTTGTAGAACAACAAGGGAAAGAATACATGTAGCTATTTTGCTTGACCACACCTTGGAAAGTCGTCATGTTAAATAAGCTCCAGATACCAACTTTTCCTACCTGAAAGGGAACTTAATGAAAAGTTTTAATGTTTAAATCAATATGTCTTTCAATGGCATTTGGTTCTCTATGTTTTATGTAAATATGTCAAGGGAGATTGTAAAATATAACTTAATGAGAGTATCTTAAAATAATTGTTAACAGATAAATCCATGGCCAACACATCCAAGGTCAACAATTTTAAAGGAGCCAGAATAAAGAGGAGATACCAATGAAAGCAATATGGTTGGAGGTAGACGCAACTACATTTGTTCCTACACAGTAATACATACTGGAAACAAAAATAATCTGTAAAAATTCGAACGATGCCTGGCTCATGTCCGGCTGTACTCCGTTCAAGGATCAAGAATGAACTTTACAAAATATCGCAATGATGGCGCATCAAGGGAGCTATAGAGTAAAATATTTTCATGAGACATGAAGGGACAAGCTCGGACATTTCCATCAGAACATCCATGGGACATCAGGGGACATTGTCCAACGTTGTCTCTTTTGTCCCATGTTGTTCCCGTGTCATTGTCCGTCGTTGTCTTATTTTGTCCCTTTGTGTCCCAAGAAAAAATAAACATGTTAATTCTTTCCAAGGGACATTACCGGACAAATGAAGGTCATTTTATAAACACAGACAAAATGACAAAGTTGGACATGTCCCATTGGTGTACGGATAGCTTTAGTCCACATGGTCAGACAATATTAATGTTGTTACTGAGACATTTTCATATCTCAAATATTCAAATTTTCCGCCATTTTTCAAATAAAGGTTGATTTTTTTAATTCTCAAATATCCAACTATATATAAAGAATTTTATCTTTTAACACCAATGCAAGATCAATTAAATGACTCAGAGCAATGTGGAAGGTGTTGCTTTCCAAAAGCACGAGTCCCAAAATTGCAAACTACGTGTATTTTTTCCGGGATTTTTTCCTACTGCAGTTATATGAAATACTGTGTTCGGATTGGCTGGAATCGGCCACACCTTGCACCTAGGAATAAATAGTAATGACGATGTCGATGAGTAATTGATCTTGGGGATCAAGATAATGTGAACCACCACAATTGTTATAAAGCATGTTTTGCTATCTGAACTAGGACATCTTAGCTCTCCATTATAAACTCTCAACGTTACCGCATCACTATAAATCAGTAACCGTGTCATCTGTAAAACCAAAATACCAGTAACCTTCAAGCGGTGGAAGATATCGTTGAAATGTGGCACCAACGCACGTCATATGAACAAATGATCATACTCCAGAGTTCCCATGTTATATAAGCCTGATTTGGTTCAAATATCAAAGCATTATGTCAAATATAAAGTGGTTTAATTCGATGAAAACTAAAAATTTCGAAATCGACAATTTTCGTCCGACATCTTGAATGCAAAGGTGATGGTAGTTACCTTCGCTTGATATCCACCAGTGAAATGCAAACACTTTTACCAGTCCAAGGGCATTCAGCTTAGACAGGTGTAATAATAGTTACATTCCTTTCACTTTGAAAATCTGGTATTTTTTGCATAAACACATTTACTAGTAACCTGAAAAAATATAAATGACTATAAAATAGGGGCATCAGTTTTAGCTCAGAGGTTACAAAAGGTAATTAAGAAATTGGTTAATTCAGATCAAAATGCTTATATGAAGGAGCGAGGTATCCATCTTAATCTTCGACTTATTGATGATGTATTAAATCATATTGAGACAGAGAATTTACCAGCAATGATGGTCGCATTAGATTATTCCCGGGCATTTGATTCGATATCAAAAACATTCATCATTGAAATGCTCAAAAAATATAATTTTGGTGAAAGCTTTATCAAATGGATTCAAGTTTTTAATAAAAATACTACATCAGCTGTAACAAATAATGGTTTTTTCACCCAGTGGTTTGAATTAAAGCAAGGCTTGCGTCAAGGCTGTCCATTAAGTGCATTGATCTTCATTTTAGCAACAGAAATGTTCTCAAATAAAATTAGGCAAAATGATAATATAAAAGGAATTACTATAAACAATGAAACTATTGTCAAAATTACAACATATGCAGATGATGCCACTGCATTTCTAAAAGATAGCGCATCACTAGAAGAACTCATGAAAGAGTCTGACAAGTTCTATTTGACCACAGGTTTGAAACTAAATAAAGAAAAATCCCAAGCAATGTGGCTCGGGCAAAATAAAAACTCAATGGAATCACCATGTAGTATAACGTGGAAACTTGGACACAATGCCAAACTGAAAATCTTAGGAATTATATTTTCTAATACATGTGAAGCTAGCAAAATTGAAATAAACTGGAACCCAAAAATAGATAAAATGAAATCATTGATAAAATTGTGGTCAAAGAGAAATATTACCCTTATTGGAAAAGTCAACTTAATTAAATCTTTGATAGCATCTCAAATAACAAATATGCTGATGGTGTTTAAAGCACCTCAAAACATATTAGACAATATAAATCAAATTTTGTATCAGTTTTTATGGGGGAATAAAACTGGGAGAGGAGGGGAACGGATAAAAAGAAAAATACTTCGTCAAAAATATGTAAATGGAGGTATAAATATAATTGATATAAACGTTACGCAAAGTACAATGATTATGACCTGGGTAAAAAGATATGCTATAACACACCAAGCTACTTGGCATAATATATTTAAACATTTTCTAAAAAAATCTGGACATGAACCATTTATATTTGAATATCAAACAAATTATGAAAATCTCAAAAATAAAACAGAAATAGAGAAACTCCCAGAATTTTACATATATCTAATCAAACAATGGCTCAACAATAGAGACCTCAGGATCACAAAAAGTGTTTCAAAGCATGATGTGTTTTGGAATAATATGAACATACAGTTTAAAAGGTCAAATATTTATTTCAAAAAATGGATGGACCGAGGTATTGTAAAAGTAAAAGATTTTCTAAGTCAAAATGGTTCCATAAAAGATTATGATGAAATTGTACAGATTGTCGGGCAAACACCTGAAATCCTTTTACAATACAATGTAGTTAAAAGTGCACTGATGAATGTCGATGTTGATATTCAACAGGAGGAGAAACCTTGTAAATATAATAAAATGTTTGTTAAAGATATCACCGCAAAGCATGTTAAGAATATGATTTTGGATAAAGAGTTAATGATTCCAAAGGTTGAAGCAAAATGGGATCAAATTTATCAAAATTTGACATGGAGAACTATTTGGTATGAATTTTCAAAAATTAAAGAACCAAGACTTAAAGCATTGCAATATAAAATTATACATAAAATTTACCCAACAAACATATTATTATACAAGATGAAACTTTCTGAGAATGAGAACTGTAAATATTGTAATACGATGAGAGATACTTATGAACATTTCTTTGTGGAATGTAGAATTGTTAAAGGATTGTGGAAAGTTGTACAAGATAAATGCAATGCTAAATTTGGCAAAATGATACATATGTCAACTAGTGATATACTTTTAGGAATGGAAAACAGTGATATAAATAATTTGGTCTTAGTAGCCAAAAACTGTATCAGTAAATTCAAATATGGAAATTATGTCAATTTAACAGTACTATATGAAAATGAATTGTATGTTAGAAGTTGTATGTGAAATGAATGAATAAATTAAAAAAAAAATAAAAAAAAAACAAAAAAAAAAACCTGAAAAAACATATAAATAATGAATAAAGCATATTTCTATTAACCGTAAATATGACATGCCATCAACTTGAAAAAAATGAATCTCTTTCAGAAAGGCTCTTATTATTTTTATTCATGCCTGTAAAAACCATCTTCCTTTTAAATGCACCAAATAAATCCCCATCTCCCCTGCTACAGCTAAAACCTCAACAGATAGTTCCTAGAGTGATATACCATTGGAAAGGTCATCCAAAGTTACATTAACTCACAAACTCTCAAGTATTTTTGATGAAAAATATGTACGGTACCTATATTTTCACAATTTTCCTACTATTGTAATATGCCCTTCCCCAGTAGCTTTTATTGCATCAAAGTGAGAAGGATATGACCTCAGCAATATGTCAAAAAATTTTCGCATTCTGAAAAAGTCTTATCCACTATCTATTGCCCCTTTATATGCTACACGTCTGACCCAATCAACAAATGGTTAAATTCATTGCCATCCTTTTACCTTTCTGATGCGTGATTTTTAAAACCCTGCCAAATACACCGAAATGGCACGTTTCTAGGTGTATGGTCACCCAGTAGATACAACATGGCATTTTGTGACAGTTAACAGGCCACGCGCTAATCAACATAACTTTGGATGATCTTTTGTACCATTATATTTTGGTTTTGGCTGTAGTGGGACAGGACTTTTATTTGAGACTCTGTATATTATAAAACAGATAATCTTTGATAAATTGAGAATGTTTTATTCATAAGAGACACACAGCTTTGGTTACGCACAGGTTGAACTTTAACTGCTGTATAATAAAAATATAGCACCCAAGGATGCAAAAAGATTAATGATTCAACCATTTCTCTCTGGCAGTCGGTTCATGCCTACTACAGAACTTTTTCATTACATTTTTATGTAGTTTTCACTCTAGTTTCTTTCCCATATATGGTCATGACTAGTTGACTAGCATGATATCTTTCTCATCACCTCATGGATAGATTCACTTTTATTAGTCCTGAGATCTGTTCATGTTTTTTATTGTTTTTATTGGAAATGTCATAGACATTAAAAGGCCTCTGTGCCTACTTCTGACCCCAAAATAAAAATATCAGCAAATAACATTCTTAAGTAGTCTTTTCTGTAAATATTTCAGTTTGAGGAAATCTGCATATAGTAACTGAAAAAGTATGTGTCTCTTTTTAAATTTTGAACTTGCTTTATACTTAGAAGCTGCCCCTAGTGTATCCTGCACAAGTCCAAAAGTCACGCACAAGTCCAAAAGTCACGCACAAGTCCAAAAGTCACGCACAAGTCCCAAAGTCATGCACAAGTCCCAAAGTCATGCACAAGTCCAAAAGTCATGCACAAGTCCAAAAGTCATCCACACCTTAAAAGGGACTCAGTTGAAAAACACTGATGGCACAGTCTATCGTCTAAAATGACTATGATATAATTTCTTTTATGTACTAAATCTTTCACCCTCTAGGAGACATGGCAAATGCAAATTATAACAGGCCCATGGCGATCTTATAAATTTAAAAACTTTAATACTTTTAAACTCCCATAAAAGATGGGTATGCCCCGAGCACCTCTAATTTGCAGAACACTATCCACAAAAAAATATAACAATATGTCACCACTTGTGGTGGTGACATAAAAATGACCTCAAAAAACCCAGAATGCACATCCATGTAGATAAAAATAACAGAATATAAAATGTAATTAATATATTAATAATATATTATAGCATGGTATGTATACTTGGTACACAGCCACATTATATATAGTGAGTATTTATACTCTCTCTCTCTCTCTCTGTACATATAAATGTTAAGCCAACATTAAATAAACTCAACACAAGGGCATAGCCGTGTAAAATATGGCATCCACAATGAGTGGATCAAAACCATGGAAGTGAGTCAAAAATATAGTAGAGATGTACCTGCATGTTCTGGCATATACAAAAATAGGGAGGTTAATGCCTTGGTCACATTTGCCCCGATTTTTACTATGGTGCCCATCCGATTGAGTATTTTGTTCAAAATTGAATACAATATTGAACAAAACTCTCAATCGCCCAGGCGCCGGCCGATGCAACAGAGCAAATGTGACCCAGGCATAAGCTACATGTTTTTAAAAGAAGAACTCATACATGAATATGTAATATAATATTATGACCCCAAAAGCGTACTGTCTCCCTCGAAGTCTTGTGGTTCTGATGATCAACATTTCCATACATAATTTATTTTTGTGTTTTGAGGAGGGGGTATAGAAAATGAGCAAACCAGTTTATCACTGAGCTTCAAACAAACACTGCAAATGCCAAAAATTAATGGCAGAAAAATAGGAAAAATAGTTTGCTGATTAAGAATTTCAAAATTATAAATGGCTGATTATTTCACAAATTATTAAGAAATTTATGATCCTACACATCACTGTTCCACAACTGGATGACTCTAACTGCAGTTAGCTTCATTCAAGAAGGTTGCCGAAATTCTTTTGTTTTCAATGAGGCTCCGATTTCAGCTAAACTAAGTAGAGTCATCCAGCTGTGGAACAGTGATACATTGTAAATTGAAAAATATGATAACAATACTGAATTTAACAGACTGCCTCCATATAATAATGGGAGACCCTCCATATAATAATGGGAAACTATCCATATAATAATGGGAGACAATGTACCAGAACAAAATTACAATACATCCTTCCAACTCATCTACTGATTGATACATAAATATACATATAAATAGGTAGATCCTAGTCATGATAAAAGCTACATAATAGACAGTATATAAAATAAAATCACCCTTGCAAAAAATGTCACGTTTGTCATGTCCAGCATAAAGACATCAAGTTATATGTTTTTACAGGGTGTTCAATAAGTACTGATAAAATACTGGGTGCAGAGTGACTCTATATCCAGTAATCTTTGACTAAACACAAAAAATATTTACAAATATTAATAGGCTATTCACATTCTCATGATGCATATGTGCATCATGCAGGGTTAGACTGTTGAAAAAAGTAGGAAATACAGACAAACATAAGTGTTACATATGTTTATCAATACTTATGGAACACTCTGTTTTATATTTTAAACATAAACCAACATGACATTTTCATCAAATGTAAATTATCATTTTTTACAATATTAAGTATTTCATACTCAATTAAAATAAAATATGAATGTTTGTTATGATATTTGAAATGGTGCTGATAACGGAGGTTCATCATGATCGTAAATGTCCGAATGTGAGGGAGATCGTCCAGGGGCAGGACTTGCATCACCATAGATACCGCTGGCCATATTGAATGGCGATACTTGTTGTTCGTCATAATCTAAGTCACCCTCAGTCGTAGTAGGTGAATTCTAAAATGAAATTAAAGAAAATCATTTCTAATATTCAGAGCAAGACATACACAATATTCAAGGAGCAAAATGTAGTCATGTAATTTACCCAGCATTCCCAAGATTTCATCATACGATGGAATTAGTTTGCTCTTGCATCTGTGAAATTTCAATGGATAACGAGTTTCTCGTGGTGCACGGCTGACCAGATACACGCAGCCTTATCAGCACAAGACGACAGCAGCTGACTATGCGATAATTGTTATATTCTTTTTCAGTAAAAACTATCAATCTTATTGTTGGATCAATGATTTAATTGTACTCACGCTCACCATGGGATCAAGCTTAATGGCAGCTAAGCTTTTGTCTGTGGAATTGTAAGTGTTGGAAAATGGTAAGTTTTTATCAGAATCTGTATCAGTTGCTACTCCATCCTACAACACATAAAGCATAATGATAACAGTAATGAACGTGATAACAGAATATTGTAAGTGTATGGTCTGTTATTGCATTCAAATGCATAGAAATAGCGTAATGTGTAAATTGCTACTGCACCATAGAACACATGATTGATAGTGATAACAACAAACTGCCTCTGTGTTATTGCCTTCAAGTTTAAAAGAAATGGCATAAAATATGAACCAATTGGATGTATGACTACCTCCCCATAGTGCATAACTTCCATCAGTCAATGTGATGGTGGTGAATCATTAAAGGCGTCATCTTGACGAAAATTGTTTCAATTTTAAAATATTTTGGGCTCATATCATTCCTTGTCATGTATATTTTTGAAAAATACCCTAGGTATATTAACTTTATTTGAGGAAATTTAAAGATTTTTACAATAATGCAATCATTTGTCCATAAGAATGGTTACCATTCTTATTTTTGGGAGAATTTAAATATTTCCCCCATTTTTTCACTTTGAATGTTAAATAACTTCACTAATTGATAAAATTCACAGATCTTTTGGGAAATATTATATTTGACCTGGTAAGGAATAGATTATTAGATCAATTGTACATATTGCTTGCAATTTTGTCACTCCCTTTAGATCTGATTCTACCTTTAATAATGCATTCAATAAAACAGAAAACTTTCAAAACCTCAATCAACATTCACAGGTGACAATACTGCAATACTACAACTCACACTTTAAAAACAGAACTAGAACATTCTGAACAACACTTGGACTGGCCAAAACTGTTTGAATTGACAGGTGTTCACTTTGAGGAAGTGTTCAAATTGAGAGGTGTTTGTATTAGAGAGGTGTTTTACTGTGTTGTGAAACCTAGCTAGGAAATTACATATTTCTTTTATTGGAAATATATCAAAACATGAGACAATAAGTTAACTTCATACAAGGCCTACCTTTTCTAATGCAGACACTGGGGTGGAAGACCTGCTTCTTTGTTTATTTTTGAAAGAGACGAGATCGGTTCTCTGGTCGCGCATCTGTTTCTTTATCTTCTCTATCATCCACTCGGGAACTGTGAAGCCTTTTAGCTCTTGTGGTATTAGAGCTGTACTGTTTCTGAAATGATGACAATAATGTAGTGCATTTTACGAAATGATGAGAGAAATATACAATCAGGAACTGTGAAGCCTATTAGCTCTTGTGGTATTACAGCTGTACTGTTTCTGAAATGATTTTTTAAAGAAATGATGAGAAACTATTGTGATATTCTTAAAATGATGAGAGAAAATATTACAATATTTCTGAAATTGTGATGTTTCTGAGATGGTGGAAGATATTACTATGATGTAGTAATTAAGTTATTAATTCCAATATAGCATTGATTCAATTTCAAAATGGCTCACGGGTATACTAAAGAATTTTAGCCCATGCATGAGGCATTATCAGAAAAATGTTTCCAAATCAGTCTTACTTGTATTCGTCAGTTCCAAATAGATCTTTGATATCTTCCATGATTAGCATATACGACTTTCCACCTGTGGCAGGCATCCTTTGATTCTCATATAACCACTGTTTATCATCCTGGTCTCCTGTATACTGCAATAAAGATCAAATACTGCAATAGAGTGCAAATACTCCAATAAAGATCAAATACTGCAATAGAGTTCAAATACTGCAATAAAGATCAAATACTGCAATAGAGTTCAAATACTGCAATAGAGTTCAAATACTGCGATGAAGATCAAATACTGCAATAGAGTGCAAATACTCCAATAAAGATCAAATACTGCAATAGAGTTCAAATACTGCAATAAAGATCAAATACTGCAATAGAGTTCAAATACTGCAATAAAGATCAAATACTGCAATAGAGTGCAAATACTGCAATAAAGATCAAATACTGTAAGGGAGTTCAAATACTGCAATAAAGATCAACTACTGCCAAAATTAAGGATGAAATAAATACTATAAAGGTGGTAATTCTGCTGAGATGTTACCGTGTTCATCTAATATTAATGCTTAAATCTTTTAAAATCCACTAATTATATCATACTTCTTATATGGGTTCAGTACATAAATATAAATTTAGAAATTAAACCAGGGCAACAGTGGACATGTTAACGGTTCAATGAAAATCCTCCTTTGATATTTTACCAGACCATTTTATAATGTAATGTAATTTGTGAGAAACAAACCTTAAAAGTTTCAGGGTGTTTGATATAGAGTCTCCCTCTGGTGGCACCTAGACCCAATGCTCTGAAAATAAAAGGAGAAAAAATGATAATGATATAAGGTTTGAATTTAAAACGTTTACCGGTAGGTTAGTTTTCATGGGGCTTTTCTAAGCCTGATCAGTCACTTTTGAAAAATGTATTGAACTTATGAAATATGGTAAAAGTGAAACATAGAAAATACACAAGGTTAAACAATACACTAAGTAGGTCAAGGTGGAGGTCATCTGAAGGTTGGGGCATTGAAGAGTCAAATAAGTAGTGGCTAGACTATGACTGACACTCCATATAAAAACTCACTAACTTGTTGGCTTTTGCGCCCATGATAAACTCTGTCTCTGTGTTAAGTCTCTCTGGATCCCACTTGGGGCCTTCCTTCTTTACTGGTTCATGCACCTTTGTAAGTTTAGAAGGCGTACCCCTCCTGAAAGAATCAAATGGCTGATTTATTTTCAAGTTTTAGGTTTAATTCATTCACATAATTCTTCTATTAAATACATGGTTGATTAATCATCAACAGAGGATTAAAAAATAGATTGGTGGACTTTTTGACTTTCCTGATTGAGATGTTTTACTGGTTTGTGAGTCATATGGTGACTATTGAACAGTTTTTAATCATAGTACCCCGGGCAGTTTTTTGAGAATCATTTTAAATGTCCTTTCTTAAATATGCTATCTATTGCTTATTTTAAACCTTAGAGATATGTTTATTAATCATATATTATTCCATGATTAAGTTAGAGGCAATTGAAAAATTGCACTTTTCATCAGATTGTAGAGGAAATTTCATGCTACTGTTACTTACCCTGAAGTAAACGCCCTGCCTTTTTTCTGAAATGCATGTAAATTAAAATAGAATTAGGAGTGTGAGATTATACTGGTACTACCCATGTCTGTATGAAAAAATCGCTGATATGGCGATTTCTCATTCTAATTTCCAAACGAGGCATTAAGATGACAAAATTTCAACACTTGTAGTTGGAAGTTGTAAGATTTGTTTACAGACGCCGAACCCAAAACGCCGAACACAAAAAATTGGACACTACAACAATACATGGGTGAAGTTGCAAATATGTATCTCCCCCGATATAATACTTCCTCCCAGTACATAACCTTTATAAACTGACCTTGCGCTTCAGTGGCTGACTAGCTTCAGAATCTGTATCTGATCCTCTTCTTTTTTTGATATTGAATAAACTCTGCAATGATAAAAACCATATTAATCAAAGAACACACTATGTTTTTCAATATTATATGAACTATACTATCAGGCCCAAAACAAGTTATTTTAGACTAAAATATATCAACATTCTCTCCAATTATTTCCACAAATAGGTACAAAACTAATTTTCACAATTCTGACCAAATATGGTAAATGCCAATATTTAATGATCCTCTAGATTTTTAAAGGAGTGTTTGCATCTGGATTTTCCAGCGGGTGCAAGCCTATTTCAAGTCATGAGTGGGAGCAACATAAATAATTCTTCTTTACATAAACTGACCTTTGCCATACGGCTTGCTCTACTTTCTGTTACAATTAATTCTTCTTCACATATACTGACCTTTGCCATACGGCTTGCTCTACTTTCTGTTACAATGGTACTGCCAGCATCAGATAGATTGTCAGGGAAGTCTATAGGAGTTACACTTCTGCTACTTTCTGTGAAGTACATCTTCTTGGCCTGTAAAATATTTGAGAATGTAAAATGTCAGAGAATATGAACTCCATTGTCCATCTTTCTGGGGAACCTTTGTGCAATTTTCCAAGAAATAGGCATAAAATAGAACATGTGCTACCCTCTGTGTAGCACATCTTCATTGCCTGTAAAACAATGGAGTATTAGCGCCCAACAAGAGGAAATAACCCAGAATTCATAGATGAACTTATGTAATGTAAAGATGAAATAGTGCAGGGCAGTTCAAGTGACTAAAGCAACTAAAATTCGAGGTTTAATTTCAAAATTCCAATATTTAATTTTAAGATTCAAGATTAAATTTTAATTTCAATATTAAATGTTCCAAAACCACAACAAGACTGGTTCATAGAATACTATAAACCATAATAAAACTGGCGATTTCAGACTCACCTCTTCTAACATGGTCCTGCATACACCTTGTATATGTTCATCACATACAGCTGTGTCGCCATTGTTGATCTTAATGTTCTCAATACCAGGCTTGAAATATGACTGAAATAGAAGAACATACAGTCAAAAAATGCAGTTAAATACTTGAAGTGTTACAATCAAAAAGGAAGGATAGCAAAAATTTGCAAGCAACATTTACCCATCATCCGACAGTCCTTTTATATTCAAAATATAAACTCTCAAATTGTATCAATCACTAGATACAACTTCAGCATCATTTATCCCCATCTTAGTTGAATTTTCGGATGTCAAATTCTTGAAATGGGATAACGTTGATAATAAAAATACATAATACACATTTTAAACAGTCAATGGTTGCTACCACAAGGAATGACACCACTATCACTGCCATCATAAAACAAGTTCCTCAAGACGGAAAATTCAAATTAGTAAAACCTGTCTAATCAGGCCACTGGGTGTTCAGATTGGCAGGTGTTCACATTTCAAGGATTTTTTAACATGGAAGTCCATGGCAGATTACAAAATTGGACCAGAAAAGTGTTCACATTGAGAGGTATTCAGTTTGGATATACAGGTTTTAATGTATTGTTTGTCAGTATTTCCACATTTCAAGGATTTTTTAACATTGAAGTCCATGGCAGATAAAAAATTGGTCCAGAAAAGTGTTCACATTGAGAGGTATTCAGTTTGGATATACATGTACAGTTTTTATTGTTAGTACCTCAGTGTAAATACTCGCATCTGATTGGTCAATTAGCGGTCAACATTTTTGCCTGTACCTCACCTGTGCATCATGGGATATCAAATTATTGACCGCGTATGTTACTGTACTACACTTGTGAATTATGGGGAATATGACGTCACAATGTTTACAGAAAAAAGTGTAGACGGACATTTTGTAAACGTTGATGAAAGTGATATTTTGACTTGCTAGACGACGAGTATAGCATGCAAAAATACAAATACAAACGCAAAATTAACATTAAATTTTCGTAGTGAGTTCGCAGTTATGTGCCGAAAACAGAGAGTCTAGCTACCACTTGCTGGCGTGGTTCGAAGAAAAGATTGTGAAATGAAGCCATGATTGATGACTGTCGTCTATATGTGTATTATCAGTTTTTTCTGACTAACAAAACAATTGTAGACCTCTCCATTCGGTCAACCGGCAAAATCATATACCTCGACTGTAAACCTTGAAACTACTGTTGACCTCGACCTTCGGTCTCTGTCAACAGTAGTTTCTCGGTTTACAGTCTCGGTATACAATTGAGAGGTCAACAATTGTATACTGTATTGTTTGTCAGTATTTCCACTTACATCGAGATATCTCTGTATGACAACATCTATCTCTTTGTTGATGTCCTTCTGCAAGTTCTGTCTCAAGAGATCTAGTGACCTGGCTGCACTAACGATTGATCCAGCCCTAGAAACAAATGTGTAATCAATGAACATGCTTTTTCCCTATTTCCCCTGTCAGTTTTGTTACGTAAATTATGTATTTTTTACATTCCACATAGCCAAATTTAATGAAACTATTTATTTATTACCTCCCAAACATAGTTTGTATAAATTCTTTGGGTACATAGATGTTCCCCACATTTATTCTATCTCTAAACATCGTTACTTACTTAGCTTTATGGATGGCTACAGAATGTGACCTATAGGTGGCTCTGTAACCAGTGTGGCCTGCTGGGAAATTATTAAGGGTCTTCACACGATGGTTGAATGGGTTCTGCTACAAGAGAAAGCAAAGAATAGTAAACAGTAATGCTATAAAAAATCTTTCTACAGTCTCTGTAATAAATACATAACAGAACGATTTTTGGCCAAAATTGGTCAAATATGCTAAAATTGTTCACTGATTCTTTCCCGATTAAAAGTCAATACTTTGGGAAATGTTGACCAACAAAATGGTTAAAAGATAATTCAATTAAAATGAGTCTTACCACTCTACTATAGCTTGCATTTGGTGTTCATGAGCAACCAATTTGGCTTATTAGTAACAATTATGTTTTTGTTTTATGTGTCTGTTTCTTATGAATGGTTTATCGGATGACTGTTATATGATAATAAGGTACTTTTAAAAAATACAATTATATCAATATAAAAACAATACAATTAGACAAAGAGAGTATCTTATGCATTTCTAGAGGTTAGGTATGGTAGAGTACTTACTACATCTTCAGGACTGGGAGGTCTTTCCAATTTTTCTTGTTTCACGGCACCATATGTTTGTTTATTTCCCACCTCCATCCCCTCATCCTCCACTTTGAATTTGTGCTGAGTCAACCTATAATCATCATTTATATCATGTGATCAGATCTCAGTCACAGGCACCAGGTCAAACATAAACCTACATGTACCTTTTTATGCAGGTAATTTATAACAGTACCATTTAAAACTGTGGCATTTATAACAGTGCCATTTAAAACTGTGGCATTTATAACATTGCCATTTATAACTCTGCCATTTATAACAGTGCCATCTATAACTGTGCTATTTATAACAGTGCCATTTATAACAGTGCCATTTATAACAATGCCATCCAGATGAACTTGAATCAAACTTCTTATCTTAAGAGTGGAAGGAGGGGGGGGGGGGCTTATATTTAGTGAAATTACTTTTGTTTTCAATATGGTTCTTTCAGGTTTTATTCAATTTTCAATATCATAATCGATCAGATTTTCAAAATGTCTGACTTATTTTGTAATAAGAGGATCTTCTAATATTATATTTTTATTTTATAAATAGATTGTACAACAAGAGATATGTAAGTTCTTCAAATATAAAACGGTGTTGAGTCAAATTTATATATTAAATATGGGTGACCAAAATTAGCCTGAAAACAATGGATAGCATTAGTTTTCATAATTAAAATAACTTGGAATTGTTGCTTTCTCGCATTTCAACACCTCCATCTTCTAAAGAAGTTATTGACAGAGAAAATGGTTATATGTTAAACATGGGAAAAACATATCTAGGAGGTCATAAATTAATAGATAATTTATTAGAGAATCTTGATTTTTTCATCATGTGGACTTGTTTTGAAAAATGCTGTATATCTATGAAAAAATTATTAATACTCATGGTTTAAGATATCACTGCCTAAAATGACATTCCATACAACACATTGTTATGTTGACTGTGGGAATAAAAAAATAGCAGAGTAGGTGAAAGCCATAAGTGACAACAAACAGATAGATAGTTGTAGCTGCTGGATTTAATTTGTTTCAATGAGGTGTTTAAATAGAGTAAAGGATATAAACATATATCAAATAAGCATACTGTTGACAGCAAGATATAACCTTTATCTGAAACCTCCTAGTACATAACCCTTATGTGACATCATGATAAAACGATATACATGTACAACCAAAGACAAGAAATAATCAGTTCCCCACAGTAAGTCCATTCTATTAAAAATTTAGACCAGTGATTTGAAATAAAAATCATTTTTTACATAATAATGCTTAATTACCTATTATCGATGGAAAAACTTACCTTGGCATAACTTTTTCTTGGAGAGGTTGTCTATTTTCAATGTCTTTATATGCCAAGAGTGGAACATCCGAGTGGGCCTTTTGCAAAGCTGCCATTAAACGTGGCATGCTTGGTACAGACGGAGGTTGCACAGGAGGCTGCGATTTTGCATTGAGCATACTAGACGCTGCAGGGAGATATGATGGGGCAAGTGAACTAGGAAAACGTGTTAACATACTGTGTAATAAAATTGGATGTTTAGTAGCCTCTGCTGACGAGACAAAGTTCTGGTTCAATGTTGCATTTGGTTGATATGGCTGTGGTAAACTACCAGGGGGCAGGGCACCGATTGAAGGATTAGTCCCTGGGAGGTATATCCCTTGATTAGACGCTGCATTGATCCAAGAGGCTGAACCGTGACTATGGGCTGGGGGAGGGCCAGGTGAAGGGTCCCTTGAGTTAGGTTTCATAGAATGTGCAGGGGGAGGGGGCGTTCTTCCAGGGGGTGGAGGTGTTCTTCCTGTTCCAGGGGGCGGAGGTGTTCTTCCTGGTGCTGGAGGAGTTCTCCCAGGGGAGCGTCTCATTGATGGAGAACCTTGCTGTCGAGATGCATCCAAAGGAAGCAACAATGAATTGGATTGATCGGATATTAAAGATCTTAGTTTCTGCAACTCTGAACCAGCAGAGTCTGCAGCATACCGTGCATAATCTGTTTGAGTACCATCACGATCTCGATCTAATGCTGCTGAAACCATAATAGAAGGGGGTGCTCCATAACTCCTTTGAAACTGTTGTCCTGGAGAACTCCTATGATGTTCATAAGGCACATGTCGAGCTTTTGGCTCGTATCTAGATGGTGATGGACCTCGAGATCTGTTGTTCTCTAAAGGGGAATTTGACCGTTGTCCTGGCGATGCTCTTGATCCAGGTGAGTGACTTGACCTCTGACCCGGGGAAAATGTATATTGATGCGGAGAGAGCCGATGCCCTGGTGGAAGTGGGCCAGGGTGGCCAAGGTACACAGCTAAACCAGGGTTGAGTTCACTAGGATGTGGCTGTCTTGGAGTGTGTTGTATAATCATACTGAAAATTGAAAAAAACAATAAGGAAATATTATCATAAGGCAAAAATGAACAATATTGTGCAGTTTTAGAGTCACTTTCCTGTTTCTCAAAAAAATTAGAACTTTTGCATCATAAGTTTTTCATTTATCCCATGTTTACCACTAGAAAAACTACATCAGTAGATACTCAATACAAACATCAACATTTTGCAATATGATATGGAACTATTTATGTACTCACGGTCGAGTATGGTCCTCTCTTCTAGGAGAAGTATATAGATGATCAGTTCTTTCGTCCGCCATGTTGATATTTCATACGGGGTGAATTCCAGGATATTTTCAAATGATAGTCTTGCAATATAAAAAAGGTTCATACTTCATATGCTAGAATTAAATCTAGTTTAAAGGTTGATTTATGTTTAATGACATTATAATGGATATACAATGAGATGTTGGAAGAAAAGTGAAATTAAAATCTTTATCTGGTGGTTCATGACCCAAAAATGGCCACATCCGGTTATACAGAAAATAATTTTTCCTCCAGTTTTTCCATCGATGAGAGGTAATTCAGCATTATTATGTAACATAAATTATGAAAATGATGCAAATAGTCGTAAATTATCGTTTAAAATTAAATTAAGCCTCGGTCATAATTTTTGAAAGGTGAAAAATGCAATTACGCTTTGATTGTGCAATCAAACAAGCTTGATTGAACTTGAAGTTGAATTTGAATTGAAACATCAGTAACTACCTTTTGCATACGTTCGACTTTGCTTCTCAAATGCGAACTTCGTCTTCACTCAGTTTTCAATAAATCTTTGAGCGAATCAGAGTTAGCCATCAAAATACAGACGACTTTGTATGGGGACTTTCTCTGACGTAATCACATAATTATTGTGCACACATTTAGCAGCTCGCTGATTGGTTGAGAATAGGACAGGGCGGTTGGAATAAAACGATTTATGACCCAAGCTCTCATGGGCATCGGTCGTGGGGGCGGGGCTGCTAAACTTTAATATACATGTAGTCGATACAAGGCAGAGGGTAGTTTATACATGTAACTAGACTGCACGTAGGGTAATCAGTGACTGAGTCAGTGTTTCAACTTCAGATAGGCCACTTCAAGTCTTCCACACAGCTGGAATAAGTAGCATCTTCTAGAAGAGGTCTGTTATTTGGTGTTGTCTTTTATTCCCCAATATAAACTGTGTCTAAATGCTAAAAAAGTAAAAATTTATAGCTTCAGCACTATGAATTTCAGTATTGTGAATGAAGTAGAAGTTTTGGAGGAGATATACTTGGATGACATCAAAATAGAGAAGGCTGATACAGAAAATGGTCTGCCCTGTACTATCAATGTTATTCTGCACCCTGCGACTGGCGATGACATCAGTGCTAAATATGTTTGCCTGACATTGTGCATAAGTCTATCTGAATCGGTAAATTACATAGTTCATAAAATTGTACATGTTATTTTTTTGTTGAAATATGCTCCAGTTGATTTTTTGTTTGTGTCACTCATTAACCCATGAACTCCATTACATTTTTGTTTCTAGATTTTCAATAAACTGTGTTGCTATTGCTGTACAGTAATCATGTTTTAACATAGTTCAATTAATAATACTGTATCTCTCAGTACCTATTTATGTCACTATCATAATGCGTGACGAAGCTACTGTTTTTTACTGGCGTGTGGCAATTACCTTGGTATCCATGTTCAAGTCTGTACCATTATTACACTTTCGAAATGTTACTAGCTGAATTGTGATATTGCATTATGTTAATCTTTTGCTAATTCAGCATTCATAAGCAAAGTAAATTGTACTTTATACTAAATTACATGTATCATATATCGTTCTCCTTATCTTCCAGTACCCACACATTGCTCCCAACATCACTGTGAAGAATCCAAGAGGTCTTGGAGATGATGACCTTATACAGTGAGTACAGTAAAACCCATGAAGTGGAACATCTTTGGTAGTTGGCTAGGTACCTCTAAAAAGTGTTCCTAAGAGGTGTTCCACTTACAGAGGTTCATTTGGAATTTAATTAATTTGTCATTGGACTCTGAAAAGTATTTCTCTAGTGGAGGTGTTCCACTTACAGAGGTTTATTTAAAATTCAATAAATTTTTCATTGGACTCTGAAATGTATTTCTCTTGTGGAGGTGTTCCACTTACAGAGGTTTATTTAAAATTCAATCAATTTTTCATTGGACTCTGAAATGTATTTCTCTTGTGGAGGTGTTCCACTTACAGAGGTTTATTTAAAATTCAATCAATTATTTGGACTCTGAAACGTATTTCTCTTGTGGAGGTGTTCCACTTACAGAGGTTTATTTAAAATTCAATCAATTTTTCATTGGACTCTGAAACATATTTCTCTTGTTGAGGTGTTCCACTTACAGAGGTTTATTTAAAATTCAATCAATTTTTCATTGGACTCTGAAAAGTATTTCTCTTGTTGAGGTGTTCCACTTACAGAGGTTTATTTAAAATTCAATCAATTTTTCATTGGCCTCTGAAACGTATTTCTCTTGTGGAAGTGTTCCACTTACAGAGGTTCGTTTGGAATTTAATCAATTTGGCATTGGCCTCTGAAACGTATTTCTCTTGTGGAAGTGTTCCACTTACAGAGGTTCATTTGGAATTTAATCAATTTGTCATTGTACTCTGAAAAGTATTTCTATTTTCACTGAACCACAGAATATTATTGCAGCTTTTAAACCATGAGATACTACTACATCATATCCAATCATTTTTCCAAATTTCCAGAATATCTACAAGTCTGTCAAGCCTTGCAAATGAAAGGCTGGGAGAGCCAATGCTGTATGAGTTGATCGAGGTAAGGGACAGTTTCCTAATGCGGCTTTTTAGAAATTGATTAAATACAAATGTATATGTTTAGGTGTATATTGAACACCATAGTAGTTTAATTAGCATTCTGTCTGTTTATTTATTAATAAAAATAAAACATATATGTATATTCATTAATCAAACAAAAAAAAGATTTACTTCCTCCACACATTTCAATTGTTGCCATTAGAGAGAGTGAATTAAAGTTTAAAAAAAGCAGCTAATATTTTGCCAAATTCAATAAGGCCTCGTTTGGGAGTATTTCAAAAGATCAATGTTGGAAAATTAAATGTATTTGAAGAGCAATGGGGGGGGGGGAGGGGTCATTAACCTTAAAAGTTAGCTTTCCAAAAACATTCACAGGAATTTTATTTGAGCACATTTTGTTGGATATAAACTTAATTTTATGCTGATACTGTACAAAATACAGATTGGAATGATTATAAAAAATTAACTGTATTACAATAATTACATATTATGTTAGATATACTGTACTCCGGGTAAATTTCGACGCTATAAAATTTCGCGATTTTTCAAAATTGCAATTTCGCGGCTATTTAATTTCCCGGATTTGAGTTGATAACATTTTGCAGATTGCACAAGTTGAATTTTTTCCGATTTACGTGAATTAATGCGTATATGGCTATTTTAGCCCGTTCAGAATCAGAATAATGTTTATATTTCCCACGTTTAGGGCATTTATTTGAATATTCTTGAATTCCTTTTTCAACTTCAATTTGTAGGATATCATTGTCGTCAACAGTTCTTGCCTTTGTTGGCCTAATAAGCCAATTCAAAATTTAGACATTTTAGGCCTTTTTTGAATTATCGTCCAACAACGCTGGACGAAACGTTTTACACCAAACAAAACATATCAAAAGTCCCGGCTCAAATCTCCCGGGGATTTAAAAGACAAATTTCGCGACGATAAATGTTCGCGATTTTACTACATTCGCGAACAAAGCGAAATTCAATCGCACGCGAACAATACCCGGAGTACAGTAGTGTGACTTCAACCAATAATGCATATCAACATTCTCAAACACAATTTAAGGGGGGGGGGAGGAAGGGGAGTCACAGATTAGCTGTTCAAATACAGTTAGTAATATTACTTAGAACTTTTGAGTTGTTACCTTAGTTATTTGTTTTTTTCAATTGTTAACATTTAGATGGCACTGATAAAAATTGTTTCAATTTTGGAATATTTTGCCCAAAGTGTAGACTTTATTTGAAGAAAACTAATTTTACAATAATGTAATGTAAATATGGTTACCATAATCGAATTTAAACAATTTCACCAATTGATAACGTATCATGGATCTTTTGGGAGATAATATATCTGAGATTGTAATGAATACATTGGTAGGTCAACTGAACTACACCTTGCTTTGCAATTTTGTCACTCCCTATTGATCTGATTTTGTCTTAAGTATAGCATTATTATTATAACAAAATCACAATGTTGCAAAGATCAACCCTACAGTATGTCACAGAATAAGAAGAACTGCCCTATAATCTTGAAACATGTTTATTTTTCCAGCTTGCCAAGGAATGCCTAACAGCAGAGAATCTTCCAAAATGTCACTGTGCAATCTGCCTGGAAGATTTCTCAGAGGGAGATTCCTTCATAAAGACCCCTTGTTACCACTACTTCCACAAATCCTGTCTGGCCAGGTATATACAGCACTCATTGGCTGAGATTGAGACCTCCAAGAAAGAACAAGAAAAAGCCTGTTCTCACTTGACCACAGAAGAAAAATATGTAAGTAGCATGTTGCCTTGTTTATCAGAATGTTAACAAAAATACTATTGTGGTGTCAGTTAGCCATCGTCGTTCATTCAGCTCATGTCATCCTGTCACCCTGAATGTAGTGAAGACCCTGAGGGCAAATATGCCTGTTAGTTGCGTGTATGTACTTAGATTTTGATCATGATTCTTTTATCTCTGTAGTCACATCTATGAGCTTTTAAGAAATTTATATTTCATGTCATAATTTTCTTATTGCATATTATCATTGGATACAAGGTGGATCAAATACTCTGATTTAAATAATACAGAGCTCTTGTAAAACTTGGTTTTCTGGTAACTGTTTTACAAGCAGTTTGGTGAATTTCCAGGTTGTTTGTGCTGTATGTAGGGAGCCTTTTCCTGATGACATCATTTCCAGCCTTCAGCATGAAACTAATCCATCTAGTGAGGAGTTTGTGTACCAACCATCAGAAGACATCAGAAAATTACAAGAAAAGATGGCAGCACTGAAAACTAAGCAGTTTGAAAAGGGTGGCATCATAGATATAAATGAAGAGAAGAACAGATTTCTTATCACTGAGGTTAAAACCTTAATTACCTTGTTATTCTGTACATTGTTTTAACTAATGTGGCTAAACTCACACATAATCTGTTAAAATAGATAGTTGCCAATGTCCATAAAATGGTAAAAATTCCAGCCATGTGTAATACCTCTCTCTGATCATGCTTTTTCCATGCTATTGCTCTTAATAATTTGAGGAAAGTACAGATCTTGTTTGCTAGACTTTCTTTACAATTTTGATTGTTGCCTTAATGTGTGTTATCTTTACTCAATTGGCATAGGCCGAAATTGACTAAATATTGACGTTTGTTAAAATGTAGTTCATTTCATTTTGATCAATTCTTCCCCTCCAAAACAAATATACAAATTTTCAAAAATTAAGTAAGTTATAAGAGTCCAATTTGATATTTTGAAGATTTTTTTTAAAATAAATGTTCTTCGGCTGAAGATACTATTTTTTTTCATATTTACCTCATTACTTTTCAGGACACAACCATTGATGTTCCCAAAATAGAAGTCAACATTCATGAGCCACCACAAGAGAGTTCTGAACCCAAAAATCAGCATCACCATAGCAACCATAGAAATAAACACAAAGGACAGAGAGGTAGACATAACAGAAATCCAGAACATTCCAAACAATCTGGAGTTGATAAAGTGAAAAGCAATGACACTATTGATAAACACCCAAGGAGAACTGAAAGGCTCAAACGAGAGAAAGAAGAAAAGGAGAAACTGGAAAAGGAGCATAGAGGAACATCTGGCAGGGAAAAAGTTAACTCCTCAGGGAGGGGTACGGATAAGTCTGGAAAGGAATATGAGTCAGGATTTAAAAGCAAAGGTAAATCAAATAAAGGAGACACATCCAAGGAATACAAGGGTAAAACAACAACTCAAGAAAGCTCACACAAAACAACAGATCAGGGTACCTCACCTCAAAAAGCAACTGAAGAATTAAAACCTCATATTTCAAAACAAGCTGAAAATAAAGATGCACAAAATGAGCTTGAAAACTCAGGTACTCCAGGAATTGTCTTTCACCATAAAAAGGAAGACTCAGATAGTAAGAGGAACGAATCAAGTGTAAATTCAAGTGCAATGAAACCTCCAGATGACAAATTCAAGATACCCAACGATAATGGAAGTCAGAATCAAAAGAACCATGTAAGGCCAAGACATAACTACAGTGCAAGGAATCATCATAATAGGGAAGACCGGCATTTTTATTATGAAAAATTTTCAAATAAGTCAAATAATGAAAAATCTTTTCAAAGCAGTAATTCAGAAAAGTCATATAAAAGACCAAAATCAGGTGAACTTGAAAAACCACACGAAAGACCAAAATCAGAGAAATCTAATGAAAAATCAAAATCAGGTGAAAAACCACGTGAGAAACCATATGAAAGACCCAGACCAAGTCATAAATCATATTATAATGAAGATACCAAAGGAAGACAAAAATCTAGAGGAAAAACATATGAAACTTCAAAATCTAGAAGTGCTGATGATCAACAGAAACCAAGAGTTGAAATAACTGAAAATGACAAATCATTTGAAAAATTGAAAGCGAAGGATGGATCGAATCTGTCATCAGATGGTTTTCTTGTAAAGTTGGAAAAAGGAGAACCCAAAAATTGTGATAGTCAAGGCACAAGTGTGGACAACACAGACACTGATAATAATCACCATGACAAAGGTACAGGAGTTATGAGACCACCACCTGGTTTTGTGTGCACGCCACGAGGTCGAGGTAGAGGCCACCCACCACACAGAGGTCAAGGTCACTATAGAGGGAAAGGTCAAGGCTCAAAATATGACAAAGGTCAAAGTCATGAAAAAGATCATAGTCATGAAAAAGGCCAAAACTATAACAAAGGTCAAATTCATAAAACTACAAAAACTCAAAATAATGACAAAGGCCATGAAAAAGGTGAAGGTCACCATAAAGATATGAAAACACAAAGAAATAATGGGGAAATGTCAAAAAATGTGGACAATAGCTGACAAAAATTGTTGTATAATTTTATTTTTAAGTTTGATTATGTCACCACCATCTCTGTTGAGATAAATGAATTAATAAAAAAAAACATATAAGTTCGATAAATTATATTATTGCTTAGAATCTTATTCTCATCTAAATTGACGAAAGTGTGAAATAAAATTCACAAGCCACAAGCATAGTCATTCAGACCAGAAGGTATCCTCCGAACGCAGGACTCTAGACACCATAGACCATACACTACGTTCCTTCCTTCTACAGCATTACTGTCAGCTGATCTCAGGCAGGGGGGGGGGAGGAAGGAACATAGTGGATAAGGAGGGAACATAGTGGATGTTGTCTGGAGTCCTGCGTTCGGAGGTCTAGAGGAAGAATTCCATGACTAATCTTTTTGTTGTAATCATCATCAGAAACATGAACAGACATAAAAATGAAATACAGCAGTGTAACATTAACTTGATCTATCTTATCCTACTATAGTACTTAAAGCACTTACGCAATATCTGACCATTTCTTTTCTTTTTATGCTATATTATCACTATAAATTCTATATAAAGAACAGAAGAACGTAAGGTTTGAGAAAAAACTGTGAAATGAAAATTTTGAGACATTTTCTTCAAGGAATAATACGTGAAAGGACTCATCTAAATATCTGAAAAGCAAAAGATCTTTAAACACAATATGTATTAAAAATGAAAGAGCAAAGCTTTTTTGAAAAAACCGTCACGTACAAAAATGATGGCCAAAAGAAGGGAAAGCGCATCATTCAAATATCTGAAAATTGCAGAAAATATTCTTTAACACATATTAAAAAATGAAAGAGCTACGCTTTTTTGAAAAAAACTGTCTCATACAAAAATGACGGCCAAAAGAATTAAAAGCGCACTTTTCAACATTTCTATTTTTAAGAAAATGGTTAAAATTCTTAATCATTAGAGATGTTTTTGAGTTAGTTTCTTTCCAAAATAATCGATCAGTCATCTTTTGATTTTTTGAAATGGATTTTGTCGATGGCCGCATTCTTGGAAGCCAATGGCTCTACTTTATAGTAAGTCTCATTGAAATGGAGTTATTTACATTTTGGCTAGCTAAAAGAACACCATCATACAGGTACAGAAGGTAAATTCTATAATATATATTTGTCCAAAATGACACATTCTCCATCTCATGTGCAGTATGTAATAGTAATTTCTTATGTGTACCTCGGTCTCCTTGGTCCAAGCAGAGACATATAAAACATATTATATGTCTCTGGTCCAAGGGTATTTTACTTCTTTCCATTTAAGCATAACTGAAGTCCTTTGAAGAGGGATGTTCCAATCCAGCTGTGTCAGTCCCTCTCTTACTTTTAATTTATAAGTTAAAAGAAAGTGGAACCACAATGTCTGAATCCTCATCATCCTGAATTCCTTGTTCTTTATTAAAAACAGCAGCAACCCCCCCCCCCCCCGAAAGCCTCTAACATTTCTCACTATCTATATTATGTACCTAATCTATTTTTGTATTTCCATTATTTCCAGTTTGATATGTTTTGTATATTGCCGACAATGTTGAAAAACGTAGGCAATAATATTGTATTGTATTTTTATATATTATATATGGAATAAATGAGAAATGGAAAAAATAGCCGTCATTTATAAACAAGTTAACTATAAAGGATCCTGTTATAAACTGTCTTCCTTCTCTCGGCTCCCGTCTGAACTCAGTGAAGACTGAGTGTAAAGATGGTAATAAACCGCGCAAACTTGCTATACAAGAAATATCGGATAACGTCTGTCAATCGCATGGCTTTTCTTAACTTTTAGCATCTGTTCCCTCACGCAGCAGCATTCACTCTATATGATATATCCACGTAGAATCAACTGTGCAAGGATCCAAGTAAATAATTTGTTTGGTGATTCTAAATTCCAGTAAATCCATCATCATCGTAAGACTGACTTTTCGGTCTCGCCCAATATCTTCTCAACATGCGCACCAGCGGCATCCTTTTAAGGTCTTTCCATACTGTCAAAATATCAACCAATACGATGCATATGAAAACCGATAATAATAGTACCATTGCGAAAACACCAATAGAGATGGCTGACACCCTCTTGTCGGACTCCTTGAAGGATGTTTCAGCTGTTGGTGAAGCTGAAATTATTGAAACATATACATCCCCCATCATAAATTTTGCAACCTGAAGGATGTTTCAGCTGTTGGCGAAGCTGAAATTATTGAAACATATCAACATCCCCCATCATAAAGGAGGAGGGAAGTTAGTGCAACAGATTTTGGACAGTCATATTTTTGATTTTGGCCATTTCCTGGGGATTTAAACAGGTGCATATGTTAGGCGAATGCATTACCTCCAGGAAAATCACTTCTAGAGATGATAAAATTATTTCGACTTTGAGACAGGGTACATGTTTTTTCTAAAACGTTTTCCTGATTTTCAACCCCTTCCATCCCTGCTTTTTTAATTTTTCTTGCATCAATATGTTGCATTTTGACACATAGTTAATCCCTTAAAAGGAATAAATGATTCCTTTTAGATAAAGTGGAAAACAATATGTCCCATGTTATTTTCCCATAGGAAAAATCATTGCTTTCAGCTAAGTTTGGTCACCCATAATGGGTATCTTTAAAACCCCTGAAGGAATCAATTATTCCTTTAAAGGGTTCCGATAAGCATCCCGTATAAAAACAATATGGCGGCTCCAGGCGAATCGACTGGATCAGTCAATTTTTAAGAAATAAGGGGAGTTCTGTAAAATCCAGTTTATTGAAATTGTCTTTGAGATAAAGTAATCCGTTCATAATGATTTTGAAAACATTATCCATAGAGTGATTGCGTTCAACGAATATGTACAACAGCCAATATAAATCCTTTATTAGAACTGCTTTGTTTCATTTGTAGGATATTTCATATACCAAGCTGTGTGCTATTACGTTATGGGAAATTTAGATGTCAATTTTTCCTTATTATACACAAATAGAAGATCCTGAAACTTCACCCATAAATGTGGAATTGATTTGTCAAAATAAAAATCACCGTTTTATAAATATGTGACGATCTATAATATACTTATGCTATATAACAGTTAGAGGTGTTGACACAACGACCTCGAGCCTGTGAACCCTTGAGTATTATTCCGGGATCGGGCCTTTTATACTAAACGGTGAGCAACACCAGAAACGAGCGTTCGATTTGCTAAACGATATGCGTCACCCTTTAAAGTGGTTAACTATGTGTCAAAATGCAACATATTGATGCAAGAAAAATTGAAAAAGCAGGGATGGAAGGGGTCGAAAATTAGGAAAACATTTCAGAAAAAACATGTGGGTGGGTTGTTTGCATCTACCCTGTCTCAAAGTCGATATTATTTCATCATCTCTCAGAGTGCTTTTCCTGGAGGTAATGCATTGGCCTAACATATGCAATTGTTTAAATCCTCAGAAAATGGCCAAAATCCAAAATATGACTGTCCAAAATCTGTTGCGCTAACTTCCCTCCACCTTTTGCAAACGTACGTTCCTATTTGTAAAGTCTTAATGTTTGACGATTTAATAAGTTCAAAAAGTTACATATCCGAACTATTGTAATAAAGTAGCAAAATAAGGATGCTAACACCAACAGTCTATGAAAGGCTTTCGAATGAGGATTTCTGGTTTCCAAAGGGAAGGGGTGTACTTTTCAAGCGATTTTGGGCCAAAGTTGTCAAATTTGAAGCTCCTTGGAACTTGAACCAACCTTGACAAAAGCTGGCTACGGGCTTAAGTTTTTAAAAAAAAATCAAACTTACCCTTCAATTTGCTATGCCCCTGTATTAATGGGCTCCCCCTCAGGATTATAGGTGGCCTTGGTGGAGCTGTAGTCGTTGATGAAATCGTTATAGATAGCATTGTTGATGTTTGTGATGTTGATGCCGTTGGTATCACTAAAGTTGGCCTTGCTGCTGTTGGCGCTGTTGTGTTTCGAGTTGTTATGTGTTGCATTGGTGTGGTTGGTGTTGTGGTTGGTGTTGTATTGCTTGGTATTTCTGTGGTTGGTGTTGTTGTAATTGGCATTGGTGTGGTTGGTGTTGTGGTTGGTGCTGTAGTTATTGGCATTGGTGTGGTTGGTGTTGTAGTAATTGGCATTGGTGTGGTTGGTGTTGTGGTTGGTGTTGTAGTTATTGACATTGGTGTGGTTGGTGTTGTAGTAATTGGCATTGGTGTGGTTGGTGTTGTGGTTGGTGTTGTAGTTATTGGCATTGGTGTGGTTGGTGTTGTAGTAATTGGCATTGGTGTGGTTGGTGTTGTGGTTGGTGTTGTAGTTATTGGCATTGGTGTGGTTGGTGTTGTACTTGTCACTAAAACAATATCAGAAATATAATTAGGCAAACTAATTAGAGTATCAATCTTGAGAATGGACTTAGAAAACTTGGCTGCGTATTTGGCAGTGGACAGAATGCCAGTTTATTTGATTTTGGCAATCTTACCCTTGGTCGTGAACCCTAATTGATGATTGACAACAACGCAACTACTCTTAAAATGAAATAATTGAACATCTGAGTATTTAATGCTCATGAACAATTAATCAGTTTTAAATGATGGCATACTCAAAATTCATTTCGTTCGTTGCGTACCTTCACTACCTAAAGTAGATACGGATTGCACTGGACGAAAGGCTCGGAGATTGAAATGATGGCTAATTAACACTTCCGTGCCAAATAAACGAACGCTTGGTTCAATTGAATTACGACCGCTCTCTTGTTTATTACCTGTCGCAGGTCGTTCACAAATATATCCACGATTCGATGTTCCTCCAGAAATAGTTTCCAAGGAACAAATCTCATCGTTCCAATAGTGTCTATCCTGTACCGTAGGTACACCGTTCACTGTCCATGTTCGTCGTAGTTCTACACAATTCTATAAAAATAGTTTATATCTAAACATGGATGCTTGTTATCCCAAATGACGCTTTATGTAAGATGTGAAGACAAGAATATATAGAAGCCACATCCAAGGATGAATATTGTGTTTATTCAGAGTTTAAACGTCGCTTATGGTCTACCATTTAAAAGATAAGCTAACGACCGTCAATGTATCTTCATATCAAGAAGTGACAATATAAATGCAAGGGAAATCAAGCTATCATAGACAGTGGACACGTTTCAGTTACAAAATGGCGACATTTCATGACGGTGAGCCTAAGAGGGGGAATAACCCAGAATTCAAAGATGAACTTATCATCATCAAATAAAAATGGCCCTCTAGTGAGCCTTTGTGTATTGTTTTACCTGAGGATCGCCTGTCAGTGTGCCCACACCATTGTTGGGTTGGATGTTTGTTGTACTGCAGCAGTTCCGGTTTTTGGGATTTGTACAACAGGCTGCAACATTCGTTCAAAAATAAGTGTAGTGACTTAATATGTATGTATGTGCGCACATTTTGCAAAGGTGTCGTTATGGTACACTCCCCTCCATAAGTTTGGCAATCAGAATCCCGCTTTTGAATCATTTTTAAAGGACAGTCTATGTTTGGCGATCTAGAAAATCATCGTTTCTTTTTTTGTTAATTTCCAAAATATTGTGATTAATAAACAAAATTAAGATTCAGACACTGACAAAGTTTGATGTGCTATCCGCTTGTCAAACTAATGTAGAGGAGTGTAAACCTAAAAAAGGCATTTAAACAGATTAGAAAGGAAAAAAAACATATTTTTCATATATTCAATCGACCGTACGAACAATTGCTATAGCATCCTTTCAATAATCTATCGCACGAGCTAGCAGTGTCTAAAGCTAGCCGTACACCAATGGGACATGATGGGGCATCAAGGGAGCTAAAGAGTAAAATATTTTCATGGGGCATGAGCGGACGAGTTCGGACAAAACGGACAATTGTATTGTATCAACGGCCCCTACTGAAGTAATTCCTTTTCTTACTTGTTGCGCCAGGATAGAAATCAATCACAGCTGAATCAATGACGACGCCATCTGTCCATTTCCATTGATTTTCTACGTCATTGTCGTTTGCACCAAACCAGAACACCCAATCAGACTCGGCATGGATTAAGGTGCGGACAAAGTCATCTATAAGAGACAAGAGAGTTTCAGGTTCCAAAAAGAGGGAAATACCCAGGATACATGTCTAGAGGTCAATATTTACAAGGATGTGGGTCAATTAATGCATTCTGGGATATTTCCTCCTTTGAATTTATCACATAGTTCTTTACACAAAATATGTCTGGTAGCTTACACAGCATTCACATAGCACGGTAGCCCCAATATTTTTTCTTAAGTTTGAACGAAATTGGTCAAACTTATAAGCTTTGATATACTATCAAACATGTCAAATGAAGACTTTCGGTTGCCAAACGTATTGAGGGGAGTGTAAAAATATATCGATCCTTATACGTTAAAACCAAAGTGTAGATGTGATTTAACTTACTTTCGAGGACAGTTTCAGGTTTAGCGAGGTATCCACCCATATTGGTACAGTTTACTTGTGAAACGCTCCACGAATAACCCTCGTAGAAAACCCCATATTCATAGCCGTTGTAAACCACCCAGTCCGCTGCGTAAACTAAAATGAAAGTCCATTGTTGTACACTTTTGGTCAAATATATGGAATGTTGTGCATTAAAAAAATCAGTATATTGTCGTTACAATGAAAACTCTAAAAGTTTCAATTGCATGAAATAAGGTAGATCGATAATTTGGGAAACCTAATATTTATGCATACTGTTAACCAGTGTATTCCTTCAGTCATACCTTGATGGATGAAAATGATATTTATGAGTGACTTGAGAACCAGAGATGTGGAGGAGATGAATGACATATGGAGCACTATTCTACCAATTTAGACAATGAATTCGGTATTATCATCTCAAATAAACCATCTTCCAAGACGATTGAATTTTCACAAATTATATGTCCAGATCTGGATATCTGCATTATATTTAAATGCCATTTCTTAGATTCCCTGGAACCATGTGAAGAATGAACTAAATATGAACAAAAACTGTTCTAAAATGTCACAATATTCTTGTAATAAAATTCAAACAATACGATACACTAATACACTTACCATTTTCTGTACACAAACTCGCAAGTATTTGAAATACTCCAAAATAATACGAAACCCCTGAAGACATCAAGACTTATCTTATCACTTACTCATCACTTACTCATCAAAATCAAGGTGAGACATTCTTGGTTAATGAATTGATTGCGCTATCGGATTCTCTATAGTAAACTAATTGATAATTATTACTCTGATGACATCATCGGAATTATTTAAAGGTACATATTAGTGATCGACCTTCGAAGAACCTTGATAGTCCCGTTTTTAACAAAAAACAAGGGGGAGGGTGGGGTTGGAGTTCAAATTTGACAATTTATCAAAAATGGTGAAAAGATTAATTAGTTCGAAATATTTCTTTTGACGGGGGGGGGGGGGGGTGCTTGAACCCCCGAACCTGTCTAGGGACCTTCTTGTATCAGAGTATACACTCAAAAGGAATAATTGTTCAATACACTCTCACTGCTGATCCACAATTTTGGTAGTAGGGAATACTAGTAATTAATACCAAATCCGATTTTGGAACTAACTTCTCACCTTAGCCTTTTAAAAGATACTTTTACCTACATAAATAAAAAATTGTGCTTCAGTCTTTGTTGCTTAATCCATTGTCTCAATTTTTTCCTATTTTTTCTCATTTTACAATCTTTAGGAATTCGGTGTTAAATGTGATTCAATTTTGAAATCGTCAGTTTAAAGAAAACTAGATTACGGGATATCCATTTTGTAAGAGAATCCCTCTTACAACTTCATATAGAAAAGCATGTTGTCATTTACGTTTTTAAATTGATATGTTGCCAAACAAGTTTATCAGCCTCAAAGTAACTTTTGAAAATCTTATTCCGAAAAATCTTATTTTTGAAAGACAATGATGATTTTGAGAACGCCTCATTTTTGTCAAATTAAATGTTACCGAAATTAAGATAATTTGTTATTTGATTTGTATCGCTATACAGGATTTTCTATTGGTTTACACGGGGATGGGGGATGGCGATTTTTACAAAGTCATCAATTTCAGCCTATCGCGATTGAAGAAAATATATAAAGAATCAACTAGCCTACCCACTTCTCATCCAAGCATCTCTGACTTAAAAACAACAACAATAACGTTACGAAAATCATAAATCAATGCATTTAAAAAAGAAGAAAGGCCATAGGATGCAATTATACGTATGCCGATCAGAGCAGTTTGTGATGTCATCCTTTATGCTTATTTCCTTTCGCAGGATATACGACACGGATGTCTGTAAATGGGTGTTTAATCGTTACTTTATACATCTATAATTGTAACTAATAATATCTAACCGTCAACAATTCATTTTCTTTTGCAAATTTGAAGCCGATGATGATTTCGTCATCTCGGGAAATCCATCTAGACTGGGCAAAGGACCAGGTTTAGTATGGCAAGTAATTCTAGACGGTCATATCTTTCGCCATGAGTACTTTATAAATTTAAATATGACATGTCTCATTAACACAATATGTTATCTTTCAATTAAATTCTCGAGGATAATAAAAATAGCAATCAAACAATTCGAAAAATTATGATGTCAAGATTTTTCCAAAATGTTGAACCTATATACTCAAAAGGGGATCTTCTTTTTCTAATTTTTATTGCATGAAAAGATTATACAACAAGGGGTCTAAAATTTCTTCAAATATTGATATCCAGCACTCTAGGTCCATGCCCAGTGAATATAATATTCACTTAAAAGTAATCTGTTTCTGCTTCAATGCTTTTTTGTTGTTTAGCCACCCATTCTTGGAAAACATTAAGTTTGGCCAATCGAATCTTATTTAATTTTATTTCGAATTTGGCTGCAAATCACCCGCCGAAAATACTAGATATTGTTTAACCACTGGTGATCCGCTCAATTACGCTGGTTACCGAAACGGTTCGTTTTGGTAACAAAATGTCGGAACATCGAAGGTACGATTTTCCTTTTTTCCTTATTCACACGTTGTAGGCAGAATTCCCACGACATTTTTAACACAAACGTGTATCAGTATCATATGTTTAAGAAAATGTACATATTTGCGAACAAATAGTTCAGAAGACAACAGAATCGTCGATTTAATTCCTCACTTAAGTTACATAAACGGTTTTTCGAAAAACAGTTAAGATCTGAACTTTTAACCCAAACCGTTTATGTAACTTAAGTGAGGAATTAAATAGACGATTCTGTTGTCTTCTGAGCTATTTTTCGCAAACATGTTCATTTTCTGAAACATATGATGCTGATATACGTTTGTGAGAAAAGACGTCGTGGGGATTCTGCCTACAACACGTGAAATAAGAACAAAGAAAAATCGTACCTTCGACGTTCCGACATTTTGTTACCAAAACGAACTGTTTCGGTAACCAGCGTAATCGAGCGGATCACCAGTGGTTATACTATATCTAGTATTTTCGGCGGGTGATTTGCAAGTACTCACTCGTTTCGACGTTTTGACAGAATACGGTTCTTTCCTTTTCGTAGAAACATTGACCATACCATGCAGAGATACCTCATAGTTTCATAGTCATCATAGTTTCTTTAATTCTAATTCTGTCATCTTGATATATTGATTAGATTAACAATACATTTTTTATACATCATCCAGACACTTCAGTTTCCCAAGGAATTCCGAGAAATAAATTTTTCTTTGAAAGTATACGACGTAAAAAGAGGTATACGACATTTCATTGTAGATTTTTAATTCCCTGAGCGTCGTACTCAAAATAACAAAAGGGGTGTTATTTGTGCTATTTGTATTATTTATATTATATTTTATTATTTGTTATTACATGATAATAAGAGATTCTGAAATTGGTTCTGGTACAACTTTAAGGAATCTAAATTTTCATCATATCTTAAAAATGTAATTGTGAGTTTATTTGAAAATGGTTTGAGTACAACTTTAAAATTTGACAAAATGGGAGATTTAGTGTCATTACTTAGTGAACACTACCCTGCATGCAGAGTCTAGTTAAACGAAGCTCTCTTTTAAGAAGTGAAGTCAAACGAATGCAAAGGGTAAGTGAACACCCTGTATATACTGATTATTCCTCACTATGTCCAGACGTCCTAACCTTTAGAAAAACCTCAACATTACTAAAATTTTAACCTTGATGAAGAGGTACACACCCATTTAATAAACAAGCTATATATGTCACAGTGACAGTCGTCGATTCTAAGGTTTCCGTTCTTTTAAAAGCTTTCGAACGCCAGTTCTGCCATAACCTTCACAACGGTAAATTCAGATACCGTTGTCACAAATGGCGGCCACAGGTTCCTATTCGATTCTGTTTTTATTAACTGCATTTTTTAATAGAGCACCTAGATTAAATTTCTTTGGTAGAACGATCAGGGTATTCCGGTGTGTTTAGGAGGTATCGACTTTCAAGAAAGAAGATCATATCTTAATCATTAATTTCATTATCATTATTATAAAGATCACAAATGACGTCATCGACCAACTAGAACTTCCTATGCTATTGAACTAATTGAAAACGCCAATAACTTACAGTTGCATTGTCACTGGTCAGTATCAAGCGAAGGTAACGGCCGTCCCCTTCGCATCAAAGATGGCGGGCGGGAGGTGTCGATTTCGATATTTTTAGTTTTCATCGAATTAAACTACTTTATAGTTGACGTAATTAAGGAATAAAGAATCGTGCATATACTAACCGATTCTGATAATGAAAATATGTAGATGGGATAGTACATACACCCATGCTTTTATATTTCCAATATAGAATGTTACACGATTCTTTATTGCAATTCAAACATGGCTCTGGTCAATGATGAAGTAGAACAGTTCACCATTTACAATTATGAAAACTAAGTTGGAAAAGCATTGCACTGACTAAAATGAACACACGGATGATATGCTGTTAGCCCTTTTTAAAGAATAATACTGCTCAGTCCGTGCATTTATCAAAAATTAAATGCACAGCAAAATCATTTTCATGCATATATCGATGAATTAACACACTGAAATGATTTAAGCTGATTGGCGGATACACACTTGGCAAGTTTGAATGATATTTCACACACTGTTCATTATGTGCATACTCTGTTCCGATTGGCTGGAATCGGACACACCTTGCCTAGCTATGTGTGAATTATGAATAATGATTTAGAAGCAATTGTACATTCTATTGCAGTTTATAGTAGATAGTCGTTGAAGATTGAATATACCAAAATAATACGTATACCATCAGCATACAATGGGTTTGTCATTGATGCAATGGGCTTATAGAGTATTAATGTTACATTGAATGTACAAACCAAGTTTATGTAATTCAGTAGCATCTAGCTTCATCCATAGAGGTGTTCCATATGACTGTTGGGATACACTGGTTTAATGGTATGATTCAGTAGAACGTTGTTATACTTTGATAACCCTATTTGATTTACTCATACATTGTCAAACGTTTTCTTCAATGCACTATTTACCTAACCTAGACTTAAGCCTCTTACATGTGATCTTATCTATATCTACTTTGTATTTAGTTGGGCTATACTAATAGCACAATGCTCTGACGTTGGGGTAGAATTTGTAGATTGATATTAAGGGTAAGTAATATATTTAAAACTAGTAGCCTATGCCTATACATTTCCTATTTTGATATATGTAGCGATATCTGATTGATGCAAGTGATTTGAGACTAAACTATCAGAAATGTGATTATCCAATAACATGAGAATAAAAAGAGGACATTCACGTTTCAAATTTTCTAAGTCAACTGTTTTTGGTAATATTTTAGATAAATGAACTTTTCTAAGAATGTGACATGTAATGTTCAGCCAAATTTTTGTAAACATTGGGACACTTAAATTACTGTGTTCTGATTAGCTGATTGCCTGGACGTTTATTACAGTCGAATTGATGATAATGGTAAAACTGAAAATCTTGCAAGAGCTAAAAATCGAGAAAATTCCATGCACAACAAGTTAATTGATGCAATATTTCCATCTTTTTCAGGAGCAGCTCTTTAGTTGATGTTTAAATCAAGCTAAAACGAAAATGTTAACTTCAAACGTGACTCAAACGTTACTCCCTGTAGGGGATATTGAAAAAGAACGACCGAACACTAATATAACTGTAGATTCGTATGATTTAATCACAATTAATGTTGGGGGAGTTAAACATGAAGTTCTTCGCTCCACTTTACAACGATTTCCAGGAACTAGACTGGCAAATCTGAACAACGACATAGCACGTGAAGAAAGTGACTTCATTGCTTCAAGGGGTGAATTTTATTTTGATCGACATCCGGGTATGTTTACGACAATCCTCAATTATTATAGGACTGGGGAACTGCATATGGACAGAAACACATGCGGGTGTGCACTGGCTCATGAGTAAGAGTTCTGGGGCATGAATGAAATAGCGTTTCAAAAATGTTGCACGTCAAGGTACATGGAGTCCGAAGATACGAAGACACAGCTGACGCTATTTGAGAAATCGATCAGATCAGAACAGTCGCACTTTGATAGTAAAACTAGATGGGGAAAGCTTCAGGAAAAAATCTGGCCATTTTTCGATGATCCATTTTCTTCCATTCCAGCGAAGGTGAGAATTATTTGTAACAATTATTAAATCCGTTGTGGAAAAATAAAATAACATTTCATTATGGTTTAAATCTCCTTTCTAGTAACATTATTAAGAAATATATCATGGGAATGTACATGTATATCCAAATTGAAGATATTATAATAATATGGCTTTGTATAAAAAACCTCCTACCCACGTACCCTCGTACCCACGTACGTGGGTCCTGACCCAGTCTTTAAAGAGTTAAATCTTTAACATTTTTTAAACATTATTCTATCTCAATGTATGCTTAATTATGGATGAATTTATGTACCCATATGCCTTTATTTCTAGATCGGACATCTGTCTCGTCATAAAATAAAGCCGGCATTGCATAATGTTCATTTGAGCTATTTGAGTGTTGTTTTTGATATATCGAAGCGATTTTTTGTTGATCGGGCAGTCTTACAGTGTACAACCAATCTATTGCTTGGCGCAAATTGGCCACATGGGGCATGTGTTGTAAAGTGCTGTAGTTTTTGACTCCATGAGCAGAATATGGTCAAAATTTCACAACAAAATTCACATTGAATGACCTGAATGATTCTGGATTGACGAAGTTATTCAACTTTTCATCGGTCCTGTTTTTTAACACCCTGTAGTTTCGATTTTTATCACATATACTTTTTATTCTTTCAAACGATATTACAAGTATTCATTGTTTGCACGACAGATTTGAACTATACGTGTAATTTGTCTTATGTCTTTTATTTAATTTAACATCAGAATTGGAGATACAAAGTGATAGAGTGATCAATTCACACGATCTCAAGGAATAATAAAGGGTGCATTTCTGTTTAACTGTGGCGCAATTGAAAACGAAATATTTGAAAAGTAGAAGGATTCGCTTTATTCGTTTTTAATCGCTTTTTGGCACAATTTAAGGATAATTGTGCGCACTAGTTCAGTGAATCATTTAGATGGGATTAAAAGTTAGAGTTGCCAAACTTATGCAGGGGAGTGTAAGTTTGGTTTTGTAAACTTCGACTTTATCATGTTTATTATGGCCGTTTGATCCATAATTAGGTAATATGAAGAGTAGTTTTATTTTGACAATGATTTGATGTAAAATTGGTTTGAATGATAAAAGTTCAGCTTTTATAAACATCTAATTAAATGTGGTGAATTTAATTGGTTGGAAACTCTAAGAAATATATTTTTAAAAAGATGTCAACTTTTGGACAAGGGTAAACTTCCCGGGACATTTACAATCTGCATGAGGTAACAGGAGGCACGGATTGCACTGAACGAAGGCTAGGAGATTGCTAATCAGCACTGATGTGTTATACAGGTAAGACTGCCCGATCAACAAAAAACATTTCGACATATCAAAAACATAAATCAAATAGCTCAAAAATAGTGAACATTTATGCAATTCAGGCTTTATTTTATTTTACTCGAGAGATGTCAGACCTATAAATAAAGGCATAATATGGATGCATAAATTCATCTATAATTCAGGATAAACTGAGATTGAATAATGTTTTAAACATTTAAAAATTTAACTCTTTAAAGACTGGGTCAGGACCCACGTACGTGGGTACGAGGGTACGTGGGTAGGAGGTTTTTTATACAAAGCCTAATAATATTGGTTTCAAAGATCCACTGTTTTATTTTAAATGAAGATGAGACATTCAGATGCTTATCATATTGTTCTGATTTGCAGGTGTTTTGCGTTTGGACTGTACTGGTCATTCTTCTCTCCATCACAACACTTTGTCTTGAGACAGTCTCTAGTTTAACAGAAGCCATTGGGCCTCCTGAACTCTCTATAATTACTGGAATTCCGGAAGATGTTCTCCGTAAGAACTACACCAAGGTCATCGCCACAAAGCTTCCTGGGGAGTACAATAAAACAGAAGGAATATCTTGGTGGATTACTGATCCGATTGATTCAAAAAACTCCAAAAAGATTATACATCTCGGAGAAGATTTTCATGTTCCAAATCATTTTCTTGTCTACATTGATTATGTTTTGTTCGCTTACTTTAGCTTGGAACTCATTACTAGGTTTATATTTTCACCACACAAGGGGCGTTTCTTGTTGAGTTTTTACACAATCTGTGACATCATTGCCCTGACACCAGGGGTCATCATATACATAACAAATGCTGTCAATCCCGAGAACATGTTCAAAACATCCATGCTTGATATTGTCCGCGCATTGGCTACGGCCAGAATTCTAAGGATATGAAGACAAATGAGATTTTCAATGGCGTGTAAAGTGTTGCACTATACATTAGTGGCCAGCCTAAAAGAAATCCTCCTCATGCTAGGACTACTTTTTCTCGGAGCAATTACCTTTGCATCACTTGTGTACTTTGGGGAACTCATTTCTGGCTCGGATGAAATTTTGATAACAAGCATTCCGATTGGAATATGGTACGCACTCGTTACCATGACAACTGTTGGATATGGCGATTTCTACCCAAAGAGTATTGGAGGATATATCGTAGGAAGTGGTTGCGTCATTTGTGGTGTACTCGTTATCGCCTTTACTGTACCTGTAATCGTCAACAACTTTATGATGTTTTATGCGCACGCATCATCGTTGGACAACAAATCTGCACAAATAAACGATGGACATTCTGGGAATCGAATCAGGGATACCGATGATGAAGAATCGATGGATAAATTAGATTGAAATTATATTTTTTTTTTATAATTATACCCATTTTTCACTGTTCAATGTTTAGCCTTTTAAATTGTTAATATGCTTTACATAATCAAAAAGTGCTTTTGGGGGTTCACCTGTACTGTATTGTATTTTGCTTAGAGGCAGCATCTTTTCCATTCAATCGAGGTTGAGCCATGTTCAGTTCAGTTCAGTTCAGTTCAGTGTCTTTATTTCCTCCACATAGGTGAAGATTTAAACATTACATATAATTACAGACAATTCACATTAACAGATTATTTACATTTGTATACATTATTACATATAGATTTACATTTAGAGTTTTTACATTTCTGTTTGTTTGATAACTGTTTTAACCATTAGATCAATGTAATATGCACTATTCAATAGGAACTGTTCAATTGTACCATCTTGGCAATTTTGAAGTACATCAGTCGTGCTTCCTAGTAACGTTTCTACTATGATATCTTCAGTAGTGTTCAATAATTGAACTGATAAATCAATAGGTAGTATATTAACAATACCATCTAAGAGTTTCTCTCTCAAATAAATAACCCGGACATGCTGGCAGTGAAGAACAAGGTGACTGACCATATCAATTGTTAGCTTTTTACATGCAAGGCATTTCGTTTCTTTTTCGGTAAAAAGTAAAAGGAGTGCAAGTAACTGGCCAAATCGCCAGGTAAACATGGGATATTTTAGACCAAGTTCCCAGTGAATAATAGGCTTATACTCGATATGAACATTTGAAAAGCGTTGTAATCTTGGATTAATGTGGACAGTCTCTCGCCATGTTTTTGATTCTGTATACTGAATTTGGCCATTTACTAATAATTTCCATTTTCCTTTGTCCATAATTCTATGTTTAAATTCTGAGATATGTCAGTATCTTCATTTAAATAATGTGGACATTTGGGCTTGTTTATTTACTTATGCTAATGTACTGATGGCTATGTGAGTTATTCATCAGGTCACATGGTCACTCCAGTCTAGCAGTCAGTCAGTCTCTTAGCAGCTTACATGTAGCATTAGGCAGTAATATGCGCTAGCTTTTTCTTTGAAGTTTTTAAAATATATATAGTGAATATATAGTTTAACAGTAAAGTATGGATGAAGAATGTAGAACAGTGCTAGAAAAATGGAACGTGAAAGAGGAAACCATGGAAGTCTTAAATGCGAATGGTTTCAATTCCATCCTTGCCTTGAAAACAATGTTACCAGAGGATATCAAAACTCTAAAAATTAAACCCCTTGGACAAGCACGCCTGTTAGATAATTGCTTACGAGAGCTATCTAATTTACATGGCCCTACAGAGGTTCAGAATGGAGAACATGCCAATGTTCCCCAGGGTCAGGACGATGACCCTAATCATCAAGTTGGAGCAGCACTCCAGGAGCTTATTGCTAGAGAGGCAAACGTGCCAGGAATTGGAGCATCCTCTACACCTCCCCCTCCCCCCCTCCCCCAGGCTTTGATCCACATCTAAGCTTAAAATTAGATAAAGGTGAGAAGCCCTGTTTCATCAGGGATTGGATTAATAATACACCTATACAAGAGGCATGTGAGGAATCTATAATCAATGAAACGGGAGGGACCTCCCTCATCTTGAAGCGATCTGGTTCGACAAAACCAAAATTAGAGGATATTACACCCCACCAATGGTGCCTAGCATCAGTTCGGATCCTTGCCCATATGATGGAAACAGGAAAATTAACGGGTTCTGTCATAGATTATCTTGCTTATATGGCAAAAATATCTCAATTTGGTCAGATGTTTTCATGGATATCGGTCCTCAAATACGACAATGAGTATCGTTACCTGCAAGCCCAACATAAATTCAGATGGGGTGTGGATGTGCCGAGCCTCAAAACAGAGCTCAAATATAAAAGTGTGCTAGCTGCAAAGGATGCGGGGAAACCCACCACTAAAAGCTCGCCCCAGGAGAAGGCAAAGAAACCTCCCACAGTATATATATCACCCACAGGCAAACCATTGTGTGGATTGTATAACAAGGGTGAATGCACCTTTTCCCCTTGTAAATATGAACACATGTGTTCTATATGCTTCAAGGAGAATCATGCCAGACACATGCATGGAAAAAACTAATTTACCCCTCAAATGTACTTACTGACACCCTAGGGACCACACGAGGAGTGCTTCTTAGACCCCCTCTTAATGAAGCATGCTTAATTCCCCATGTGTGGGAACAGGAACTGAATTATACTAATGATCCTGATAAGGATTATTTATTAGATGGTATCTCATTTGGATTCTCTATTATTGACAGTGACAGTGACACCAGCAGAGACTGATAACTTAGGTCTGCTACTGGACCTGAAAATCGTTTAAAAGTTGAGAGGCAAATTTTAATAGAACTTGAAGAGGGTCGTTATAAGATATGCTCTGAGAAATGCAGACCTAAGATCATTAGTGCCTTGGGATCAATCAAGAAACCAGACAGTAACGACATAAGACTGATTCATGATGCCAGCATGCCTCATGGAGAGGCTCTTAATGACTACTGCTCAATTGATAAAGTAGTCTATCAATCTGTGGACAATGTGGTTGACCTTATTACCCCAAATTGCTACTTGGGGAAAATTGATTTACATAGTGCTTACAGGTCTGTTAAATTAAGATCGAGGACACTAATTACCAAGCAACAGGCTTAAAGTGGACATTTTCTGGTCAAACAGAGGCCACATATATGTATGACACAAGACTATGTTTTGGAAGCAGAAGAGCTCCATCTATTTTTCATAGACTTACTCAAAGTGTGAAGCGAATGCTTTTTGCCAGAGGCATTAATTCCGTTGCATATTTAGATGATTTCTGTATAGTAGCAGAAACTAAAGAGCAGTGTATATCTCATATGGACATTGCAATATCCTTATTACGTAATTTGGGATTCGCAATTAGCTGGAAGAAAATTGAGGGGCCTAGCCAGGAATTTACTTATCTGGGCGTCTTAATTAACACAGTTAATGGAACTTTATCATTACCACCTAGGAAACTAGAGGAAATACTTCATTTAGTTAAATGTTTCAAAAATCGTAAGAGGGCTTCAAAACGTCAACTGCAAAGCCTTGCAGGCAAGATGTCATGGGCATCACAAGTGGTGCGAGGGGCGAGGACATTTCTTCGGAGGATTCTTGATTGCATACTCCCCCTCAACCATGCTAAGCATAAAGCCATACTATCTGCATCGTTCCACGCAGATATCGCCTGGTGGATTAATTTTCTGAAACGCTTTAATGGAAATACATTTTTTATTAATCCATGCCCAATCACAGACGTGTCTGTTGATGCAAGTAACCAAGCTGCAGGGTGTTTCTTCAGGGGTGACTGGATATATGCCTCCTGGGAGCACGACCTGGAAAAATATAAACATCTTCACATAAACTATAAGGAAGTGTTGTCGATCCTGATCGCTGCGAGAAAGTGGGGTCCCTCATGGTCCAATCATAAAGTAGTAATTTACACGGATAGCACAGTAGCCATGGCCATAATCAATAAAGGTTCTTCTAGACAGCCTATTATGATGGAGGCTTTAAGAGAGTTGTTTTGGATTTCAGTGGATTATAATTTTGAGGTCAAGGCAGTTCATATTGAGGGAAAATTAAACCACATACCTGATGCTATAAACAGGCTAAATGAGCCTGGTCAGCTTCTCAGATTTCAATCATGTATTTCTGAGGTTCTCAACTCGAATCCTCCAATGTTTATTTTTATCCCTTGCAATCATATGTCATTGGCTTCATTTATTTTTCTGTTACCACAGATACACAAGTGGCTACTGAGCAACAATTGGATGCAGAGGTCTTACGACTACGCAGTATGACATTCGCAGATTCAACGAAGGCAACATATATATCCCATAGGAACATGTACTTTAAGTTTTGCTCCTCCATGGGGTATTTACCAGTTCCAGCTACGACTTTAGTGCTGAGTCGTTATATTGCATATATTGGAAAACTGTTAAAGTTCTCATCAGTTAAACAATATCTCAACATTGTCCGCTTATTACATTTAGAGTGTGGATTACCTAACCCTCTTCGGGGGGCCCACTACCAGTAACTCATGTTGAGTTTACTTCACACCTCAAAAAGGTGTTTTGTCAGGCTAATATTTCTAGCCTTGGTTATGCGTGCCATTCCTTCCGGAGGGGGGGGGGGGGTGCCAGCTGGGCACTTGAGTCCAACATTCCCAGTGAAATGGTCCGTATATTAGGGGACTGGAAAAGCGACTGTTATAAACATTACCTAACGCCTTCTTTAGACTGTTCTAGGCGTATTATGTCACAATTTTCAAAAAATCTTCCAGCTTAGGTCTACTTGTTTAATTCTCTAGTGTGTTTGGAGTTTCTTGGAAGGTGTTGTTTTCAGGTTATATAATGTTATGTAATGTTGTATAATGTAATGTAATGTTATGTAATATTATGTAATGGTATATTTTTATGATGCAATACATTTCTACGACTCCAAACACCCTGGTTTATTTGTTTATATTATTTAATTCTGAGATATGTCAGTATCTTCATTTAAATAATGTGGACATTTGGGCTTGTTTATTTACTTATGCTAATGTACTGATGGCTATGTGAGTTATTCATCAGGTCACATGGTCACTCCAGTCTAGCAGTCAGTCAGTCTCTTAGCAGCTTACATGTAGCATTAGGCAGTAATATGCGCTAGCTTTTTCTCCCACCCTCCCTCCACTTGGGTCTTAGTTGCATTTTAGGGTTATTTTTATTTACCGTTTTTCTTGTTTTAATTTGATAGTTAACTTAGGTTTTAGTTTAGTTTGTGTTATGTACTTTTGGTGCATAGTGGAAGGTGTTGTTTTCAGGTTTTAATTATGTAGGGTTATATAATGTTATGTAATGTTGTATAATGTAATGTAATGTTATGTAATATTATGTAATGGTATATTTTTATGATGCAATACATTTCTACGACTCCAAACACCCTGGTTTATTTGTTTATATTATTTAAAGTATTTCCTTCCAAATAAGTTAAGAATTCTTGACGGATAACAGGATATGTATCTAAAATAGACATGACGTCACTAAAAAAAAACCCTGACTCTGCAGATTATGGACATCTGCAGCTCCACTCGGTGTACGATTCACCATACCCTGAAATCGTTTTGCTATGTGACGCTGTGTAATCTCTACTGTTTCAATTTCATTAGGACTTAAAGAATACCATAGTTCGCATTCGTACATTGCCGTCGGCATAATGATACGATTTCATATTTTAAGACTTACTTATGGGTTAAGTCCTCCATTGTACATTCCTATGTTGCATAAAGAGTTAAAACACGCTCTAGCTTTTTTATTAGCATCTATCAAGGCAGGTTTGGAAGTGAGATTTTTGTTGATAATATTACCGACATATACTTGTTCATTTCTGGTAGGTATTGGATCCTTACCTAATGACCAGTTTGAGTTACACTTATTTAGGTTTGATTTCCCAAAGATAATTACAGCACTTTTGCATTGTTTCAAAGGTGGACCAGCATTATATACTAGTCTCCAACGACAGCTGTACTTGTATACAATATCTAATAGATTTTGTAGACCACTAGCAGTGGCAGATATGACCGTCGTGTCGTCGGCTACAAGTATACATGGCAATTGTAAATCTGGTGCAATCCTAACCCCAAAAGATGACTGGCACATTTCAATTATTAGGTCATTAATGTAGATTTGAAACCAGATTGAACTACAAATTCTTCCTTGACCACAGCCTTGATTTATGGTAATCTCCCTAGAGTATTCATCATCGTACAAGACTCGAGCACTGGTATTGCTATACCCTTGTACTATGAGTCTCCACGAGAGCCAATTGATACCTAAATTAAAATGTTTTACAAATAGCCCATGTCTATACAATAAATCAAATGCCATACGATTATCAAGAAATGCGCAAAAAACTGTAGTGTCGTTCATTAAAGTGATGTAGGACTTCCTTTAAAACGTACGTTGCCATTTGGCTACCTCCACCATTTTTGCTAGCAAATTGAAAATTATGTGGAACACCTGCCCTCTCTAATACAGACATGTTTCGGTTTAGAATTATAGTGTCCCATATCTTATTGATAACAGGTGTAAAATTAGTTCGTATTCTTTTGTCTTTCTTCTTACCCTTATGTAAGGAAATGAGCTTCCTAGTCAACTCGTACCCAAGACAACTCGTACCCAAGACAACTCGTACCCAAGACAACTGGTACCCAAGACAACTCGTACCCAAGATTATTTTCAGTATTATGGGTGCATATTAGGGGAAAAATTGAGTTTGTATAATAATGTTTTCATATTATAATGTGAATCAAATAAGCCTCAATATTTTTTTGAATTTAGAAGACATTTTTCTCAATGGATCGGGAAAGCATTTTGATTTAACTTGGATCACCTTTATATATATAAATATAATATAATTACAACATTAAATCTAATATTTGTTCCAAACACTCATAAACATACAATATTTTGAAGAATGATTATGAATATGTGGATTAAACATATGTCTCTTCGCTTGAACATCCTGAATCTGTGACCAATATAAAATAATAGTCAAAATAAATTGACACTCAAAGCTCAAAATGTCACAAAATTAAATCAATTTCTTCCGAAAATTCTTCTTCAAACTTTAAATTATTCAGAACAGTATGTTACAATTATAATATGTATATCTATTCACATTTCCAGTCCAACACTTGATTCAAAACAAAATAAACAATTGGGTACGAGTTGTCTTGGGTACGAGTTGTCTTGGGTACGACTTGTCTTGGGTACGAGTTGACCAGTTACCAGGAAATGATGGTACCAAGTTTTTGACTTTTTGGGACACATTCTAACCTAATCATAGTATTAAAGAGGTTTGTAATTGTTTGTATAAGCATGCTACCACCATGTTTAAAGTGCTCGTATGTTATCAAGTCATAACCTGGAGCCTTATTGGAAGAACTAGATTTAATGACGTCATATACGTCCTGTGACGAAATTGGGACACTCATTTCTCTATTCTCATTATGATATGACTCTATGTAACATCTTTTGAAATCAGATTCTATTTTACTCATGAACTCGTTATCAAAATGTGGGAAGGGAGAAGGAGTTCCCAATTCCTCATAGTAATCTGCCCAGACATCACGAATTTTGGCTGGATCACGGACAATTTGCCCATCAACGAGGAGCTCATGAGATTCCCTTTTTAGGTTTCTAGACTTTCTAACTACATGTACTTTATAGAAATCGTGTATATTCAAATCTGCAGCTTCCTCAAATTTTGTATCTTGAGAACGCTCATACATAATTTTAGCACGCCGTAATTCAGCCCTGAAACTTCGCTTCGCTTTTTTATATTCAATTAAGAACATGTTACAAATAAAATCTTCGTCAGTCTCCGGCTTTTCTTGAGGTATCTTCGGTTGCAAGCCAAAAGTCGTATTTGACCTTGATATATATAGGAATATATTGTATTTAAATTTGAATTACTAAAGAGGTATCATAATGAAAAATGAACAACTCCTTTTTTAATAAAAGCCTTATAATGCTTAATTTGTCCAGTTTTCCTTCGACTAAAGATCTACATTCTAGGCTACGCTTCCGAACCCTCCAATGCTTCATAGATTTCAATATATTAATAATACAGGGTGAACCATAAAGGTAATCAGGATGGCCTCTTTACAAAATATGCTCCAAATGCCATATTCCCCAGACAGGGGGATCTCTCTCAACTAATGTCAACGGTCCTTGAAGCATTGGACATTTGAAACAAAAGATAAGAAGCCAGATGAGAGTCATTGCACAAGATCTGTGATCATGTAGGGAACAACGTCACCAAATGCGATCAATTTGCCTCCAGAGAGGAAACAGGCAATTTGGATGAAATTGCTTATCGAGTTCAAACTGGCCACAGTGACAATGGAAACATTGGCCTTACACCCCAGTAACATTTCCCACGCCCGCCGTGCGGTCTATTATTTATGCGGCTAGTAGCTTTTCTACGCTCGGCGTAGAATTTCTGCGCTCTCATACTTTTGCAGTCACATTTCCCACGGCAGCCGCACGGTGAATTTTAAATTTCTGTTGATAAACAATACTTTTTTTCATTTTATTAACATCAGGACAATTTATAAATGTTATTCATAGTGCTAGGATGTAATATCAAATGAAAAGTGATCGTGAAACATTTACAAATAATGATTCGCAGCAAGGCGAGCGTAGTTTTCCTACGCTCGCCGCAGAAATACACTGATTTAATTGATCTGCGGTCGACGTACGGCCGCCGTACGACAAATATGACTGGGGTGTTATCAATAACTAATGTATTCGGCAAAACGGATCAAGTCAATGCAATTTGGTACCATGTGTTACCTAATAATCCTACTTGATTTACTTATGCCCTATCAAACATTTTATTCAGGGAGTATTTATGACTAAATGGACTTAACCTTCTTACATGTGATCGTGTATTTCATGTTTTGTGTAGTCAAGTTAAATCAAAACACTTTATATTATGATCTGGCTTGGAAAAGAACAGGTAATATGGAGTATAACATGGAGAACGGTGATCCCAAAGTTTACGCATTTCAAAATATGTTGACAGCTATTTAATAAGGGAATTATCGGCGGACTGACAGTTGTGGTAAGTAACATTTTCATGAAGCCATGTGTCTCCTCTTTCCAATGGTATCCACGTGTCCATATCTGTACTGTGGCCATCATTTCTATATACAAAGAGATCGGCTCGTTCTTCATGTCTCGGACGCCTCTCAATCAATAGTATAGTTTCCATATAGCTTTTGAAATCTCGCTTTATCTCGTTTTTCGTGAGATTTTAAGAGATTTGCATATTAGACCTCTAATGACTTACATTACTTTCTTTAAAATGGCATATTTGAATTCAGTGAAATGTTTTCTCCTACAATAGCTTTGATTTACACAGTTATGTAATTTGAATAATTTTCTATGACAATTTAAAGAAACTTGGGCCAAATCCCCATAGATGCAATGCTAAAATTCTTTAAAACCTTGGATTATTTGAATGTCAGCCAACATTTGCATGTTTAATCACAACATGTACATAAACATGGTCATCATGTGGTATATCATTCAAGTTTTATATACATTCAACTAACACTTGATAAATCATGAAATTAAGCCACTTTTCCAAGATTTTAGCATGTAAGTGAATGGAACTCTAGCCCAAATTAAAAGCTGAATAAAAGATGGCAGCACTAGATTCCATTGCTTTTTCTGCTATTTAGAAACTATCATATTGTGGAATCTTGGAGCAGCAACTTCATAAGTGATTCTCTGTTGACTTTGGGCCGTTTTGCAAAAGGAATGATTATTTAGTGGTCTTTGGTCATATATTAATTAATGACATACCATTGGAAAATGGAGACATAAAGCTTCATGGTTAAGTAAATTGATGTAATCATCACTGGCTATGTAGTTTTACAATATATTTGCTTGTTGCGTTTTTTGGGCATGGGACGCACTGTATTTTTAAATGATAAACCTTTCATTAAATTTTTTGACGGCCATCTTGAAATATACATGTATGTATTTTTATATAAGTATTATTGATTATACTATTATTATAGGAGTTAATGATATAAATGCACCATACATAAACAATCTGATTCAACATTTCCATCTCTTTCAGGTGATCCTGGATTTGTATATAAATCTAAATGATGACATCTGACATGTCATCTGGTGACAAAGTTAAAGTTGGAGGCACATTACTTGACGTTGAGGACGTTGAAAAAGAGCGCCCATCTATAGTGTCGCATGATTTAATTACAATTAATGTTGGGGGAGTTAAACATGAAGTTCATAGCTCAACTTTACAACGATTCCCAGGAACTAGACTGGCAAATCTGACCAACGACATTGCGCGTAAAGGAAGTGACTTCATAGCTTCAAGGGGTGAATTTTATTTTGATCGACATCCGGGTATCTTTACGACAATCCTCAATTATTACAGGACTGGGGAGCTACATATGGACAGAAACACATGCGGGTGTGCACTGGCTTATGAATTAGAGTTCTGGGGCATAAATGAAATTGCGTTTCAAAAATGTTGCACTTCAAAGTACCTCGAGGCAGAAGATACGAAGACACAGCTGACGCTATTTGAGGAATCGATCAGATCAGAACAGTTGCATTTTAATAGTAAGACTAGCTGGGGAAAACTCCAGGAAAAAATCTGGTCATTTCTCGATAATCCATTTTCTTCCATTCCAGCGAAGGTGAGAATAATTACTTATTTACAGATTTTTCAATTAAAACTCATGCTTTCGAAACCATCCAGTTTTCACAGTTCTGCTCTTATCAAGTAATTTGAGCCAAATTGTCAAATATGAACCGACCGGGAATTTTTTGAAAAGTAAATCCCCCTTTCGCCTGTTCTCTCTTGTAGCGTAATGGTGTATACTGTATACTTTCAGGTGTTTGGCGTTTGGACTGTACTGGTCATTCTTCTCTCCATCACGACACTTTGTCTTGAGACAGTCTCTAGTTTAACAGAAGCCATTGGGCCTCCAGAACTCTCTATAATTACTGGGATTCCGGAAGATGTTCTCCGTAAGAACTACACCAAGATCGTCACCACAAAACTTCCTGAGGATTACAACAAAACAGAAGGAATATCTTGGTGGATTACCGAGCCGATTCATTCAAACAACACCAAAAAGGTTATACATCTCGGTGAAGATTTTTATGTTCCAAATCATTTTCTTGTCTACATTGATTATGTGTTGTACGTTTACTTCAGCTTGGAACTCGTTACGAGGTTTATATTTTCACCACATAAGGGGCGTTTCTTGTTGAGTGTCTGCACGATCTGTGACATCATCGCGCTGGTACCAGGACTCGTCATATATATAACAAATACTGTCCATCCTGAGAATATATTCAAAACATCTATGCTCGATATTGTCCGCGCATTGGCTATTCCAAGAATTCTAAGGATAGCGAGATTTCTGAGGTTTTCAATTGCGTGTAAAGTATTGTACTATACATTAGTGGCAAGCATAAAAGAAATCTTTTTAATGCTCGGACTACTTTTTCTCGGAGCAATTACCTTTGCATCCCTCGTGTACTTCGGGGAACTCATTTCCGGCTCGGATGAAACTTTGATAACAAGCATTCCGATTGGAATATGGTACGCACTCGTTACCATGACAACTGTTGGATATGGCGATTTCTACCCAAAGAGTATTGGAGGATATATCGTAGGAAGTGGTTGCGTCATTTGTGGTGTACTCGTCATCGCCTTTACTGTACCTGTAATCGTCAACAACTTTATATTGTTTTATGCGCACGCATCATCGTTGGACAACGAATCTGCACAAATAAGTAATAGGCATTCTGGAAATCGAATCAGGGATATTGACGATGAAGAATCGATAAATTGATTGAAATAAATGATATTTTTATAAATATACCCATTCTTCACTGTTCACTGTTGTTTAGGTTTTAAATTGTTTCGATTTCCTGCTTTAGCATGATCAAAAAGTGCCCAATCAGAGTGGGAATGGTGCGACAGTTACTGTTCCACATTGTCTACAGTAAATTTTTAAATGTTTCTGAGTATTTTGAATTTAAAAAATAAGTAATCAAATGACCAAATTGAAACAGTTTGTGTAAAAATAGAAACATTTATATTTATCCTAACTTTTGTATATTTTAATTTGTTTTGTAGTTTAGCTATCATATCTGTGTCATCTTATATTTTGATATTTCTCTGCCATGTTATTTTCGGAAAAATTAACATGGCTGAAACTCTCTAAATTACAAAATGCCACAGCCCTGCTGCACATTATACATTACTATCTGAAATATACAAAAGTTAGGATAAATATAAATGTTTCTATTTTTACATTAACTGTTTTAATATGGTCATTAGATTGCTTAAATTTTAAATTCAAAGTACTCACAAACATTTAAAATTTTACTATACACTACGAACAATTTAAACTTATTTTTGTGTAGGAATGTATTGTCTATATTTTATTTATTACTTGAATTGGTATGTTATCTTAAATTTATGCATTGTTAACATAAAAATACATTGAACCATTAATTTGCAAACTTGTATTGTAATAGTAAGGGCGACTTTTTCTTTTCTTTTAAAATTTTGACATATCTTTGTGCATGAGTGCAGGCATATTTTTAAAGTAAGTTATACTTGAACACCCTATACAACACGCGGTGCGGATATCATGTGCGCACGATGCGGACTTTACGGTCATTTTTGAATTAGAATTTGTGATATTTCATAAACAAAGGCATGTTGTAATTGGGTACTCAATTATATTCACCCATTTGTAGAGGATATCTGACAAAAGTGAAATTTTGTCTAAAGTTGTGTGCTTCCTTCTTTAACGACGCACCGAGAATTCATTCTTTCTCCAAAGCAAAGAATTTGAAATTGCCACTTAAATTCACCGTTTACTGCCTTCATTCAGTATTGGGTTGATCAGGATGAAGTATACGGTATTTTTTTAAAACTATATATATGCTACCTCTTACCAAGTGTTGCGTATATTCGTCGCTTTACAGATATCCCCACCGCACATTTTCATTTAATATTTCCCATTTTGTATAAAATCACACAGAAACCTCTTCAGACGTATACATACATGTATGTATACGTCTGAAGAGGTTTCTATGTGTATTTATATGTATAAATGTACAAGGAACATTCTGACTAAGTTTCATGACATTTGAAGCATAAATGACAAAATGTAGGTCATCTCGATCACAAGTATTGATAAATGCTGTTGAAGCTGTGTCACAATTTCAAATTATCTGCTTTGGAGAGAGCATTATTGCTTGATGTGTCGCTATACGTAGAATGTTCAAGTACATACCTATTGACACAATTTCCTTTTTATTAGGGATGATGTACACTTGAATGAGTATAAATAGTACACACCATGCCTTAGTAAATAAAATATCACAAATTCAAATTTAAAAATGACCGTTCAATAGTATAGTTTCCATATAGCTTTTAAAATATCGCTAAATCTCGTTTTCGTGAGATTTTAAGAGACTTGCATATTAGACCTCTAATGACTTACATTACCTTCTTTTAAATGGTATATTTGAATTCAGTGAAATGTTTTCTCCTAATATAGCTTTGATTTACACAGTTATGTAATTTGAATAATTTTCTATGACAATTTAAAAAAAGTTGGGCCAAATGTCCACAGATGCAATGCTAAAATTCTTTAAAACCGTGGATTATTTGTATGTCAATCAACATTAGCATGTTTAATCACAACATGTTCATAAACAGGGTCATCATGTGGTATATCATTCAAGTTTTATACAGATTCAACAAACACACTTTGATAAATCATGAAATTTAAGCCACTTTTCCAAGATTTCAGCATGTAAGTGAATGGAGCTCTAGCCCAAGTTAAAAGCTGAATAAAAGATGGGAGCACGCGATTTCATTGATTTTTCTGCTATTTAGAAACTATCCTATTCCGGACCGTGCGTACATGATATCCACACCGCTTGTTTTCGCATAGCACAGTCTGTATCGGGCGTTGAATTAGCTTGTCATCTACAAAATATAATTCTTGCTTTTTTCGAAAGATATTTTTTGCCCTGATTGGGTATAAGATAACGAGGGAGAGAGAGTTGTATTTAGGTCACCATATAAATCAATAGAGAGTAGGACCAAAATTTGATAGAACCACCTACCCTTTTACACCTGTATACCTCTTATCTGTGTATCTAGTGCCAATCGTATTCATTTCTTGTTAAACAATTCTAATAAATGAATTAATAAAACAAACAACGAGAAGAAGACATGCTTACGTCGGAAATGAACTAGAAACCGGAAATTCCAAGGAGTAGCAAATCCCAACGAACACTATTATAATGAATCTTTATGTAAAAATGTAATATTCAGCATCCAATCTTCCCGGTATTGATTAAATTGGCAGATACTAAAAGACATATTCCTAGAGATGCATGTATTTCAGAATTTCCACCGATTTAAGAATTTGGGAGACCACTAGGAGTTTAAAAGGCATAAACCATAAAGACAATTAGAAAAACAAACGCACAGTAGCAGAAAAGAAAGTTAATAAATAATACACACCTTATTAGGTTGTTTCGATTTATTTCACAACCCAATAAGGTGTGTAGTATAAATGATTAACTTTCCTGTTATCTCAAAATCTGCTTGGAAAACTATACCATTGGATTACTATGGGAAATTCATAGAGATAAAATTCTAGGGATTAAGGAATGGGTACCATTTACACAATTTGAGAAATTATTGGCATACATAAAGCCTATTTAAAACAGCATTTATATTATTCAAAAGCCTTCGTAATCAATGATTCCCACCAGCCCTCTGAAGTTTGAAAAATAGAAGGACCTGGGTGTTATACATAAATAATCCTTGAAAATGATAAATATGATTTTGGATTATATGGTGCTAGTCAATAAAATGTTTGAAAGTGTATTGATGTTTTTTAGATGAAAAACACAAATAAGATGCATGAAAAAACTCCACCGATTCATTCTACAAACATCTCGCGGTTCTTTCAGTAGTGTGCAAGTACGGTCGGTACATCGAATGTCGCATGTATTGTCCATTTTTGATAAAAAAAATAAACGTGGATACTATAGTTATACCTTTGATTTATAAAATTCTATAAAATTGCAGAACTAATGTCGAAACTTTTCGGAAGTCTTGAAGAAATACATTCATTTGACCAGTCATCATAAATTTCAATACTGGCTACAAAGATACATCATCAGTAGTGTTCCTTCCTCGGATTTCAGGGGCTACGCAATGGGACTTTGCCCATGCTCCGACTATATCCGATTGTTATCTGGAAGGTGCCCCCAGCAGAGGTGATCAATCTTCCACCTGCATCTGATGGCGGCCCCAGATGGTATTTACCTGCTGTAAAGATACTGGTATTGGAAACCTCCTCATTTTGTGCTTCATCATTTGGTAGATGATTCTTCCTCAGCATTGAATATTGTTCTGTTAATCAATCTTACATCAATTGTAAGACAATGTATGATTATCAGTCATTCATAAATCATGTAATTGTTTGATTTATGATAAGCTGAAACAAGAACTTACATGGCTGAGGGAGTTGGAAGAAAGTACGATAAATATTGCTGACGTGGGAATACTGTAGAATGATGAACCGTATAAGTTATTACAGGAGTTATCTGTAAAGGTATCGATATGGTGAACTTTTTGAACACACGTTTTTCTTAAACCATTTAACAAGAAATTCTGAAAATTTTACACATCGTCAATTTAATGGTCATCTTTTGAATGGTAATACTATGATATGAACAAATATATACTTTTCTCTACATGTATATTGTTTTATAAAACACATCAGACACTTCTTTTGTTCTTGGTATCATATGTTCGGAATGAAATGAAACATCTATCCGAACCTCATTGAAACAAAACGACATAAACGCAACGTGTTTGATGTCAAAATAGGTGCCGATGGGGCAGCAATGTCCCGTGTCACAAGCTATGTTACCTTGTCATTCTCATTCATTGAATATGACCAAGATGACCAAGATGACCAAGACGACCAAGATGATCAAAATATCAAAACATTTCCAATTGCGATAGCTAAAACATCAGAGTCTTACACGAGTCTAGAAACCTCCTTCCGTGATTGTTTTAAGGATATCAACAAAGTTATCGCCGATGGTTTTGTTTTAGTGGATAACATAAAGCAAGCAGTCAAAGTGATTCTTGGTGGGGATTATAAATTTTTACTCTCGGTCCAGGGTTTGACAGGTGCTACATCAGACTATGCTTGTATATATTGTCTTGTCCATAAAAGTGATAGATGGGACATGTCCCAAGACATGGACTATTACGAAACAGAACTAAAACGTGACACCAAAATATGCACTCATTCTCAAACAGAATTACCGTTGCTTAATGTCGGAATAGAAAATATAGTTCTTGATGAGTTGCATTTGTTATTAAGAATAGGAGGTTGTCTAGTGAAAAATATTGTGACATATGTCACAGCTGCTGACAACAATCAGCGTAAATTCAACAAAGGCAAGGGAACAAGCAAAACGAATAAGCTCGAGGGAATCATGAAATCCATAGGTGTAACGTTTCAAATATGGGAGAAAAAATGCCGATAATAGTACGTCGGGAACATATGATTACACGTCACTTATGGGGGTTGAAATGAAGCGTACGTTGAAGAGACTTCTGGAACATTTTACCAAATTGATGGATAGACAGGCAGCGAGCCAGCTCCGTGATCTTTGGAGTCTGTTCAACGAAGTGTATCTATCTCTGGGTCAAACGTTCAATGATAAACGCGATGTAAACCAGCTTCATGAGAAGTGTAAGGCATTTGTACGACAATATAATAAGATACACGATGACTTAAAAATGGAGGGTTTTGCTAAACGCAATGTAACACCGTATATGCATGCACTCGTGTACCATGTTCCCCACCAAATATTAAGGCACAAATGCTTTAAAAGATTTACAGGGCAACATATCGAGAAAACAAACGACATCATTCGAAATATTCATATGCGAAAAAGCAATAAAATTGATGGCACGTTTGAGTCGATGTGCGCTGTCAAAAGGATGGAGAAAAACCAGCACCTCAAACGTAAAAAGAGGGACAGAACGAAAGAAAACAAGCCGAGAAAGCGAATAAAAAAATTAAGAATAGGTCTTGAAATAACAGAAGAAACGAAATTGAAAAACGAAAGAAAACAGAAAATAAGTGAAATGACCGAAACGGAAATAAAAACTATTCTGTTGAAGCAATACAATATAAAATCAAAATTAAAAACTCATCGCAAACTTGTCACACTTCTCATGCAGTGCGAGAAAAAATAAGATGTGCGTATTTTTGTGAGAACACGAATACACGGGCAAGAAAAGTAAGATACTAGAGAGCTTTCGATATCAGCAAAAGAGATATCGGTTTCGTTGATGATCCTCTGGGATCAACGTTTACCTACTGATTTCCTTACTTTGTAGTCAAGACCCGGGAGTCGAGATATATATCAGTGATGATTAATCGGCATCACTTGTCTTAATATAGAAATATTAATTGATTCCACCTGTTAATTGAAAGGATGGGTAAATGTTTTGTAAATGAATGAATATGTATATTATTAACTGAATAAATGTATTTACATTAACAACTAATTTATTTGTATTAGTACACGAACGAAAATGAAATTTCTGCATTGAATGCGGCATCTTGATTAAATTACCGTTGTTACTCAAAATTATGAAACAAGTATCGTATGTAAAACTGAACCTTATGCCTATTTAATAGGTAGTCTTAAATAGGCCCCTGTGTACTGTTTCCATATGCTTACCAACTTATACCCCTGTTTATTTTTATTTTTTTTATTTTACTAGACAAGAATATTTGAGTTAATAAACGAAAATTCAAATTTCATGAATCACCTTGATCCACAGACTGTTATTAACAATTAAATACCTGGATTGGCACCTGCTTCAGAAACTAATTCAATTAGAATATCAATTTGACATCCTCTTATAAATATAGTACTCGCAAATACGAAAACAACAATATAATTTTTGTTCAACACAAGGCAAGTTTCATATGTTAACGAATTGAACTCAGAAAAACGATGATGAAAAAGTCAACGAATATTTGACGTCAAACATTACAAATCAATCCCGGCGCCATACTGAGTGCGGAATTTCTGGTCGAAAATCAAAATATTGACAAATTTGTTACCTAAAAGGCCGAAAGATTATGAAGCAAATACCTAAACTGGGGTCACCAACATATTGTACTAGTACCACTCTCTTAGAATCCGTTGAATCCTAAGCGATTGGGGAAGATTAGGTCATTAAACGAATAATGTAAAGTGTCGAGAAATTGAGCTTTTTCAAACTTTATAATGGCGGCCAATGGAGGATTTTAGCAAATTATGCCGAAAATTAAATCATCAAAAGGCCGAAAGATCTGTGGATGTATTTGGCTGTTATATATTTCAAAAATATCATTTCGTTGGGTGTTACATGGATCCGTTGAATCCTAAGAAAGTAAATGATTTTCTATTTTGAGGGATTTTGTTTCAATTTATTGAATATAATACTTTTTGTTAAATCTACCAAAATTTCATTTGTAACTGTGATATTGAGAGGTCTAAGAAAATGTTATATATGCCATTTTGTTCCAACAAGGTTCGGAAAGACAATTTATTCCATTCTCAAGAATTGGTAGAAATGAACAAAAACAATTGCAATAAAAAACAAAAAATGTTAACAAAAGCAGCTATATAAAATATATGTAAATAATTTTAGCATTAAATTGTTGTCAATCAGTCAACCTAACAGAAAGGACCGTGTTTTTTAAAGAATGTTTTCAATAATTGGTTTAAGATAAAAACATTGTTTTTTCAGTTCTCCATATCGATACCTATCCTTTCGAAAATTAGACGAACTATTATAAGAATCATGTAGCAGCACCAAAAAGCACCTTATTTTATAGCCACATCGGTAATGTATAAATGTACGCCATCTTTCTCATTTGGGCGTCTTGAAAGAAAATTGAATAATATTGTAATAAGTGTTTTCATATTAACTTTTATTCGATCTTGCTTAAGCATAAAAGTATTATTTGCAAGAAAAATGAAGCACAATATTCGTATTTATTATGTACTGCACACATGTATATGTATAATTTCGTGTTTTTCTAAATTTCGATTTTTTTAAAATTTGGACATGTAGTTTGGCAGCTCCTTTTACGTGTGTGTGTAGACAACGTTTTTTCCAATGTATAAACTTACCATTGGGAAGGATGTTTCATTTCGGGTTATGTTTAGCTTTTTCAGAGAGGTTTTAAATCTCCAAACTCCCATCCATTTTTGGGTACAGTGTAGGCTTACTTTAGGCTAATGAAGGAAGTTACATAGAACGAGGCTAAGGAACTTTAGTGATTTTAAGAAAAAACAAAAATAAACACAGAGACAACACCAGAGACAGCCACAAGAGAAAAGCATAGCTGAAAAACAGCACTATGACTATTAGGTGGCATGATACCTGAGCACCGTATACAGTATGGACTTAACCAACTACCCATCAAAAGTTTTTGTTCAGAGCCATGTAGATGACGAAAGGAAGATGCTTTTCATCTTCATCCAAGATAGGAATACTGACCAATTAAAATGCATGGGGGGGGGGGGCTAAAATAGGCTGCACAGGACAATTCATAGACATCATCTCCCACCCCACGGATGTTGTTGACTAGGGCACACATTCCCCGTTATTGACCGTGGTCCTTTATTTCAGAAACCGTTCATCACTTCCGGGTTATTAGTCACGTGACGCAAACATGGCGACTTCGATCTTAGATTTTCCTCCTGAACTTTTATCCTATTTACTGAGTTTTACAGGTGGACTCGACTTGTCCAATGTGTGTCAATCATGCAGGAAGATGCGCGAATCGTCTAGAGTTGAGTCGATTTGGCAGAGAAGATGTAAAGAAGGTGAATATGTGAAATAAACGAGTCTATTTTCTAAATAATTTTTTCAGTAATTTTTTGATTTTATAACTTTCGTAATATGTATTGTAACTGAAGGTGAGAGGACTCTGGAACTCACAATTTATTCGATAAACCATAAGAGTCTTACCTACATGTAACTTCATCTATGGATTCTGGTGTATCCCCCCCTTGTGTGACACAGGGGCTTGGCTGGAGGTCGGTCAAGCTACCCCCATAAATGTGGGGTTATATTGAGTTTTTTTTGATATTAAGAACATTTCCTAAATATCAAAAAACCTCAAAATGACCCCACATTTATGGGGGTAGGTCAATCCGTCCAATGTGTTTGTACTGGTCTAAGTCTTTAGAACAGTACAGACTTATCGGAGGGCTTGCCTGACCCCCCAGCCAAGCCCCTGTGTTGTATTGTATTGTATATTGCTTACCACCAATGAAGGTGAGCAATACCTCTTGGGTATATCCCGTATATATATGGTCGTATTTAACGTAATTAGCCTGGAAGATAGACCCAGAAACCCCTCCTCAAAGGAGCCCTGTGTTCTTTTATTTGCACCCATACATAGACATACAAGTACACACCACAGCCTTTTGTACGAGTTGTGGAACACTCAGTCACACACCCTGAAGTACTTTACGCAAACAAGCAAATTAAGTATTGCCTGAACCGGGGATTGAATCCGGGACCTATTGCGTAAGAGGTACCTGTGCTACCGCTGAGCTATACGGGTGGACTTGTGTGACAGTGAGTGACACAGGGACCTGTATCAACTCCTGACATCTATTGGGTGGTCGAACCCCCAGTCGAACCTGGAGGAAAATTAGCCATATTCACTTACAACTGTACGTAGTAATAGAATGCATGGTATGTCTTCCAGGTTGGTCAGTGTCAGTTGATACAAGTTCCGGTCAGCGGCGTAACCAGGATTTTGATAACAGGTTTGGTGGCCAAAGGCCTAGCCCCGGAATTTTTTATTTTATCACTGATATGTGGTCTTTATACTGTGCTTTCAGAATATGGGGTTTCTGTCTCAGCCAAGGATCTACAGCCATTCACATTCTACCAACTTTATACAAAATGTAAGTATATTTAAATGAAGCAATGCAATCAACTGTGTTACTAATCTTAATTTTTCTTGAATGTAATATTTTTCCACTGACACCTTCTTTTCATCAGCCTAAAACTTATGTATCAACTATCAATAGATGCTTTTTTATTGGTATACAATACTGATGTTTAACATAAAATGAATATTAATTCCAGTATTGTACAAGTATGGATCTATTCTTGGGTTGTGGAAACCTCTTCTAGGACCATATGGCGGAATTACACACGTCAAAGTAAGTTATCCTATGATTGTATAAACTGATAAGTGTACATTCAAGTTCATTATATGTGCTTACAGGCCAGTAGCCAACTTTTACCAAGGGGGGGGGGGGGTTAGTTTTAAAGAATTCTAGGAGGGTTCAAATTCGACAATTTTGGTGCAAAATCTCTTGAAAAGTGCTCAAGATAGTAAAAACTGCATGAATTTGAAATTTTTTTTGGCCTGACCACAACACTGGCTATAGAAGGGGGGAGGGGGGGGGGGCAGCTTTTAACTCCATTAATAAAAAAAATAACTAATTCCAATTTAAGGACACTTCATCTGTTTTAATTAACTGTTTGACAGAGTTACATGTTCACCCATTATTAAAAATAGCACAGGTGGTAATAATTATAAATAATATAAACGTGGTTCAGTAGGTTCTTTGTTCTTCTTCTAATGTTTAATGTTGTCCTTTGTTCTTATATTTCTAGCTCAACAAAGACAGACTTGAAATATGGTTGATAACAACTTCAGCGGATAAGGAAATCACAAGTCCTTTACGCCAACAACTTTTGTATAGTATCGCCATCAACCTTGGTGGTCCAGAGCAGGTACTCTGTCACCAAGGACACAAGGGTACACATCAATGTACATTTCTTATACAAGGTAATGACAAAGGGGCTTATCAAGCAGGTGAAGGAGAAAATGAAAAAGTTCCTGATGAATGTGGAGATGCTCAAAATAATACTGCTGATGACACTAATGATGATAGTGATAATTACAGTGATGAGAGTGAAAATGAATTGGATAATTATGACTGGAATGAAATTCAAGGAAAAAAGGTATGATTTAAAGCATATAGTCCTTACTACTCGTAACTGTCTATTTAGCACCATTCAAAATTATTATTCCTAAAACTGGCCCAACTCTTTACTTGCCTTGCCAGGATTTTTAACATTTATTTTTGCTTTTTAGGATGCTAAAATAAGAAAGTGTTGAAGAATCAAATATTATTAAAACAGACAGATAAATCGTATGGGCCTTATGGGGCAAGTAATAGACTTTTGGAAAACATTAACATGCATCAATTTACATAAATTTATATTTGAGTTTATTATGTTCATATCTTGTTACCCTGTATTCATACCTTACACCCTGTATTTTTATGTGAACACCCTGTATTCGTTCTTGTACAAGGTACGTTTATATTTTGCATTTGTTCTTGCAGTGGTCAGACGATACAAAAGTAAAGTTCAGAGTTATATGTAAAAGATCCCATGACCATCCCAATGGGATTCATGCTGTAAGTATTAAATGAGAGAGAAAGCTCAACTTCGAAAATACTGAGACCCGTAGCCAGGGGGGGGGGGGGGTTCGCAGGGTTCGGACGAACCCCCTCCTGGCCAAAAATTATTTCAAAATCATGCAGTTTTTCACCATTTTGAGCACTTCTCAAGTGATTTTAGCCATATTTGGGCCAAAATTGTCAATGTGAACCCCCCTGGAATTTTTGAAAACTGAACGCCATTGGCAGATCCTGGCTACGGGCCTGATACTGTAGGCATCAAATTGTCACCTTGCCTTGTCATTCATAAAAACATTCAAGATGATGTACAAATGTACATGTATAGGATGGAGATTTTTATATCTTGTTTGATTTATCTTTACTTTTAAGGAATATTTAGCTTGGTATAAAGAAGAGACAGGGAAAGCCCATGCTTCTGGAGAACAAGGTTTTGAAGCGTGGTTTGTGAATCTTCAATACGGATTTGATGAACATCTATTAAGAACCAAGTTTGACATCATCAGGACCTTAAAGTGAGGATACTTTTTAAATGATTTATTTTGTATTTTTATTTTCAAGGAGTATAGATTATATGGTGTAAAGAGAAGACACTATGAGGATGGTGAATAAGTGATTAATAACCAAGAACATTCGTTGGTTGACCATCAAGATAACAGGCCCGTAGCCATGATTTGCAAAGGGGGGGGGGGGGGGGTCAGTTTTCAAAAATTTCCAGGGGGTTCACATTTGACAATTTTGGCCCAAATATGGCTAAAATCACTTGAGACGTGCTCAACATGGTGAAAAACTGCATGATTTTGAAAGAATTTTTGGCCGGGGGTGGGGGGGAACATCCCTGGCTACGGGCCTGGATAATATATAAAATGGCATAACTGGATGGCATGTATTTCATTTGAAGAAGAGTTTTATATTTGACACCTATTTTCATGTTTTACACAACATACAGTGTATAACTGAATATAAGTGAATCAATTTTATTAAAAAGAAGTTAGTTTTATTTAATATATTTCCCTGTTTTTGCAAGTTTATATATTTACAACATATGACTGAAAATATATGACTCAGTTTTGCTAATTATTTATGCGTAGTACCTCACTGAAGTTCTCAAGACTGCACCTACCAACCAATCAAAATGGAAAGATTATTCAACCCGGACTTTTCAAAGGAACTTATGGGGCACATGGCATTGAGATTGTCAAACTTGACTATGATGTGGACAAAAATGAAGCTAATGCTATCAAAATAACTGTAAGTGTTGTAGTCAGATGTAAATCTTTAAAAGAATAGTACACTCCCCTCCAAATGTTTTGCAACTGGGAATTTATGTCAAAGCCAGATTATATTTGGCCATTTTAATGATTTCTGACTAACTGTACATTATTATTATTCGACGCAAAAACGTTTCTTTGTGTCTTTAAGCCCACGTATTCACATACAAATAATAGAATTGTTGATTTACTGACATATATTTTTATACTGAAAATCCTCCTTTTGAGACCATAGTCTCAAATCCGAAATTGGTAATACATCCTCGAGGAGGTGCTGCCACCTATTGACTAGATGTCATACTTAAACAAAATCTGGTTGAACTTTTTTTATTACATATTGCATAATAAAATATCTTTTTAGTTGGTATATCAATACACATACATACTGTTTTACAGGGAGATCCCAATGTACCAGCCGGTGAGTGGACCCTAAATATTGACCTCAGTAGACCTATGCAATTGACCCTAGCACAACAGAAGAGATTGGCAGATTTACAAGATATAGATATCCCAGATATTTCCCCCCAGATTCCTCCCCAAGAGATTCCTCCCCAGCCTTTCAAAATACCAGCAGGGTGCATGGAGAGAGCCAAAGATGTACCTAGTTCATGTATAGCAAGGTTAGTTGTAGCGTATCACATAGCATGGGTGTCTTCACGGAAATACCTAGCAAATTACAGTATTTATATTTGAGTAATTTGGAAAATTAGGTGAGCTATACAGGCTCGCTTCAATTTATTACCATTAGCAAATTCTAATGGCACATACATGTAGATGTGTAATGTCAGTAGAAAGTAGCCAGTATTGGAACAAAAATATGTAATGTATCAGTTACATGTATGTAACTATGTACATGCATGTAACTATGACATGAGGTATGGCTTTATTCTTTCCCAAATACTTTATAAAGGTTGCCTCAGGCATATACAGCTTGTCCATAAAGTCTCTTTACAATTACAATTACAGTACAGTCTGTAAAGTGGAAAGGTACTTTATAGACCCCAATGTTTATTTCATAGTTACCTCATCTTTAAGTATAAGGAACCTCCATGTCAGTCCATATAATGCTGAAATTTCTGATGATTGAGATAAAAATTCTTTTTTCATCACACAAATTGAAAAAGTGCTATTTTTGTCGTCTTGTGCTAATGGGCATGTGTACATCTGGTCGGGTAGCCATCTTGTCAGCAAAATCCTAGGAAAACCACATTATCCATGCAAGCACAGGCTATTGCTACATGTAAATCTGTTTAGGTTTCGGCCATGCTGGGAATGTTATGCCTTATGGCCATTTTGCTCTTTAAAGTGCGATATTCACGAGTTTAGTCTTGTTTTGCAGATTTCATGGACATGGGCAAATTGCAGGGCATGCCTTTGACAATCCTTCAACTACTCCTGGACATTGGATTGTCTTTAATGAGGATAGTTTTGGCTTTATCTGGATGGAACTAAGGTCTTTTAGCATATATTCAAGAGTTAAAGAGACATTTTCCTAGGCAAACGTTGTGATAATTCACAAAAGTTATTACCCTTTGCATTCGTTCGACTTCACTTCACAAAAGAGCGATTTGTCTTCTTTTAGTACTGTATAACTAGACTCTGCAGGGTAAGAAGTAATTCTACTATTTGTGATTTTTTAGTGTCTTTAGATTTACGTAAATGTAATGAATGATTCCTGTAGATGCTCATTGGACAGGACAACTTATGAACATTCAATTTATTATACTTTTTTCCCTTAAGTTTATGCCATAGTCAATTTATGATTTTCTTGTCATACGATTCAATGCTTTCAATCTTTTTATAACTGTATTTATAAAATTCTTTGAATTCACTTCATTTGGTCAAAGTATACGTACCCCGGATATGTACCTATATATTATTTAATTGTAATACATCTGTACCTCTAAATAATTATTACACAATACAGGAAAATAAAGATATAAGTCATAAAACTGCATGTGACTTTTTTATTAACATATACATATTATATAAAGTATGAATGGTTGCATATCATTTATAAGCTAAGATTGTTACACCAATGAATTCACTAATTTTTTTCCTTTTTATACTCTACACATGTAATAATATGACTGGCCAAAGAATTTATATTTTTACACTTTCAGGCATGATAATTAATATGAACGTATTCATATGTACTTGCAATGTACATCCCATGTGCTTTACATATGGTAACTGGTAATTTCCCATTGGTAACAGTGTTAAAATAGGGAAACATAAAGTGGTCCGAAGGGATACATCTTGTCTCCAAACTTTTGGAGGGGAGTGTATACAAGACGTCTTTTACCATAGGCTGGGAGGAATCTGATAAAAGGCGGATGAAATAATTGACTCATTACGCGTCAGCTTGGTTGCCCAATGAAAACAAAAGTCTCTTTACAAAAGTACAAATGCCTTTAACATGTAATTATGGTACCTGGAATGCGTTTCGATGAACGTACATGTACCGGGTCGTTCAATAAGTTCACGGAAAAATTCTCTTATTCTAAAGGGTTTTAATGTATTTTCATAAAATTTTCACATAACATCAACGAAACATCTGATAATTGATTTATAAACTATCATCATCTCTTATTTGATGGGTCAGAAATGACGGTTACGATGGTAAATTGACTTTTGGGTTGATGGATCGCTTAACGTCACACAATTTACCATTACAGAAATCTAGCAATGCATGCAAATGAAACCTTATTTCCCTACTATATTTTATTTTTTCTCGTTAAAAATTGCAAATGGTTAATATAGAACAACTAAATGACAGCAAATATCACTACTCCCGGTGTGAAAGGGTAGGAGGTCCTATCGAATTATGGTCCTACTCTCCATTGATTTATATGGTGACCTAAATACAACTCTCCCTCATTATCTTACACGCAATCAGGGCCATTAAGGGCCGTTTAGAAAGGGGACCATAATCCCTGGGTGACCATCATTTCTTTCACACCGGCACTACTCTAGTAAACCTTACATCATTCATGATTGCCTTGATGACACCATCAAACAAAGTCACACTTGAGAGAATTCACCAGATGGGTGTTTGAAAAGAGATGGAGCGCTCACAGATCAGATGCTATGAAGATGCAATACTTGCTGTTTTGAACAGGATGAATGCTGCGTTACTTAGATATATACGGGTTGGAACACTGCAAGAGCTTTCAACGTAACAGCGTTCAAAAAGTTTGCCTGATGACGTCATAACACAGTTTGACCAATGAGTTGAACGCCAGGGACTGCATAAACATCGTGGTATAATACATGTGATTATATGAGAAGTAATAGCATTTATATATTGTATACATTAAAAGCAGAGACGAGAGAAAATGCATATGATTCACTCATAACATTACCAACTATTTTGTCGTAATTCGCTATTGGAGTATGACATTAAAGTGCCCCGCCTACCCCGGCCAAAGTCAAGTTACCACTGTAGTAACCATTGCAATTGTTCATGACCAATCACATTACAGATGCTAATTTTTAGGAATCAGATATTTACTGGATGTTGTGTGAAAATTTCATGGAAAAACAGCATTTTTTCGTGAACTTATTGAACGACATTTTATCACCAAATCGTATATGAAGTTCACAGAATTATAAAACTAAGGCCATATGATTCATATGCCCATTTCGGTAGGCTCACTAAATCACTCAATTGTTCGCTGGCCAACCGTTTTAGGTCATGTAGGTAGTCTAGGGGTAGTCTAGGGTGCCTTAGTGATGTTATTGTATATTTAAAAATCAGTCGTACACTAGTATGTGCCCGGTTGTTTTTCTCCACTGTACCCTGTATTGTATTGTTGGGTTGGGTACACGGATGTAGCGGGAGCTACATACGCTGGAGCCTGACCATTCCCGGGAATCACATGTATCATAGGCAGCTGATCTTCACTTGCCAGCAAGCTTTGCGCAGAAACTCTTACAAAAATCGTGGCTATAAGACCATTTATGCCTGCTACCATAATGGCATAAAATCCGTCGGTGAGGAGGAATTTTTTCGTTCCTGGTCCGTAGTCATGGAATTTTTGCCATGTTTCGAAAAATGTGCCAAAGATTGCCATTGCAAGCAGAAAGCATACAACTGAAAAACAAACATGATTAAGTTAGAATGTTACAGAGTGTCATGTTTGAAAATATCGTATCGTGAATTAGTGAATAAATATCACTCTAAATACCATTCCTTGGATCTACCGATAATGGACTGTGATTGTGCCGCGGTGTAACCTCAAGTCTTCCAACGGTTATTTTTCAATTTAAAGTACATATAGCTTACAATTTGGTCTTTTTCGTGTCATATTTTAATTCTATGACGCCTATATGATGCTATCCATTCTTATAAATACCCTTTGCATTCGTTCGACTTCGATATAGCTTTGAAATTCAAAAATATGCGTCAGATTGTTGCGCCTGACCGGTCATTTGTCGATAGCTACTACGTATATCAAGGGTACTCGAAACAATAATGACATAAATACGTTAATATTGAGAATAAGCTACGCGTTTTTCACAGAACTAGCACGTGAACGTGGCAGTAACTGTTTCCATCTAAAAAAAATTCAGGGACCTATTTTTTATTCCTTGTCCAACAAGAAAATAATTCTACAGGTTCACATAAAAGTACGTTAGTTGCAATAAGGGGTTAATATGCGAAAAATCACCACCTGTCATTTGTTACAGACGCCGACCGCGGAACGACAAACGCGGAACACCGCCCACAAAAAACTTGAAGATTATAACAAGTCAACACTATGAGTAGTGACATAAAAACTGTACCTGCTAGCAATGACACTGCTGCTATTGAAATGATGCTGTATCTAGCAAGGGGGCCAGACTTCTTGGCGTAGACAGTGCACCATGTTATCATGAGACAAACGAAGGCGATAACCATCAGTATCAACCCTATCATACTCATGGCTATGGCCGCCTTGTGGGCCTGAGCTGAAATAGAAAGATACATGGCGTTTTTAGAATATGATTTAATCTGAAAGGCCTATAAACCTAGACGTACACTTGCCGCACAAACTCAGACATCAAGGGAGTGTAAAATATTTTCACCGGTCAACCCCGGTGTGAAAGAAATGATGGTCCCCCAGGGATTATGGTCCCCTTTCTTAATTAACGGCCCTTACTGGCCCTGATTGCGTATAAGATGAGGGAAAGAGTTGTATTTAGGTCACCATATAAATCAATGGAGAGTAGGACCATAATTTGATAGGACCTCCTACCCTTTTACACCGGCCAAAACGGACAAAGTCGGACAATGTCCGGTAAGTGGCTAACAATGTCCGGTAAGTGGCTAACAATGTCCGGTAAGTGGCTAACAATGTCCGGTAAGTGGCTAACAATGTCCGGTAAGTGGCTAACAATGTCCGGTAAGTGGCTAACTAAAGGTCAGTGGGGTACGTCATATCGATAACATACCCAGTGTGAATCTGTCGTCAATCCACTTGATATGAAGTAGTTCGCTTTTTATACTAAATAGTTGAACATACCCGAGTCACACCGGAATAGACTGACAACGGTCAGATACCGTTGCCACAAATGGCGAACATATAGTCACCGAGTGAGTCAGCCTCGCCTGCCACTTTATCATTTCGCAATTTTAGATAACCGCATGAATCTATTTGAAAAATTTAAATCAACTCAATAAGAAACCTTCAATGCCTTAAGTAGTTTAATAGGCATAGTGACCCGGAAGTGTTCGGCAGAGGTCAAATATAAGGCTCTGATTGGTCAATTTTAATCACGTGACCTCGCTGTGATTGGTCAATTTATAAGCCACGTGACCCGGTACTTATTAGCCTCTATGGGTTTAATAACATGGGTTAATGGGCAATAAATGTCTCATTAACATTGATGGATGGTTTATCATGAATTAATAATCTAGCTTCAGCCCGCACTTACGGTACAATCCTAGCAATTTGATGAGAAGGTTGACAGCTGTAAGTCGTAAAAAAGGAATAATCAAACTCATTAACCCAACTTCGATTACCAAGTTCGAAACGGCAGTTAAGCAGTCCCAGTATATATAAAGACAGATTAACTTATCTGTTACAACATTAAATGCTAAATTACTAACGATGCCAATCGGAAAATTTCGAGTTCCAGCTAACATTAAAACCATGAAAAATGGAGACTTCATAGAGACAATTTCCACACCAAAATTAGTTTTAATGAAAATATGCGATGGGATGTTCTCAGCCGTCAATAAAGATGGGGTCGACATCCGAAATTACCAAATATGGCCAATCACAGGCATATCAAATGTATGCAATGCCTATGGGACGAGTGCTGGAATATTTCTAACTCATAATCGTATGGCTAGACTCATCGACAATTTGCCTCACGTAACAGCAAAATTTGAGGAGATTGAAGCCAAGAAAAAAACGACTGATGTAACAGAGTGGGACATTTTACTTGGGGGAAACTTTCGTCTCAATGTCCATCCTAAATTTCGAAGAGTCAACATACGAGGTAAGGTTTTTAAATGATTTGTAACTGATCATAGAATGTTAAAATAAAAAATAAAATGAAAAATCAAAAGAATCAAAAAGAAAAAAATTGAAGTTGTCAATATTATTGTATCCATTTATCATATTTTAAAGGTTATCACATCAATAATTACTCTGACAATCCGCGAAAACATTTGCCTGATCGGTACGGTATCGTGATGACGCGTCAAGTCTTTGAGATGTTTGTGGACAACCTCATAAAATATGGCCTCGTTCAACCTACCGAACCTCATTGTATAATAACGGGTCATGCAGAAAAAAGTGATGCTGATAGTTGTAGTGAATGTAGTTATTTCGAGCCTGGGGATTTCGGAAGCCATAGTTAAATCTCGCAGTAGAAATAAAGATATATATACGTCAATGTAAAACAGGATCTTAAGAGGTTCTGGACAAATCATTTGATTCTGGACTTGTCATATTTTTTTTTCAACGAAATCACATCAAAGGGTTGTATTTTTATTAGCTATTTAGAGAGTGAGTCCTGCCTAGTATTAATTTCAATAAAAAAGTTAAAATAGAACCCTATTTGAGAGTCAATCTAATATTTACATTACATTGATAAATTAAGGCAAATCCTGAAATATTTTTAAAGTGCATTTTTTATGAAATATTATCCAGCAAGTATTTAAATGAAACGGTCTTATTTAAATACAAATCATAACATGATATTTTTCATGAAACATTTTTCAATGAAATTCAATTGAAGGGTCAAGATAAAACGAGCTAATTTAGGTGAAAACCCTTACATGATGATGTGTTTTCATAACTTCTTTCATAAAATTCCATCAAGGGGTGAAGATAAAATGATCGAATTTAAGTGATTTAAGGATCACGAGAATATGTTTTCTTTGATATTTTCTATGAAATCCCATCCAATGGTCAAGGTAAAATTTTGATTTTGATTTTGATTTGGTCACGTGTTCGAAAGATCCATATAAGGCCCATAGAACCATATAGGAACGTCATTTTGAATGTCACGTGATAGATCCATATAAGGCTTTTAGAACCATTTATGGAAAGATGAGGGGAAGCCCCTGACACCTGTTTCACGATTTTTATGCACTTCATTATTGTACCGAAGTTTGCCGATTCGATTCGTCGTATTTCGGAATCCTGGTGACAATTTTATACTCCATTGGAGTATTTTTGACCTACTTCTTATGACGGAAATTCCCGAACCTTGTTCGGATTAATCCGGATTTTCTGACCTACCTTATCTACCGAGATTTCACGAGTTAACATTCGTCTCATTCCGGAATCCTGGTGACAATTTTATACTCCATTGGAGTATTTTTGATCTACTTTTTCTGGATTTTGCCCTACTTATTATATCTTGACAACAAGCAAATCAAAAAGTTCGGCATGAACGGGTCTCGATCAACTAACCTAGACTATGGAAGCCAGGCACGCTAACCATTAGACCAACGAGCTACCGATATGAAAGAACAAAAGTATTATATATTTATACCGAGCGTCAATTCAAAATGATCCTCACTTTTGTCTCCAATTAAATACGACTCGTCAGTTGTATCCAGAATAGTAGAACGCCTATGGCGCTAGTGAATAACCAAGTCCCAGGTGAGTGGTTCGTATCCCTCCGTGATATACTATTTTTGTAAGGAGCAAGGTGTAGGTTGAAAACAAGACGTTAGTTTGTTTCAAAACAGTTTGGAAACATTAATCTCCGGAACATTATTTTTTCAACACTGATACAAATTTCCCTGACATTTCCCTGACATGTCTACCGTTTCAAAATTCCCGGTCATCTTTGGCCCTTTTGACCTAATTTTAAAATTACCTGACATTTCCAGCACTTGGAAAATCAAGTCAATTTCCCTGACATTTCCAGGTGTGTATGAACCCTGGAAATATCCCAATGGCTCGCCCTATGAATCGCTAGCACAGATTGGATTGATTAGTGTTTCAAAATGGTGGACGAAGTGTTTGATTAGATAATTTACATATTAAGCTTCTTAAAGGGGCAACAAGGCCTGTACATAGAAAATTCGAAATTTTTTACATTTTCTGAATTTTTAGGGCAACATTTGGCTTTAACATCTTTTTTTATACATTTTTTCTTAAAATGTATGGATAAACAATAAAATTTCAGCATTAAGCAGTGCAAATTCAGTTCAACTTTCTATAAAGGGAGTCCAACTTATAGATTTTAAAAATCCGACTCGTTTAAAGAAGAATATCAGCAGCTTAAATCACGCCTTGTGATCATACAAAATGGATGGAGGGGGGGGGGGGGGGGGGTAGGCGATTTCTGCAAGAAAACTCAACAAATTTGGAAGATTTATTTTTTCAACATAAAATTTACAACTGAATTGCCAAATGAATAGGCGCAGTGCATGGCAAAATATGTAAGGTCTTCTAGTATTTTTTGAACTGATACGCTTCTAAGATATGAGATCTATTATAAAAGGCGCATCATCATCATCATCATCATCATCATCAACGTGCAAAAGTCAATGTTTTTGCTATAAATCAGGCAACAATGGTCTACACGACCTGTAATAAATAGGTATGAGGGGCGTTATTAGAGAATTTTCGTTATACGTTTTTTATAAACCCAATAAACAAGGTGTTTCATAATTTCCTAATTCGTCGGGAAATATCTCCTAGGACGGTAATAAAAAGGGCCAATGGCATACCATCCGTACCCCCTTGATGTAAAGCATGTTTAGTTGTGTCATATGTGTTTTCTAGAATCAAATAGGCTGATATAGCACACGGGTTTTACAGATTTATCTACTCTCAAATATATTTTTTGTAGATGATCGTTTTGAATCACTTTGTAGAAATAACGAAGGGAGAATTAGTTCAGCTAATGAATGAGTCGAGCTATTTGATTGGATACTATGCCTATTCAGCCGATTAATTTTAATAAGCCATTCTGGTCAGTATGTCCACACATATACTATGCGGAGATCCAACTCTGTAAGTTTATAATCTGCGTATAAAGGCCCTTTTATACGTAAAAACTTAAAAATTGACCTTATAATTTCATGAGAACTTTGAAATGATCGACTCGTTCGTGTAGTGATTCACTTTAAAGGGTCTCGTTTATCGTACACTACAAGGACCCGTCAACTAGAATTTAGTTTATCGTGTTCATAATTGACACTAGCAAAGGACATTGTATTCGCAGTCCCTAGTTGATGATGAAGCTTGACTATATCGGGAATAGTTATGCCCCACTTGGTACAGATTATGAAAATCAATTTGAATTGATTTTAGTTCGACAAGACCCTTTAAACTATAAGTATACGTATAAGTTTTTGAAACAACTTATAACGAAAATTCTCTATTATCACAACACTGACATTGCTCACTTTTTAAAGTTGTTTCAAAGCGTTATATGTAAATGGGCGTGTGGAAGGCCCGTGGGTGGCAATAAAATAACTCAAACTTCAAATTAAA